ACACCATATCCCTGGAGGGATGTCCACTGCTTTCCAGGGATATTAGGCGCAAGTTGGCAAGAGCCGAAGCTTGATGACGCCCGGATGTGCATTGGGTACGGCTGGAGTTTAACCAGCTGAAACTGGTTCACTTGCAATTACGAAAATGCTGTCTGATGAGCTTCCTGCTGCGTATTCAGCTAAAACCACCCTACCTTGGCACCTTGGCTTACAGGGTTAAGAGGAACTGAGTGGGAAGAGTACTCGTTCCCAGTGACTGGACTGCCCTTCCACGTCCTGCTCATGAGCCAGGCTTGGCGATCTATCATCAACAGTGCCCTGGAGTACTGCGGACCCACCTGGCTCAGGAAGCAGACTCCCGAGACTGCTAGAGAGTTGATCTGACATTCTGTTGTCACACCAGGTCACCTTGGAGCCAGATCAGCTCCCAGGGAATCCTGCAAACCTCCTCTTCCCCCTCCTCTGCCCCCCCCCCACCATGAATTTTACATTATCATTGATTTTTTTTAAAAGAATCATCAATTGGTACTGTTTGTTTGCTTGCAAGTGTTGCTAGTTATTACTCAAACAGTATGATAAAGGAGTTTCTTAAAGAGCAACTACTCTAATTACCTTCTGTGCCTTGGCGTCCTCCTGATGTGAAAGACGCTATGTAAATTTGTTCTTATTGTTCGTTGAAGCCGTGAATTTTAATTCTAAGTTCTACAGAACGGTATCCAAGTCAGAACAAGTCATTTTAAGCTGAACTCATTGTTTTGCTACCATTTCTACTTGTTACTTTGAAACTTCTGTCTTGTACAGAAATAGAACGTCTGCAGTTTATCTCTGAGTGAAAAAGAATTGTGCTGCTGGAGAATGACCTAATCAGCAAGCAGAATGATGTCGGCTGGCGTTATCTTCAAAGGTTGGAGGAGGAGGAGGAATTGCAGCAAGATCTTTCTTATTTTATTCCCCATAAATTTGTTTAAAAAAATAGAAAAACAATGGAACAGAAATTTAGAATTCGAAAATATTAATGTCTGGGAAACCAAACCATTTTCTAGAACATTACTGTAGCATACATATACTGTACAACCATGGATATTCTTTCTAATCACAAATGAACCAGTTAATAAAACTAGCCGCCATGATTGTCAGATAAGCTGGAATTTTGCAGAGTAATTGAAAATTTAAGTACTTAAATTCTAACAAGATATCTTCTCCACATCTTAAAAGAAATCCAACTATAACTATGACTAAAGATATTGCAGAAAAGCTTTTTTAAAAACAAAACAAATTAGTGAAAAGACATTAGCCGCAGTAATATTTCAAAGGGTTTTCAGAATTAAAAGAAGTTGGATTGGAAGTCATGTACAAACATGCAAAATATTGTAGATAGAGCTACAACCTGAACATGATCTTTAGGTAACTGTTTAGTTACCTTTTTTCTCTTTGTTTTCACCTCAATGCACAGAATAGGTGTATTCTGCCAATGCCACTTAATGCTACCCCTGCTAACAGCATAGTTTGCTCACCCTCTGTGCAGAGAATTGGGGAAAAAGGGAAGGGGTGAGGATAGAAGTAAAAGAACCACCCAGGAAATTAAGTTACTTCGTACAGTTTACATAATCACTCACATCCTCACTCAGCTCCACTGGTCCCCATTGCCCTGAGGAATCACATTCAAGATCCTTGTTCTTGTATTGAAAACCCTCCATGATATTGGTCCACTCTACCTTTGAGACCTCCTTCAACCACACTGACCCAGGCGCTCTAGCTCTGGCACTCTTATCTACTGTGAAGTCTGGATGGAAATTGTTAATTCTGAATATCCAACCAGTCTAATTTGATTCCATAAATTAGTCCAACTCTTTCAGTTTATAAACTCTTGAAGAATATTATCTGTTCTATATAATGAAAACAAATATTTGGCCACTATCATCAGGCACTTCAATTTTTAAAAAGTGGAGTGAGGTCACCTAGTGGAAGCAAATAAACTGCAAAATTAAAGTAGAGAAGAGAGTAGTTTAAAGAAAACACTGAATCCTCTGATCTTTTAAGTTGGTGGAACAGGCTTAATGGGTTGAATGCTCCTATGTTTACTAATTATAATAAATATATCTTATATCTTATACAAGTTATTTTTTGTTTCTATAATCTAAATGCTTAGAAGCTCCTAATGGCTCAGTTGGTAAACCCACTTCCTCGTGTGAAACTGAGCCACAAGTCTACAATGCCATATTGCTAAATTAGTTGATGTTAACTCCACAGATGCTGTTGCTTAAACTGTACAGAGTTCTAGACAGGCTGCAGCTGAATTACTGCGTACAGTTCAGGTCACTGTGACATGTGATCCTAGACGTAGTACAGGGAGGGGAATAAGGATGATCCCCGGTGTCAGATGAGCTACGAGGAATGATGTAGGTCCACAGTGCTGCTGATCATCAGGACTTGGAGGTGCAGACAGGGGTAGGGATTCTTCCCACTCGGCTCCAGTTAACTCTACAAGTCGAAGCGCTAACCGGTATGGTGATTCTAGCTGGAAAGCCTACCAGACAGGTTCATTTGTAAGCCATATGGTTTTAGTTGATTAATCTCCAGCACAAGTTCTGAACCTTGTGAACTGATCTCAGCCAGAGATAGGGAGGAGAGCAAAAAGTCCTGCTCAGGATTGTAAGTGGAATGTGCACATGTCTGGTTGTTGTCTAAGAACCAAATTAGCCAAGCCTCGGGTGTGTCTTCCTTCCCACTGCTGATAATAAAACTCACTAGCTAAGGGATACATGCATGAAGAATGGTGACCTGGGCAAGATGCAATAAGTCAGAATCTGGGAGTTTTTACTTCCTCTCCCTCCTTTTTCTCAATTTAACTTCAACTGAATACAGGGCAGGCAGGCATTATACTAGATACTGCATCCTTAATAACATAAAATAGCATAGTAACAATTTCAAGACCCATCTAACTCATCAAAGACATTTGATGCCTCAGTGTTCGCTTTTTATTTCCAGGAACTCATTTAGTTCCATTTTCAAACCCATTGCAATTGCCCTGTTAGTTTGTTCCAAAACTTTATTTTTTGAAAAAAGGTGTACAATTCCTACATGCTATTGTTAACCTAATTTTAAGTCTTCATAATTTTAAATACTTCTGTTAAATTCTCCTTTACAATCTTCTCTTTTCATGAGAGAAATATCCTAGGACTAATATTCTTTCCTCATAGCTTTGTCCCTTAAATTCTGGAATTAATGGATTTGATTTATTAGCCCTGGGAGCCTGAAAACTGCGTTTGTGCACATTGAACCTCATCAATATCCACGTTTGTGATTTGGTACCTCCCAGAGATGGATACTTCCTAATACGTTATTCATCGTTTTTACCATCCTTCTCACATGGTAGTTTTATCCACTGGAAGACTATTTCAGAATGGTTTTATTTTAAAAGGTTGCAGTTGTAAAATGAAACTCTGGACTGTGAGTGCTAAGCAATTTATCTTTGCAATCTACTTTTTTTCTTAAAAGCGGATCTTTCACATATGATATATTGTACTCAAAAAATGACTGAAACCTAGAAAGTATAGAATGAGATTAGCAAACCCAGATTTAAATTGTGCAGCAGACACTCACTTTTGTGGATCTGTCCTCAGGTCTGGCCAACATAGTTGGGTGGATGACCTGCTCCCTGGACAAGTTAATGTTGCTTTGCTTATTGATGCTCTGATACATACTGTTTCTTCAGCAGTATTTGGATTAATTTCAGTGGAGGTGAAATAGATTTTTTTGAAAAGCAGTATGCACAGAGTACCCAAAGCAAAGTTAGCACCGGAGACGAGGTGAGAGCTAGGACCGTGAATCAGTTAGTATGATGTGTAGGTTTTGCGTGTGCACAGAGACTATTTTACCTGAAAGCTTTTTATGTAGGTACTGTTCAAAGTGGGGTTTACACAAAAAGTTCATAATCGATTAACAGGCTATCTCTATCTATTTGAACGTTCCTTCCTAAATCTAAACAAACATACTTGAGAGCTTTCTGCGTATGTTGGACGTCATTTGGACGTCATTACTGTACCTCTTGCAAAACTCTGGAAAACTACCAGGTAAATGGTTGGCTCACATGCAGCGTTTATGTCCCACTATATTGTGCATATCAGGCAAAGTATACATTATGATGGGTAATGTAATGGGTAATGGCTGGCATGGTTGGTAACACTCTTAGACAGAAAATTTTGTACTATAAGCCCATGTCAGGACTTTGAACTCCTTGTCTAAACTGACACTTCAGTGCGTTGCGGGGGGAACCGCTGCATTGTTGGGGATGCCATCCTTTGGATGAAGAGTTAAAACTGATGCCCCATCTGCCTTCTTAGGTGGACGTTAGCGATCGCATGACAGTAATTGAAAAGAGAAGGGAGTCTCTCCTGGTATCTTGGCCAAAAATCTCCCAGCAAAAACTGATCATTCACTTCATGGCAGCTTGAGTGAAATTACTGTGTACAAATTGGTTGCGTGTACGCCAACAAAAATACGCAGTCACTACCCTTGACAGAATATCCTGTGAAGTACTTTGAGGCATTCTGAAAAGAAAGCTGCAATATCAAATGCAAGGATTTTGTTTATTAATACTGCAGTTGGTCTGCCTCTCATATACCATTTGTCTGACCATGACTGATGACTACTGTTTGCATTGAATTCCTTTGCAACAATCTGAGGTACAATGGCAGAATGCTCAGCACATAATAAGTAGTCCACATGGTTCAAATTGATATAAAACATTAAAAACATTTTGCTTATTGTGAATATTGCACTTTTTAAAAGTTTAGACGATGGCTGAGGTTTCTTGAATACCAATTCTTTGGCAAGGAGCAAGCCCCACTTGTGTGTAATGTTAAGCAATGCAAACCTAGAGTTGTGGTTGGTTAAAGTAAAGGGAGTGTTTCATTCACGTATTACGCAGGCTAAAATGGGAGGAGAAGGAACTACTCTTGGGAATAAAATATGAATCAGTGTTCAGGCATTTTAGTTCTATTTCGTTAAGCAACTGCAGTCATTTAACTTAGGCCACTCTAAAACTATTTCTTTCCACCTGTGGTTCTGAAGTGTGGTGATTTTATATTTATTTTATTTTTAAATTATTTTTTAAAATAACGCTGTTAGAATGCTGTGCCTATGTTTGTATGTGCCAGTGCCAAATACTTCGGAAAGGGAATTTCAGTACTTCGAATCACAAAGGCTGCCTGCTGAACTAAAATCTGTGTTCAGGCTCAGCCTATTCATCCCTTCACAAGAAATCTCAACCTATCGCCAATGGAGACAGGTAAACTATGATGCTGTTACCTAATGCAACTCATATTTGTTGCATTTTAAAATGTAAGATATCTATGAGGAATTTAAAGCTGTGGAAGTCTGCACTGTTTGGTTTAAAGATTTTAAGATCAACACAGCAGATACAAATTGTGGACTGTATTGAAGCTTTTTTTTGTCCTGCCTTACTGGATAGTTGTAACGGGATATAGCATGTAAATGTAACTTCTGTTTATTCTTCATGTTACACTTTTCAGCAAAAGTGGTTCTGTAATATTTTGACAGTCCTAGTTCTGGTGAAACAATGCCTTTCATTGCAGACTGTATTCCATATAGTTACATTTCAGTTGAAAGCCTTACGTGACTGGATTGTTTGGCCCACAAAACATACCGTCGTCAACTCACTTTACAGTATATTCTATGAAGTGTTTTGGGAGGTCTCGGGCATGATAAGGTGCTATATCAAATGCAAGGATTATTATTAATGTACAGTAAAGAATGTGCATTTTATAGTGCCTTATTCAAAAACGCAAAATGTAATTTCTGTTAAGGTAATGAATTTTTGTAGGCAAACCCAAGAGACAGCAACTCTTGTGCCAGCCAAGTGCCACAAACCACCATAAGTGAATGATGAATTAATCTGGAGGAAAAGTTGACCATAACACTAGGAGAAACTTATTCTTATTTTGAATGTAGTGCCATGAGATCTTTTAACATCCTTGTGAACAGTTGGGCAGCATTGTTACTCAGAAACAGGAGTAGGCTTTTAGCCCCTCGAGCCATGGCTGATCTGTATCTCAAGTCCAGTTACTCGCTCTTGCCCCGTGTCCCTTGATACCCTGACCTAACAAATATCTATCTACCTCTGTCTTGAAAATGAGAATGGATCCAGATTTCTACAATCATTTGGGTGAAAAGGGTACCCTTTGAGTGTTGCCATAGAGTACCGTTGAACCGAAGAATAGATGGTCCTTACTTTGATACAGGTTCTTCCAACCTGTTTCAAAATTTGTGACTAAGATTTTCTGAGTGGGAACAAGTTTCAAGATTCTGGAAATTTTCATGGTTTCTTGTAAAAGAAAGTTCCCCTTTTTGTGTGCTTGCGTGTATTGAATTTAGTCCAATCTTGTGCTCCCCTGACGTTCAAACATGCATGCAAAAACTGAGATCAGGGAAGGGAACCCCAATTGAACTTCCTTATTTACAGAAAGGCTGTGGAGGTTGAATGGGATCTGTATGAACCAGCTCTACATCGGGCTGTGCATTTATCAACTGAGCCATTGAGGAGCTTCTACAGGAGGGATTTAAATAAACTCTTATTCTTGCTACTTATGCTGCGGATAATGATTTGACATGGTCTAACTACAGTTCTGTTTGGGACCTTCCCAAATTCAAATAGCTGCAATCTAATTTAAGTTTATAATAGCATTGTATGATTGTAAAGTAAACTTGAAGAAAATTTACTTCCTGGAGTGCATGTAACAGAATAATCCCTTGTCTTGTGAATTTTTATTTTGGTAAAGGTATTTAAAAGCAATGTACTGAATGCTGTAACCCAAGCTTTTTATAACCAGTCACAAGCTAAGTCCCTTCAGGAGCCTAGTAATGAAATAGCTCATAGTTAAACTGTCAGGGAACCTTCTGTGGCATTAAAGTACAGATCACAGGACATTGGAATTAGGAATTGAGCCAGTGCAATATGCAGATCTCTAGTGATGTGAGGCTGCAGACAGCAAAATGTCAGAGCAAGAGAAGTAAAATTTCTGTTGCTACTGTTCCATTGGTAACTGAGTGAATAGAACTTTTATTACATCAATCAGTTTGACGTATTGAAATAAAACTGATTTTACCAGAAAACTGATTTTTTTGAGGAGGAATGCTTCTCTTCCTTCTCCCACAATATTTGTGACTAAGAAAGAAATCATGCCACCTGTTTCTGGCCTCCTTTTTAGAAAGGAAATACTTTGCTCAGGTCAGCACCTTGTCAGACTACGCGATTGAGACTTGAAAGCTCAATACAGTATGTGGAGAATCTGTGGGGCGGGGAAGAGTAACCTTTATTGCTCCCTCTTTTTTGCACATACGCCCAATCTTGGGTGACCAGACCACCTTCAGTGCATGTATGTTTATTGTTGCTATACCATGTTTCCACAATTTTTATTATTATTTTTATGAATTGTTCATTTTAAAAATTGGTAAATGCTACATCTGATGAGGTATAATTACTAAAGTACATATACATTACTCCTGGGTTTAGAAACTTTGGGTGTCGGGTTTACTGAGCACTGAAATAGCTCTGCACATAGTTTTCATTGCTATGACTTAATTGAGGAACTTGATCCTTCATCGTGAGCTTGTTTGTTGTTTCTGACCTTTGGTATGAGGTGTAGACTAATTGACCTGCTCAAACTAAAATTCTATCTTAATATTTGAACAATGGCCATGGAGAGCGGAGGAATTGAGGAACAATTTCTATTTTATTTCTTGAGGGCTATCTGGTTTAAACCTAAATGTATACTGGTTTTTAGATGAGCTTGCATTGAGTAGTAGCTTGTCAAGTCATTAATGGATAGCAAAATACTCTTATTGGATCACCTCAGTAGTAGCACTAGCATCCTCTGTTGTACATCGGTTGTCAGGTACTGGAAAGCTGCCGGCAAATGTGGAACTTTGCCGTAGCATGAGGCACTGTCTTTAGGGGGTAAAAATAAATGGGAGGTATTGTTGCAAAACCTGTCTTTGTTTCTGAAGTGATATTACTCACTCATCACAGCCTCTGAAATGTATGTTTAAAGAGTTTTTTTTTCCCCCCTGATCTTTTCAAAACAGAAAATTGTGAAAGCCGGTGACAAGGACTGTGATGGACAGTTGGATTTTGAAGAATTTGTTCATTATTTAAAAGACCATGAAAAGAAACTCCAATTAGTTTTCAAAAGCCTGGACAAGAAAAATGATGGTAAGCTCTATTTATCACTATGAACATATGCAATTTAGTAGTTTCTCCCAGTAACCTGACCAACAATCTTGTCAAATAAAATTAGTCAATCACTTCAACGATGTTTGTGGACATTGCTGTGTGCAAATTGGCTGCCGCTTTTGCCCACAAATACACAGTCACTCCACTTCACATTAAATACTGTGAAGCGCCTTGGGACATCTTCCCGACGTGAAAGGCGCTATACCAAATGCAAGAATTATTATTATTTAAATGTTAGCCTCTAATAGGTTTTCTCATTACAATCGAGCAGTGCATCCTGTAGAATATTTATTTTACTGTAGCTTTAAGTGGATTATATCTCAACAATTTTTTGGAATTCATTTTCAGGTAAAATTGATGCGCAGGAAATCATGCAGTCACTGTGTGACCTGGGGGTGCACATTTCAGAACAACAGGCGGAAAAGATCCTTAAACGGTGAGTTTTGTAGCATCTATTCAATGTGCTTCTCATTAGCCTCACAGTAAAGGCAGCCTGCACCATTATGAATCTAGATTTGTAAACCTGTTTCTTCAAATTGCAGACTGCTTCTTCCAGTTATTAAATATTTCAGTGTTTTCATATGTCTTCACTGGTCTGTGCGTGCTTGTGTGTGTTTGTAATTTTCTCCTCCTTTAGTCTATTTATAAACCTACTCTCTTCTCCATCAATGCTCTTAGACACCGATGATCAGTGACTTTGAAAGCTTGCTATTTTAATTATCATTCCCTCCAGAGAGATATAAGGCCTCGGCTAGGCACATAGTGTGGAACGTAGCATGCTAGGGAACCATCTTAAACTCCCTGCACTCCAGCTTAGGTTATTAGCCCACAAAACATACAGTCAATTCACTTTACATTATATTCTGTGAAGTGCTTTGTGACGTCCAGAAGGCATGAGAAGGTGCTACGTCAAATACAAGGATTATTATTATTATTAGTGCTCTGGTGCACAGTGCCACTCGGCAGCTCTGTTTGTTTCTATTCATATGCTTTGGGAAAGATTTCTTAAAATTTCATGGAAGTACTGACTTGATCTCATCTGAGTGAATGCTGAAAGCTCAGCTTCTAGCACAGTTATGTCACTCAATGCAATAAACTTTGCAAGGCATCTTTGGGTACATTGTCCTGAGCAACATGGGAGCCTGGAAACTGAACCAGGAATATCATGGAGAATAATATAGGTACACGATAAAAGATGATGTAAATAAGGTTTTGAAATGCGGAAAAAGGACCAGATAAAATCAGCTATTTAAACAAGGAGACCTTTTTTATCCAGGGGTTCTTAGTGTTCCCAAAGACTGTTTTCAGCAGTGGGTTTTCTATGTACTCTGTCGAATGTCTGAAATGCTTTATCTGTGCTGTTTTCTACATCTTTTTCTACATTTTCTGCTTTCTATCTCCAGAATTTGGAGAGGGCACCTGCGGGGCCCTATTGCATAGTAAGTACCAGTGTATTGTACTGCCTTGCTTCCCCATCATCACATATTTTTATAGAAATAATAGATACACATTTTATTTCCATCCAGTGTAACTTCTCTTGCCCAGTGCTTGTAAATTTGACTACATAAATTCTCTTCAAGTAAAGCTCATTATAGAGTAAAAACATAACTCATCAGTTCCTTGTTAATAATCCATCCTGTCCTATTGCTGAAATACTTAAATGTTGGTTTCCAGTTCTTTTAAAAATGGAAGAAAAAATAGTGTAATAACCATCAATAACTCACTTTCCTACTGAAATCTGCAAAAGTACTAGAGGGGTAACAGAATGCCCTACCATAGCAAAGCAAACCTTGGCTTCTTTTTCATTGTCATTTTTGTCTTATCAAAACAGCATGGATAAAAATGGAACAATGACAATTGACTGGAATGAGTGGCGAGACTATCATCTTCTGCACCCAGCGGACAACATTCCTGAAATAATCCTGTATTGGAAACACTCCACGGTAAGTTCAGGATGACCATTCAAGAATGCCAGAGAGGAATTGGATGGAAGAAGGATTATTTCATATCCAATGCAAGTTTTGTTTTAGTGATTCACAGAACAGTAATCACTGGTGCATTGTTTATCTTAGATCTAAGCAGACAATGAATATTATTCATGCAATCCTGCATTTAAATTTTGTATTCAGATTTGTAGAAATGCCTTCACGATTTTTTTCTTTTTTTGCAAAATATGGGACAATTTGGGTTTCTTTTCCCATACAACTAAGTTGATGATTTCATGTTTTGTCAGCCACAACATTGGCTGACTGAACTTGGGTTTTGAGACCATCTCACTGAAGTAATACAATTCTGCTATGGAATGAGTGAGATTTATTGATGTTGCATTTTACATTGTTACTTAATCATGTAACCTGATCTTTAGACCACTGGGTTAGCTTAGCACTTGGTGACTTTTGAGTTGGTGTCAGATGTCAAAATTTGAAGTGCATGTGGCCTTGCAATCTGATCTGTGTTCAAATGCAGAACTGATTTCATTACTTAAAGATAGAAGTCATAAGATGACTATTGGCACACAGAATGTGCCTTAATAGTAATGCAACTACCTTTTTAGAAACGGGAAATTATAGTTTAAACTAGATTTAAACCAAGTTTAAACTCGGGTTTCCAGATAAGACCCTTCTCGTTTAAACCTCAAATTTCGCCCTCAAAATATACAGTCAATTCACTTTACAGTATATTCTGTGAACCGCTTTCGAAGTTGTGATAAAGCGCTGTATCAAATGCAAGGATTATTATTATTCGAAAGGGGCTTATCAGGAAACTCAATGTTCCTGGTTCATTACAAATAAATATTTTGATTATGTAGCAAAAATTCCATTTTAATCCGATTCAAATGCTAGTTATTTAAAATTAAAATCAAAAATTGATTTCATTGATAAAGTGGTATTAAGCAAAATGTCTGGGCTGCATAAGCTTTTAGACCTCTACAGTTTATAATTCATATTTGACAGATTGTATCTTTTGTTTTCATCCTATTTAAGATGCACTTATTCTAAATCCAAATCTGTGTCTAAACCTAATAATAGAAAATAACAAAATCCTTGCATTTGGTGTAACGCCTTTCACATCAGGAGGATGTGTCAAAGCACTTCACAGAATACATGCTGTAAAGTGTAGTGACTGTTGTTTTTAGAGGTACAGATATCTTGATTCAGTAAAGCGTTGTTGGAACCTGTTGCTGACGTAATTTTAGAATTTTGAAATCTGTTTCTGACATAATTGTTAAAAACGGTGCGGTCAGACTAGAGGTGGAATTAAAATCCGCAATTTGTGTTTCAGATTTTTGATGTAGGCGAGAGTTTAACAATTCCAGATGAGTTCACAGCAGAGGAAAAGCAGACTGGGATGTGGTGGCGACAGCTCGTAGCAGGAGGGGGTGCAGGTGCTGTGTCCAGGACATGCACTGCTCCGCTCGACCGTCTCAAGGTGCTCATGCAAGTAAGTTTGCGCCTGACTGTTATTTAATTTTTGACAAGTCAGTTTCTTAACTTGGTAACCAGACTTCTTTCTCTACTCCAAAATATTCTCCCCCTCCTTTTCTGGCCTCTCATCAAAGTGCCCATTCTTCATGTGCGAGTCTGGATAGGGAATTATTGAGCTGGCTGATGGCAGCGTGACTGTATGAAGTTGCACTGTCAGTTGATTTTAGTGTATTACATAATGCGGATTTTCAGTCTTCAAGCACCTCACGTATCTCAGTTGGTAAACACATTGCCTAGAGTTTTGAGAGGATGAATACTTTTGGATGGGGAGATCAGAATTTTTCCGAGAAGAGTTCTGTGATTGGTTTAGCAAAAATCATGCTAAAAGTTGTTAGAAAGAGAAACGTTTTGTCCTTGTGCTCTTGAACCCGAGGCTACGGTGCTCTTTAAAAGGGTTATGGGTAAATATTTGAAGAGTGAAAATATGGGGTATGAGGACAGAGCATTACATTATGATTATCACACAGCTCCAGTGAAGAAAGTAGCCTTTGAGTTGTCATTTCTTTTGTATAAACTTTAAAAACTAATGGGGCGGGAAGCTTGACATTTCTTGATAGAAATAAAGACTCGATGATAGAATTGGATTGCTTCCATAATCTTTGACGTAGATTGATGTTGATCTAATTGCTTTATCTGATGAGATTATTGTTTCGCAACAAAAAAAGATTAACTTTTTAATCAGTAACTAGTCTTCTGGCTAGTAAATCTCCCCATCCATCTTCCTAAGGGTTTGACTGATGAGACGTGGGTTCAATATGCCAACGGAATGAACTCTTTTCCCCCGACCCCCTTTATTGTATGTTTTCTTTGAAAGGATCTTATCGGGAGTGTTTACGTTGTGAAGGTCACCAGCAGTTTTGCAATGTTGTTGCCGTCACTAGCAGTTTTGCAATATTGACCAATTTTTGCATTAAAAGACCCAATTTCATGAAAGGAGAAGAAACATAAAGGTCGTATCAACCTTCATAGTACAGAGTGTTTACAAACCAATCTTCCAACTGCCAGGTATTCAAAATGTCCGGTGCTATTGTGAAGTAGAACTTGATCTACTTACAGGCCTGGTCCAGAAACTGTGGTAGAGCATTGAACTCCTGCATTGAAGAGTAGTTTTTGAACCTCAGTTGCAGAGCAATGAAGAAAGATGGAGGCTGTTTTTAAGGTTTAGTAGTATTACTACAGGGTGATTGAACACTGGTCCATTATCTGCCCAAAAGGTTTCTCTTGAGCTACAATCCTATCATTCAGGTTGTTCATGTCTTACACAATCATTCTTTGGTAGAAAAAAAGTATACTGAGATGTGCCCTTCATTTGTCAGGTTCATGCTTCTAAAGCTAACAGTATGTGTATCGCGGGAGGATTTGGCCACATGATTAAAGAAGGAGGACTTCGATCTCTGTGGAGAGGAAATGGAATCAATGTCATCAAAATTGCACCTGAATCTGCCCTCAAATTCATGGCTTATGAGCAGGTGAGAGCTGAATAGACAGGAGGAGGTTGATATTCATTTTAATCATTAACTTGTGGATACAATTCCTATATTTTACTGATGCATTTATTTTTGCCTTTTTGATCAAAACGTATAATCAATCTTGCTAAAGGTTTATTTGAATGATCGATACCCATTGTTCACTGTGGGTGTAATTTCATTTATAAATTTTTTCTTTTGCAGATAAAGCGATTAATTGGCAGTAATCAGGAGACTCTGGGCATTCAGGAAAGATTGATTGCAGGATCACTGGCTGGAGCAATTGCCCAGAGCACAATCTACCCAATGGAGGTAAAATGACTTGAATTGTAATCTGCCAGCACATTGTGATTTGTTCGCTGTAATAATTTTATATTTCAGATGTTATTTTTGTCACTAATTCTGTGGTGTTGCTTCTGTCTGACAGGTTTTGAAGACCAGACTGGCCCTGCGCAAAACTGGACAATATTCTGGAATGGCCAACTGTGCAAAACGCATCTTGAAAAAGGAGGGACTTGGTGCTTTCTACAAGGGCTATGTTCCCAATATGATGGGCATCATCCCTTATGCTGGAATAGATTTAGCCATTTATGAGGTGAGTTTTCTTTCAAATCTGAGGATTTTGTGGTTTAGTACTTTTAAACAATGGAAAAACAGCCGTTATTAATGCACAATTTGAGATGCCGCATTTCTGGTTTTGTTAGTGAAATCTTGAAATTTCTAATTCATTGTTTGACTTTCATGAAATTGTTTGGTTTATCTTTAGACTTTAAAGAATTCATGGTTGCAGCGATATGCCACTGACAGCGCAGATCCAGGTGTCTTTGTTCTTTTGGCATGTGGCACCACGTCAAGCACTTGCGGACAATTAGCAAGTTACCCGTTAGCACTTGTCAGAACACGAATGCAAGCACAAGGTAATTTTATTCACGGGTTTGAAGTGGCATATTCTTTGGTTGTGGAACCAGAATAGTGTCTTGTTTAAAGTGGCCACGTTCTATTTTAGGCTCTTTTCTGATGAATTAATGGTTCATTGTTTTTCTCAATTTTTTACGGATTTATTTGCTCTCTTTCAGCCACCAAAGAGGGAGCACCTCAGCACACAATGACTGGACTATTCAGGCAGATTCTGAGCACAGAAGGAGCAATTGGACTGTACCGGGGCCTAGCACCAAACTTCATGAAAGTGGTTCCTGCTGTCAGCATCAGCTACGTGGTGTATGAGAACCTGAAAACCACTTTGGGAGTCAAGTCTCGATGATGAGGCAAAGAATACTGACTGAAGCTAATCTTGGGCAATAATCCTGGGGTTTAACCATCTCATTCTGTGAATGTCATAAAACACTATTTAAGGGGATAAGGGGGTTAAAGGGACCACTCCCCAAGCAAACAAGTGAATACTCTTTCTCCAACTTAGCCTTTCATTTTTGTCAGTATCTCAGCGCTGGCCTTGCCCTTGAAGGACTCATTTTGTTTAGTGTTATTTATCACCACTTTATTTTATCATTTGTGCTATTAACAGCCGAGAACGGCCAGTAGAATAGCATCTTTATTCTTAAAAGAACACAGTTGTACGTGTCATTAACAACTTGGGAGGAATCCTAAGAAACTGAAATGTATCTTTCAGAAAGGTTTAAGGATCTCCCAATCCCCAACCCCCAAAACGAAATGGAACAGATGCATCTTTTGAGTTTTCTGGCTTCAAACAGACAAAAGATCCACAGCAAAACGTTTCAGCAAACATTACAGTTTATTTATACATTTTAGTAACAAAGAACCTCTCACTCTTGTAACATTTGCACATTTCCAGAAATATCATTACCATTATTGGTTTTATTATCATGTCTGGTTTTATCATGCTGTTTCAGTAAACTGAATATTTATTTTATTTATTGTTTACAGGTTTTTGAAAGGTCTAGAATTTGGGGTAGTGGAAGCTCAATCTTCTGGTGAAAGAACCAAATCTTAGGTCTATATAAGATTCTATTCAGATCATTCTGTTACCTACCATAAATGGGTGAAGGTTTATCCCATCGTTGGATGCTGAAGCTTTTGGAAATTATTCTCACATTTTGCTGGACAGGTGGTCAACTGTTTCTTGTAGAAACCTAAAAGATTATCTTACATTTCAAAAGGGGTTAAATTATTTATTTTTATACACCTTGCAAATGCTAACAGCTATTTATTAGTAATTATGTGACCTGAATGAGAACTGATTGTTCTGGTCATTTGCACGTCCTGAAAGTTAAACAGCAGTATTCATTTGTGTGGGTTTTAAAGTTCCTGAAAACCATCTACTCTCTTTAAAAACTGCTTTAAGTGAGTAAATGCAACTTTGACCTGTAGATTTTGTTTTAAATTCCCAAATTGTTTCTCTATATGTGGAAGGGTCGTGGAAAGAATAAAAGTTACTACATGCTAACTTTTTCCTGCAAGGCACAATAATAATAATAATAATAATCTCATTTAATGTAGCAATTCTCTGCAGGAATGTTTTTGCTGGGGATGAAAGAAATGGTGAAGATGTAAATTACAAAGAACTAATTTCATTGTTGAAATATAATTCACAGACATGAGCCACTTTGTTAGAATCCTGTAATGTTTTAAATTGGCCATTTAATATTCAGAGCTTTCGTAACAATAGCAGTAATTTCTGACTCTAAAAAGCATTACAAATTTTAGAGCAGTCAAAGATTTGCCTTCACTTTTATTTGGGATAAATTTGAGACTTGACAGTTCTGTGGCATTCCAGCCTGGGAGATCACATTAACTAGTGCTGCAAATATGCTCTTGCCTGGCTTATTACGTAATTATTTTGATCTATAACAAAGCATGAAAATTCCAGACTGCCTGTGAATAAACCTGATCAGCTACAGTCTGTTTTAATTGGAGACGTTTGTAATCGATTATGTTGGGAGAGGTAATGAAAGATGAGATGAAATAGTGTTGTTAGATGCTGACAACCCCGGGGTCACAGGCACAGAGCTTGTGACTTCTGGTTTACTGAAACGTTATGGAGTTTGCCTTTTTGTAAAAAAAAAATTAGGAGTTGAAAATGTGGGATCTGCGGGGCGAGTTCTGATGGCAGGGTTTTGGGACCAGATGCCATGCATATAAAAGTGTGGAGAACTGCAATTTTCAACAGTCATTTTGTGTTCTATTAGAGAGACTGTTCCTTGTCCATGTGTATGTTAGAATTCTAGGTTGTGAGATTGATGCTACAATTGAGCAAAAGTCCTTTACAATAACGTGTTTTAAAGTATCAGCTGCTTCTACATTCCAGCAAGTTAAATCTTGCTGTGATTTGTTTTAAAGAGAACATTTCCAAATTTCCTGCCTTGAACTAAACACAACTTACTGCCTTTTCATGATTCCTTATTTTAGAATAATATGCAGTACATAATATTACTATTGCGTACATTATCATTTGTTTTCCAACCTTAACTTTTTTCCCTAATTTATATATTTATTTTGGGGGATTTATTAAAAGTAAATGATGTTTGAACTGAAGTTTTGCATAACTTGTTTGTAATTGCTAAACAATTGTTAACAAGGTGAACCTTGGAGTCAGTCATGGTCACTGGATTGCTTGTTCTATTTTACTGCACAGATACTGGTGCCCCAGTCGTGTTTCTGGGATGAGACAGTTATTCAGCTTCAGGCTGAAGACAAAAAAAAATACACCGCATCATAAATCCAGAAAATAGTGTATGCAGGAATAGCAATACTGTACTTGGTCAGTATTGATGTTCTTGGTTTGCTGCAAACTTGTCATTGGAACAGTTTACACTTGGGGTAGGGGAGAGATTCTTCAGTTTTGTGTTTACACAGGTAGTTTTCTTTATGAATGGGTAGGCAGAATTAATTTACATTTTATCTTGGTGGGACCAGCAGGTGTTTCTTATTGTAAGTTTTATTTTCTCGTGTAAAACGTCAATCAAGTGAATGCAGTGCTTCATTTCTGAATGTGTAAAAAGGGTTTGATTTTTAAAGGAAAAAAAAAGAAAATGTTAGTTGATGAATGTGAAATAAGAATACGTAGAGACCCTGCCTGGGGGCCTGTAAAGTTTGACTTTTTAAAAAAAAAAGCCTTCCAACATGAAAGTGCCTCTGCAGATCCTGACGTGTGGTTTCTGATTGGAGTCTATGCTGTATCTCTCCTTATGTTGGTTTTGAGAATGTCCAGTGTGGTGCAGTTTCTCCAACAGAATGGATCCCAATGTCTTGTAATGCTGCTCTTCATCTTGAGCCTTAATTTCACAACCAAATTAAGGTCATTTATTTTGAGAGTTTTAGAGCAGAGCCTGATTTGCCAAAGGCAGTTTCTAAAATTATGAATGCAAGTTGTGCAGAATCAATGCAAGCAATGTTATACGTTTAGTGTTATTGTAGTGAAAGACTGAGCCTCAGCCTCTTAACATATTTATGTTCAAATAGGGAACAGTCTTCTAATAAAGTTCTCTCTTCGAACAAAACCTGCATGTCTTGTCTGTTTTTATATCTTGAGTAGCCACATGATCTGCAAAGCCTCTCGCTGAAACAGCTCCAATTAAATAAATCCTCATTGAATCTATATTCATTTATATAATGCTTTTCAGGTTGGAAGGACATCTCAAAGCACTTGTAACCTTAGCAAAAAGAGAAGTTACTCACTGATATCACTTTCATCCACTTTTCAACATCACCTGGACAGATAAGTTAGTGTTGGAGCAGATCCCAGGGCGGGGAGACTGAATTGAGAGAAATTCCTAACTACGGAACTGGTTCTACAGGACAACTTATTTTGTTATGTTTTGGATGGGAACAAGAAGAGGCTATTTATTTCATTCTGTGAAGCTTGTTCTGCCAGTTAATTAGAGATACTAATTATGCCCACCCGTTTCACACACGTCCTGGTTGACAGGCGGACCATTCTGGCATTATGGTGACCATGCATCCCCGATTTCTGGGACAGTCCCCACATGAGGTATTGTGACCCAGGGGCCAAATTTTGCCCCTTCTTGAGTTCAGAGACAAACCGAGCAGGAACAATAACATTTTAAACCAGATAAACTCATCGGTGAAATACAGCCGTTAATGCACCAAGTTTCTCCAGTCCTGCCAGCATCAGGAATCGTGGTGAGTTAATTCTTTAGAAATACGCAAAAGAGTGGGAGCAACAACGATAAATTACATTTGTATTGTGCCTTTCTCGTCAGTAGCATGTACCAAGATGCTGAACCAAGGCAGCAACTCACCAACGCTTCTTCTCATCCTTATGGATGGCTGGCACCAAAGCTGGCATCTTTGAGGTGAGGGGCAGAGCTGTAGGAGGTAACGCTACAACTTTCGTCTTTTACCAACCTGTGCCTAATAGTCTCTGGAATTAAGCGTTTAAACTACTCTTCTCTAATAATAATAATAATCCTCGCATTTGATATAGCGCTTTTCACGTCTTCTCGATGTCCCAAAGCACTTCACAGAATATACTGTAAAGTGAATTGACTGTATATTTGTGGGCGAACGCGGCAGCCAATTGCGCACAGCAGCGTCCCACAAACAGTCGTAGATTGAAAATGACCAATTTATTATTGTTTTTTTGTTTTGGAGTGATTATTATCAGGCTGTGTGTGGAGTAAGGAAACTCGCCCAAGGTTTCGCCCTCTGCCTGGAATTGAACTCCGGTCTCTCGCTGGCAAAGCGAGTGCTCTAACCGCTGCTCTCTACTCTAACCCGGCAGTTCATGCTGCTTCCGCCAGGTGGCCTCACTTCACTTTTTTAAAACAAGTGGCTGTTGATAGATGCTGAATGTTTGTACAAGTTTTATAGAGTGGTAATATTTTTCAGAGCCTATAAACTAAACGATTTGGACTAATTCCTGAAACCAAATCAGATGGGTTAGATGTTCAGAATTAACATTCCAAGATTTCCTTCCGTGCTCCCGCACACCACTTTTTGTTTTAGGACTAGTGAACTTTAGTGTGAGATGTGTTGGCAATCCTTTCTTTGAATGGATAATGTTTGAAAGAATACAGAGAACGGATCAATGTGTTTGATTTCCCAAATGCAAATCTCAATAACAATAATCCTTGCATTTGCTATAGCGTTTTATCACGTGATTGAGACGTCTCAGAAAGCGCTTCACGGGATATACTGTTAATTGGATGACTGAATATACTGTTAAATGGATGACTGAATATACTGTTAAGTGGATGACTGTATTTTGTGGGTGAAACACCATGGGTCTATATTTCTTACGATGAAGATCAGGGCATACAGTTTACCGCTCATGACACTGGCACTTGAAGGCTATGAAAGGAGTTCTTGTTCATTCGTATCATTATTGTTTTGGTTTTGCATAGTACTGCTGTTACACTCCCTGCTGAAAAGTGAAACATGTTAATCTAATCCCCAGCGTGTTTTTGCTGATTAATTGAAACTACATTCTTTTTGGCACAAAACTTTGGAATGAATGTTAAGAAGCAGAAAAGTAGTTTGTTGCAATTTTATTTAGTTTAAAACTGTTTTTCTGCATTAAAGCAAATTAGATATTGAAAATGAGCCAAAATTGATGAAGATACGATGAAGAAAGTTTAAAGATTCTGGATGATGTAAGTTTCTTGCAGTTGCTTTGCGCTTCAGTGAGTTCTGTCTTGATTAGGTTCAGATGTTTCTATTTTGCAAAACTTTTTCTTCCAGGAAATCCTGTGCTTGTGTTGTAGCATTGAATGAGTTTATTTGTTTCTCTTCTTTGCACTCGCTCTGAGAGAACAAGGAATGTGTTAGAAATGCACAGTGAAATCTTGCTCTCACTATTTAGCTATGGGTGCAACCTCCTCTGATTATTAATTTAGAATCAAGAATAAAATTACTGCAATGTCGACAACATAATGTTTTAGTGCATTAACACGTTGCATCGCTAGAGTACGCTGTACGGGTCTACTGTATTTTAAATTTCCCAACACAGCAGGCTATTGATGACAGCCAAGGATGTGGGGAGCAAATGCTCAATATTTCCTGAAGGAAGGGATAAAAAGCAGAGGCCAAACCACACACGGGGCTCATCTCACAAGCTTCCCAGATGGTGAAGGTTTGAGAAGAGGTTGGTTCTGGCTACAACACTAACAACTTGCATTTATATAGCGCCCCTTAGCGTAGGGTAGCGTCTCAGACCACTCGCTGTAGAATGTTACAAGTAGATATTTTGGGGGGAAAAAAAACAGCGACCCATTTCAGATCTGGAGGATTAATCATTAACAACGAACCTTGTTTCGAGGAAATGCTTTGATTTTATCCTTATCTAATCCCAGGCATTTTGTGTAGCTTTCAAAGATTTCCATCTCTTCCTTTGAGGCGGTTGGATTCCGTTCTGTTTACAAATAAACCATTTAGGACACCAATATTTGTTGAAAATACTCAACACTTTCTCATCAACAAGTACACGATCACTAAACTACTGCACTGTGCCAGTTCTCTCTCTACCATTCTCTCCACTTTTCTGCGTTTCTCTCTTTACCTTCCGCTCTCTCTTGACCCTTTTCTCTCTTAACTTTCTCCTTTTTTTAAAATCTCTGACTCCGAATGTTTCTCTGTCATTGCCTATCCCCCTGACTCGAAGTCTAACAGATAGTTCGGAATTAAACGAATCCAGGAAGGACCAAAATTAATTATTTTACGACAAATAACAACAGTAGGAATCCTTGCATTTGATGTAGCGCGTCCACTGTAGAGTGCAGTGACTGTGTTTCCTGTCGTGTGGGACATTCCAGTCTTTATACCCCTACGCTCAGGAAGGGAGTAAATCACCCAGGATTCCTTCACTGGTTCATTACTCAATGAACCCTCGCTGAGTGCACTAGATTGGGCTCAGCTGTGATGATCCTCATTTTCCCATCTGACTAATCCCAAGACACTTCTTGTTCAGGCTCGCAGGACAAGAGGGCCCAGCAACAGTTGTGGAATCGTGTCTCTGGACAACACGAGTCGCTTGCCTTTAGGAGAAGAATCTTATGCCACAGTAAAGTAAGTTTCCAATGGTTCTGAGAACCAATTTTGGGGGGAATTGAGTTAGCTTTAGACAGGTTTTGTGGATTGCCTTGTACTTTGTATATTCTGCTATTGGTCGGTATTTTGTCAGACTTATAAGGAGTATCTTGTGCGTGCAGTTGTAGAGCTCAATTTAGAAACTTATTTATAGAGAATTGGTGCATTGATCACTCACTGAAAAGAGTTAGCATGTGGTAGTCCATCTTCTCAATTTGATATTGATAGTCTATGATCAACATGTTGTCTATCTTCGATTTGATGATCCGAAAGTTGTTGATGTTCTTGGCTTGTGGGAGCAACACAATTATTGAATTAATACACCCTTCGAAACATTCCAGAACAGCAAATAAATCCTTTTTGGGAGAGGTTACTAACCTACGTAATTGTAATTTGCGCTGTGGTCTGCGCCAACCTGAAGCTGCGCAAAATAGACGCCCTTCTTTTGGGCCATATCGTTTTACTTTGTTCTCAAATGGAATGCTCCAATATTAAGATGTCGGTGGGGCTGAATGGACTTATATTCCTTCATCAGAACTGGAACAAGTCTAGATTGAGGAACCGCTTAGCTGAGTAAAAAATTCAATCTGAAAGCTGCTTACCTCCATCTGTAAATTCATACCCATTTTCCAATACGACATAGTCTGTATTTGTAGACAAACACAAGTCTCCTCTAGGCAAAGAAAAAAATAATTTATTTACCCTACTAATTTTTCACCTTAGGCATTCACTTAAATAGAAGGGTTTGACGTCCTGAATGGCCTCCTCCTATTCCCACATTCCTATGCGCTTACTGAAGTACAGTTTTATGGGTGTTAGCCATATTTTCTAAGTAGACGCTCTTTATACTTAGCCTCGATGATTTGGCTCAGCAGGTGTGAAGGGCATCATAGTTGAAACTATTCCTGCCTTGCACAGCAACCAGATATGTACACTGGATGAATATTAGGAATTTCTGTTCCTCAGCCTATTCCCCTTCTTTAGCCTATTGACACAGAGGTGCTAACACCCATATTGGGGACAGGTTGAGCTTGGTGGCGTGTGGTTGTCTAATAGCCACGACTGAGAGAGACATTTTCATTTCCCTCCTTTTGCTGGGTCACATCATTTGACTTTGTTCTCAAATGGAATGCTCCAGTATTAAGATGCTCCTCATATTCCATCTCATTTGAGATTCAAAACCCTCCACTCAAATGCATAGAACCAACCAAACGTTAACAGGAACAGGATTAAGCTTTCCATATGTATGTGTATATATATATATATTTCGAGAGAATTGTCATTCCAAGCAGTGCTGAGACCTCTGTCTGTTAAACAACCTGGCAACCTTGAAATACAAAACGGAGCCATTTAAACAACCCCTTGAAATTAATTGTCATAAAAGAATACCCTTACATTGGAGTATACTGGGGATTACATGTACAGTGAAACTTTTTGAACCTAGATTTACACTCTTATGTAATAGGCAATAAATATGACCTACAGTTGGCTGTATTCTTTTATATTTGTTTTGTTCAGTTTGACGTCAGGAGTGCTTATGAAATATGAATTGTCAATGTTGGCAAAACGTGCTTGATATAGCTCCACCTCTGTAGCTACTTGGATGAAGTACCATTTTCCAGCTAGCTGCAATAGGAAAAAGAGAAGAAAATAATAAGAATAATCCTTGCATTGAATATAGCACTTTTCACGTCTTCTAGATGTTTCAAAGCACTTGTAAGAGAGTGATAATAATAACAAGTGTAAAGTGAATTGACTGTATGTTTTGTGGGCAAAACGCGGCAGCCAATTGCGCACAGCAGCGTCCCACAAACAGGCGTGGATTGAGTGACCAAATTATTTATTTTGTTAAGGGATTATTTTCCCCAGAAAAGCCACTCGACTAACAACTGGGTTCCTATTTACTGCTAGGTAAATAGAGGCATGTGGAGTAAGGAAACTTGCCCAACGTTCTGCCCTGCCGGGAATCAAACCCAGGTCTCGCTTGCGAGGCGAGTGTTCTAAGCACTGAAGCTGGACACCAAATCACGTATTTGAGTTATATAATAAAGTTATAATAAAGATGTGTTATCATGCTCATTGTTAATGAGTTGCCATCAACGGATAATTACTAAAGATCCTTTGGCAAGAGTTTTTTTAACTGTATTTTTGCATATATTGTTTTTGGAATTAAAAACCTTTTAATCACAGATTATAATCATAAACAGAATAATGCAATATATATCCAGCAAGCTCTATTCTGTAAATGCCTGTATTCTGTAAAAATGGAAGTGCAGTATCTAAGTCCTTGTTCTATGTTGACTGTCCTTTGTAAGCAGTTTGACAATGCTGTGCCGAGATCAGAAAAAACTGCTCTGGATTCAAAATCTTCACACATTTTAAATTGTGCCTTCTAACAAACTGAGTCCAAATGTGTCTGAGAGAGAATTTGTGACTGAAAGGGCAGAACAGCATTTATGATCTTTTAATTACCAATAATGATTAGAAACGCACAGCCCACTTCTCTCTCAGAGGATACATACAGGGCAATGTATGATGATTGTGTCATACAGAACAAAAAAAACTGTTAAATTCGTATAAGAGCAGAATTTGCTACTCGTAGGTAGTGGGGCAGTGAGTTGTCAATGATTAGCCTCAAGGTTGGGAAGGAAACAATCAGCTCAGAGTTTTCCATAATTCTGTGAAATCTTATATTTTAAGACAAAAATAGTCTCATAAAAGTATGATTTCAGGCCTCCGATATTAAAGGTAAATTGACAGCATGGATAGAGGGTGGGAGAGAGTAATTATGATTTTATATATATATATATGAATACATTCTATGAACATCGCTCTATTCCCTATTTGCCCGTTCCAACCCGTTTTTGATAGTTCGTGTCAGATCATTACAACTCTTGATTATTGCCCGCAGCAGCTGGAAGAGACTGAACCTCCGGTCAGTGCAAGTTGATCTTTTAAGCAATTTTTTTTTAGAGAGTTTGTCTTACCTGTGGGTTTGCAAGGTCGATCTTTACTGGTTCGAGTTTACAGGCCTGCGAAGCAGTGCTGAGAACTCCAGCCAGAGCCACAGAGATGAACAAGAGGACGGAAACAGCCATTCTTCTTCTTGGGTCTGTCGGTGCTGCTGTACTGAATAGCAATGGGAAGTAGCACGAGTATTTATAACCGACTGAATATCAGTAATGGTTATCTGTTTCAGTTTTTTTAACAAAAAAACATTTTGGTTTCTTCTGGGGTAATTGCAACATGTCTTTCGATTATGTTACTGTGAGTCTACGCCCATAAGAAAGAACAGGATCTAAAAGAATTTAGTGATGCAATTGTACACTGTTCTGCTGATTTGTGTCATTTTGTGACAACACCGTGGACAGAGCTGCTTTTGTTGATTATTGTCGGGTAATCATTTTGAGCGAAATGTGAGGCCTTTTCTGTGCTCCCTCAGCTTCGCTCATCTCAATGTCTTTTCAGAGTAGTAAATATCAGAGCGAATTAGCTATTTGGAGAAGAAATCAATCGAGGACAGCACATAGGAAATGAGGAAGTTATTTCGGCCTTAGATCTTAGCTGGTCTAGAAAATAATATCTCAGGATACAGTACATAGTTTGGGACACGACATGTCAAGCAACTGCCAGGATGGGAGAAGGTGAATTAAATGGACCTTGGTCTTCTTTTGCCAGCAAATTCTCATGTTCTTATGATCAGTGCCAATTTTTCTTCATGTTTTACATTATTTTGGGCTTTTATTGCACTATTTCCTCTCGTGTTGGATAGACTATTTCAGATAGGATGCGAGCAAAAGGGAGGTTAGGAGAATTTTGTTCACACACAGAGTAGTTAAGAGTATGCAATGCCCTGTTGGGAGAGCAGTGGTTGAGGCAGAGACCATATTGGCCTTCAAGATGGAACTGGACAAATACTTTTAGAAGAGTCAGGTACAGGAATATATGGAAAGGGCAGGGAAATGGGACTGAAAAGATTGCTCTTGCAGGAGCAGGCGCAGATACGGTGGGCCGAATGGTCTTTCTGTGCGCAGTGAAGTTCTTCGACCCGAAATATGGTTTGAACACAGATCTTTCTGACTCACAGGCGAGAGTGGTACCACCTGAACCAGGCTGGTTATGAAAGGATTATGTCACTTTTATTTTATTTTTATGTCACTTGCTAATTGTGCTCATTCCTTTTTAACATCTTTTTAGGTTCATCGCTTTATTCTGGTGACCTGCCTGGTACTTTATTATACTGAGGGAGTTCCTCTTCATTTGAGTTCTTGTCATTTTCTGGGTGTGACGTACCCTTTACTTACTTGTGCTGTTACATTTGAGCGAATAGAGAATTCCTGTTGGGAACAGACAGAATGTTCCATTGATCTAAAGTTTCAGCATTGACATAGATATCCCTACATCAGCTCTGCTATTTGCTGGATCAAGCGCAGTGTGGCCAGTGTTCATTGAAAGGAATAACCCTTTTATGAAAGCTACATTTTAATGCTGTCTTTTCATTACGATGGCGGCTGAACAAGCAGTTTATCGGCACTTTCTATTATATTCCATTATATTCCAAAGCAGAACATCGAGGCCCAGTTTGGTGGGGGGAGAAAGATCAACGATAAACAGTTGGCTCTTTGAGCGCAATGCAACCTTTCAGTTCAGCTTGTAGCTCTCGCTCCTCTGTGTCAGCACATTGTGTGTTCAGACACGCATTGGGTCTTGAAACTCATCTATTCTTTGCTGAGACTCCAGTCCAGTGCAGGGGTGTGTACTGCATTGTTAGAAGTGACGTTCTTTGGATGTGACATTAAACTGAGGTCCTGTTGCAGTTCAGAAGGATGTTAAAGAAGCCATGGCATTATTTGAAAAGAGAAAGGAGTTTCTCCTGGTGTTCCCCCCCAAATAACATTGGTCAGTCACTTCACGGCTGTTTGTTGGGACTTGTGCTGTGCGCAATCAGCTGCTGTTTTTGCACACAAAATCACTCCACTGCAATACGTCCTGCGCGGCATTTAAAGATGTCCTTCGGCTGTGAAAGGTGCTATACCAAATGTAAGGACCTATTATTTTATTATTATTATTGATAGTGAAGACGGGGTAACAAGATAAAGGGAAGTTGTTTGTAAACCAGTGTGTGATTCTGGAGAATTCAAGCTGTTTCCTGATATTTTTGCAGTAATTCGTGCTGTCTGAAGAGAGTGATAATAATAATATGGAGAAAATGTGGCCTTTAATTTTGTTCTCAGCACAAGTTATCTTCATCTACTTTCTGAAAGTTGGATTGCATTTTTTTTTTTTTCTGGAATAATGTACAAAACTGCCAAACTAGATGTCATTGCTTCAGTTTGAAATGTTTATTTCGATAAGTTCCAAAAACTTTAATTTCAAACAATGGAAGTCTAAGCCCCAAAGAGACTAGCAAATGCTGAATAAAGTACTTCACAGCTAAATACTGAACTGTTGTACAGAACGTTCAAACTTCTGCGACTAAGGCGATAATGATAATGACGTCTGCAGATGACCATTTTATGGTAACTCTGTTTCTATAGCAACAGACAAACAAAGAGAAGCGAATGGAATAGGAAAAAAAAATACCCAAACAACAAATAAAACCTAAACAAAATCAAAATGGAAGTGTGTTCGGAATGGTACCAAAATGCAATCTGAGGTATTCTGATGGCTGACGTTTAACTGTAACCGATTTCAAAAAGTGAAATAAATTTAATAATGTATTTAGAATCTAGATTCTTCACATATTTTCTTCACAATTTTAAAAACACACAAAAAAAAAATCTCCAGGTTTTTTTTTTAAAAAGAAGCGCTTAAAGCATTTTCCTATACAGTACACGTTTAAAACTCTGCAATAATATCTTATAGATTTGAGACACTGAAATATTCTTTTCTTCCAAGCACCAAATTTACACATTAGACAAGCCAAACAAGAACTCTACATAGCTCTCCAAGACCAGTTGGTTGCTGAAGTGACAAGTTTACAACTACAAAAGACTGATCTACTTCAAAACATAGACATCTGTGTGAAAGGGTAAGGCGATTTTTTTTTTAAACCATGGTTTTAAAACATTTAAATAACATTAAATAGCAGATTGGAAAATATTGATCCACTGTATACATCATAGCTTGCGGAAACATTTTACACACATTTATGGAGCAGTTGGAAAGCCTACTATTATATCAGGAAAAAAAAAATGTTTTTTTTTTGACTTTCTTTCCCCTTTTTTTATAATAAAGCTTCCCTAAATATTAATTACAGCTTTCAGGGTCAACTTTGTACAAATACAAAGCAGTGTTCATAGTAAGAAAAGACAATATGATTTACTGTCATTCCACAAAATAGTTCACCTATCATTTTCCCCAATTTTTTTTAAAAAAATGATCCATCAGTGATTTAACAATAGGATTTAAAACCTGCTGTTTTCACTCTTTGAAATACAATATAAAAAAAATCCCTTACAATATTTAAAGGCACTTTTCAAAAAAATTAAGTTAACAAATAATGTTGTTTCTCAGACTGCCTGAAGAGAGAGAGGGGCTATTTTGCTTGTAAAAAAAAAAAAAATTGAGATCTCTTTCACAAGCGTTCTTTCTGCTCTGTGGTAATTTACATAGCACCATGGATTTGAAAATTGCATGTGAATTGAAAACAAACATGAGGATGTGAGCACCAGTACCAGACAACAGGAGGTAGAAAATCACCCCAGGAAGCTCATGCGATTAGCACCGTATTATATTGCTGGGTTCCTAATGCACCTTTTCTGTTTCGTACCCTGCACACGATCTCAATTAATTCTGATAAAATCGGTGGCTCGAAACAACGCTAGAACCACTCGAGTCATTAATATTAATGTTTTGGGTTTAGACAATTTTGACATCTCTTGTAAATTCCCCTTTCTCTCCCTCTTATTGCACATTGGAAATGCTTAGCAGACCCAAGCAAACCACCAGCTCCTTCTATTTCGTACGCGCGCACCACTCTTTCTCAGTAGTGGCTGTCGGTTTTGTGAAACCTTTCAATGAATAGCATTTCAGGCGATTGTTTCGATGAATTTTCTGCAACTCAATTATAGGCGTTCTCATTTCTCTCAACACTCTTTGGTTTATAGGTGGAGGACTTCGATTCAGGTGCTTTCAGTTAAAAGCTCCAACAAAACAAGTTCTCAACATTTTTTTTAAAAAAAAACTATTGATAACCTTTTACCAGCAATGTGACATTTTTCGATCATGTCAGCGATTCCTTGAGTTTTATTAAATACACAATAAAGAATAACTTTGCTCTTGACTTGATGGTTCAGTCAATAGCTCAGAGAAAGCAAACAGGTCCAACCTCTAGATGGTAGTGTATTCCAGGCTTTCGTTGCGGTAAATTATAAACACCTATGATTGGCAGTTGATTGGGTTCCTGGGTGTGGAAAAAGAAGTGTGTCTGATGCCATCGACCATCCTGTACCTGAAAAGTGGGGAAAAATAAAATGAGGTTAATTTACAACACACTAAATCCTTTCTTTTAACTAACATTCACTCACTTTGTTACAGGATCTCACTGTTAGAATTGTTACTCTATGTAGGTGTTATGATTCTGTTCTGTTTGAATGTTAAGAAGTAAATAAACAAAATAGCTTTGTATTGGACCTATTCTGAGACGAGCCGAGGCACTTTGAAGACGTCCAAACGTCTTTGGTTTACTAAATTTATCTTGCTACATAGTTATATCAAACACAAAACATAGTCAATTCACTTTACAGTATGTTCTGTGAAACGCTTTGAGATGTCAACAAGACGTGATAAGGCGCAATATTATATTTCATTAGTTACAATGAAACTAAGTTCAATAACAAATCAAATACAGAATCAAATACCCAGCAGTTGTCCAGGAGTACTTCTGGTAGAAACTGTCCTCCTGGTTTCAGCATCTGGCCATTCCACGATTTGAACATGACGGCCTGTTTGAACGGTTTGTCTGATTGTCTGTCTGTCCATACCGGTACATTTAGACAGTGAATGATGATATGTTGGACCGCCTCAGAGCTCAGTAAATGTAAGAAGTTCATCTGGACCCGTCCCACTGAAAACTCCAACTAAAAAAAAACCAAGAAAATAATCATATTAATAGTTGTATCCAATGCACATTACATGTAGTATATATGTATATTTGATTCTATTTAATACCTGACTTCCACAAATCAAATTTAATCTAAAAATATTTACAGGGAAATGTCTCAGCGGATAATAGGAAAACACCTGTAGTTTGATCCAAGACGAAAGGGAGAAAAAGGGGAAAAAAATAGATATATTTTAATGAATGAGTTAATTGTTTTTTACGAAGCGCTTTGAAACATTTATTTACGTGAAATGTGCTATAAATGCAAGGTCATTATGTTGTTCTGCTTACAAGGACCTCATGGCTTGCAGCAAAGCTTAGTTTTTATTGGAAAAGATCTTTTTTTTTCTCTCTATTTTCCTATTTCCAGAGCATAGACCGGCAAAATAAAATGGTCCATATTGCAGTGTTTTGGGGCTGCAATGCCACTAAAACACACCAGATGGCATTGCGACGAGTGGACCAAAGCTAACAACAACATAGCGTCTCGGAGCGCTTAACTGTGCCGGAGCTTGATGCCGAGCGGAGGGGACGAGGGACTTGCAGGAGGCGGGGAGCCGGTTGAGCAGAGGTGGCAGGAGGTGGAGTGGGGGAGTAAGCAGGTCAGAGAGATTGGGCAGGCGCTGTGGCAGGAAGCGATTTGTAAACGAGTATGGGGATCTTGAAGCCGATCCGTTCTAATAATAATTGGGAGCCCAGCAAGGACTGGGGGGGTGGGGTTTGGTGCAGGTAAGGACAAGCATGGTGGAGTCTTCAATCCATTGGATTTTGGCCATCACGGAGAAGCTGACCAGGAGGGCGGTGAAATAATTGAAGTAGATGGCGATGAATACGTGGGCAAAAGCACCAACAAAAGCCTTCTTTGATACCGCGCGAGTTTGTGATGTACTTTACGCAAAATGCTTAATTCTGGTATCTTATTTTTCTTACGGACCGAGCTAGAAATGTGTCAGTTTAGCAGTCGTTTCGCGCCCATCAGAACACCTGCAATGCAGGCGATTGATCAAACATCTGCCAAGGTGCCCCGTGGGGGGGAAAAACATTTCAGATCTGAGACCGTTTGAGCTGCTCCAGTCTAAGCAGTAATGTGCAGGGCTGCTTTCTCAGCTATACGAAGATATAGTAAAGGCATTTTTTAAAAAAAAAACAGAATAAGATATACAGGAGACTATAGCGTTACCTTTGACACAGTAATAGGTTTCAGACAGGTTTGCCCGCCTTTTGTGAAGTTACATGTCACCTCGATGGTGTCAGAGGAACAACCGAGGTTAGGGTCAATCCAGTAAGTGCCTAAGAAAGGAATTAAGAAAAGGATCTCAGAACTGTACGCATGAGGGGGTGAAGCAGTAAAGGGGAATTGTACATTTTGGAACCCCACACAAACAAAATGGTCGGAAGAGAATGCTCCACTTTTATCGTGCAGCCAGCGACTGTATTTTTAGATGGGTTATTCAACTACTGGGCATATTCAAAGCCCACAGCGCTCAGGGTTTTGAGCTCTGATCCCCGTCTCTCTCTCTCTCTGTAGTCCAGTCTAATTCCTTCCGAAAGTGCAGGTCTGATAGGACCAACTCGCTTGAAATTTCACGTCGTCCTTAATACCAACTTGTCTTAAAATATAACATTTCACAGAATTGTGGAGATTTGCGTCCCAGTTTGGAAGCTGATTTTCCGTTGTCCTTAAAAAGAGCCGGTTTCCAAATTGGGCTCTTCTGGAGATTGGAATTTATTTAGAATTTGTGCAGGAAGGTAGTTATCAGATTTGGACAACTATAGGAGATTTTATATCATACAAACTTATTTATTTATCTATAAAGTTAAGCTGAGATTGAGCACCTGATTCCAATAGTTAGCAATGTTCAAAAAAAAATCGAACAGACAATGACTGTCACAAACCACTGCAAAGGAATATTAAAAATATTTACAAGAAATGGCACTTATTCGACCGTCTCCCTCCCATCTCTCTGCCTTCCCTCACCCCACCCTCCCCCACGCTCGGGCCCCGACATCTGACTGTTCAGCGCTTTGGGACATCCTCCCGACGTGAAAGGCGCTCTATAAATGTCATTTTGTTGTTGTTATTCCCGGCTAAAAGGGCAGCCGTGTTAGCCATGTGCTTCAAATCGGAATCCTTGTGATAATTTGAACCCACCGTCATTCATTCGCTGCTCACAGTTCATGAGGTCACGACAGATACGGGCAGGATTATCTCTTGTGCCCAGGGGGTTCTTAATGCTCTGGATAAGATTACTGAGGTAGTGTAGAGTCTTAAAGATCTCTGCTCCCTGGTCGATCAAAGGTAGGTCTGAATTCTGATAGTTCTGCAGAGGAGAGAAAGGTTAAAAACTTTCCTTTTTAAATGGAAGATTTCCACTGGCGTAAATAAATACAGGTTGGATTTTTATTTCAAATGGCCAATCCTTTGGTGTCCTGGAAAGAGATCCAATGTTATCATTGTCCAACATTTTTCAATTGGATGAAAACAATCACTGGTTAAGCCTGCGGGGTTTGGTACACACTGTGGGGCTCAAAATGATGTTTAATGGATCCAGAAAGGGCTGGAAATTGAGGGAGCAATTTCAGGGTAGTCCAACCCTGCTGCCAGTTAAGTATCCATGTGTGTACATTTCCAGCAAGTCGGGATCAGAAGAGGTCATCCTGTTCCTGAAGCACAGTTGACAGAGATCCAGGGATGTTAACTTTCATTGCTCGCCATGTCAAACAGCAAATAACCAAGGACAAATAGGACACTGGGCCATATTGCCACATCAATATAGCTCTTCAGACTTGAACCAAGATGTCTCAGAGGTGTGTGCAATTTTAAATGGGATTGATTTGGGTCCTTTCCTACACCTGCATATTTGCAGCTTCAGCACAACAGACACATCCAGTTACGACTGTAAGGAACGTTACAATTGCAGATTTCATTCCTGTGACGTTACCTCTGTCCTGAGTGCAGTGTTTGTGTCGATAAAAGCTTGAAAAGCAGCACTTAGATCCTCATGTTTCTGAAAATAAAAAATGACACAAAATGATTGAAGTGGACTACAGGACTAAAAAGCAAAATAACCCTTTTTTTTTTCCTTTTAATACCAGTGCGCTGATGGCTCAGTGGGCGAAGTTTGCTATTGAACCATTCAACCAGAAGAGGAGATCCTACATTCAATCTCTAGTATCTACAAAACTGTGACAATCAGCCATGAAGGTATTAAATGGATTGAATCGGTGATTGAAATACAGTTCGCACACACTGCAGTACATCAGGTCACATCGAAACCACACAGGTTACTGAATGGTTTCAAAGATCTGTGATGTTTTTTAAAAAGAAACTTATCTAGGTCAGAGTGGTGGAGGGTAAGCAGCTATTTTATTTAACTTAATAGAAGCAGGACTTCGAACTGAAAACAAAAATACTTACGATTGGAACAGGAATTCCAGGGAGACCCTGTTCAAAAGACGACAGTGAGTCAACTATCAGTTCAAATTCTAGACATTCTATTCGTTTACGATGCATTTTTATTAATTACGTTTGGGGCCAATTTGTAGGATTTTCTTTAAGTCATTCCTAAATTTCTTTAGTTAGCTTCCCAAGGTTTATTTGCCTGGGAAGGAGGAAATCCCTGATCTCCTCGGCCAAAAAATAACTTTTACTGATGGGTACGCAAAGTTAATGAAATGGTAGTAAGCTAAAAAAAAAACAATTATCGTACAGACCCTGATGTAGTACCTAAATAGGGTCCGAATAACTCCATTTTGGGGGTAAATAAACCCTTCCAAGTAATAATAATAATTTGATCACTCAATCCACGATTGATTGTAGGACACTGCTTCGCGCAATTGGCCCACAAAATACAGTCACTGCACTTTATAATATATTCTGTGCGACGTCTCGAAGACGTGACAAGGCGCAATATCAAATGCCAGGATTATTATTATTTCCTGAGGTAAGGGAATCATCCACAGTACTCTACTCGCAGAGGACACCACCTAGTGGTGTTCCGAAAAGCATTCCTTAAAGGAAAGTTTTGGAACGGATTAGGAATCCCACAAATTTTGACCCGTAATATCTGGCAGATCCATAGATGATAAAGCTTTTTTTTTAGTACAATATTAAACCCCCCCCAAAAAAATAATTAAGAACCTACCGGTGGTCCAGGGAGTCCTCGGGGACCCATTGGCCCCTAAAGGATTAAAGAATCTTGTTAGATTTCAATATAAACCCATATTAAGAACGGCAGAAACTACAAGAACAGAAAATGGATAGAGATCGGAAGAAGAGCCACACAAGAATAGGTTACATAACCCAACATACATTTTGAATTCATTTTGAGAGAGTCTGGATGACTTTATAGCTGGATTCGAGATCAATAAAACAAATTAATAAAACCTCAAGTATGATGATTCAATACTCATTGCAGATACGAAGGAGATTCCAAGAGACACTTGGACAGTTGAAAATGTGGATTAAAACGGATAAAATCAATGATAATTTACATGAAAAGAGATGGTCTCAAAATTGATCTTAAGAGTGGATGCAATCATTTGCATTTATCTTGTGACTTCCGCAAAAAAAATAAACATTTCAAAGCACTTTAGAGAAGTTCTAATTCATTGGAAATGAAAATAACTTTATATAGGCAAATACAACAGCTAAGGCTGTGCCAGCAACTCCTATTAAAAACAATACGGGAATAGTTCAAATAGTTTACTTTGCGTCGTTTATTTAATAACATCTGATGACTTGACTGAAGCAAAAGTAAATGACACAAAGCAATTTGAAAATAAGTATTTAACACCATGAAAGAGCTTTGATGCCAATATAAAATCAGGTTGGTAATTATATCAGCTCAGGGACTCTATATGGTCAATAGCATTGCTTTGATCCCTATCAAAATTAGCTCCATAAACAGCACAATTATGCACCACATTTACTCTTCTTGGGTGAAAGAGACTTAAGAAGCATAAACTAAAAGGAACATCTTACCCTTGGGCCTGGAAGTCCCTGCAATCATATGGACAAAGGGAAAAAAAGAATGATTAAGTAAGAGTTCCACACAGTTCTCAGAAATGTACTTACACACATCATCCTATAGATATTCCCTCTTCACCTCCTGCGGTCCCCTGTTTTGACTTATACATTTTATACCGCCTCATCATATCAGTAAGACATCTCAAAACACATCACGGGATACACTGTAAAGTGGTGTGACTGTGTGTATTTTGTGTTCTGGGAAACCACTGCACAGAATTCTGGAGACCATCACCTAAATTAATGGGTGCTCATCAGTCTCGAGGATCTTTATCTCAATTTTTCATTCGTGAAACAAATTCCTGAGCTAAATATGGATAGGAACAAAGGTTTGAAACCGCAACCTCTCGAGGAATATCGACCCGTCGTTTTATTTGACAATTGTCTTTCTTTCCAATTTGTTCATCTCGTATTTGATCACCAGGAGATAACAGGTGAGGGAGATGTGCCAAAGGGCAATTAAGAATGTTATATGATCCTAACCCGTCTGTAACAGCCAGAGCCCTAAGAACTGAGCCTGATGAGACGTGGTGGCTTATTACTCAATATATCAGGAGAAAATAAGTAGCTGTGTCATCCACCTCAAATAACAGACGGACAAAGTTAATCAAAATGTTAATGTAAGTCCTTCCAGTTAGTCATTCTTACCGTTTCACCTCGATTTCCTTTATAACCTTTCAGACCCTACAAAGGCAAAGTCGAAAGATTGATTGACTGTCTGGAATCGATTGAATTCTTATCGAGTGTCGAGAAAAACGTGCTCGCTGCAATTATCAGAACGACGGGCGATTTTGTTTTAAACTTTGCAATGAAGAAACAAAAGAAAGAAAGGAAGAAAGAAAAACACTTACAGGATGTCCTGTGGGACCCACCATACCAATTGGACCCTTAATGCCTTCTTTGCCCTAGACAGATAACACCAGTTAATCTCCGGCCAAAGAAAAATCACAGCTTCCTTACACATCAAGTGGACATCTCAAAGCACTTCACACAGCTGACGGCAAATACTGTTGGCAGCATTCCACTGAGCCGAGGTTGCATCTCAGGTGTAGGTGACAATCAAGTCAAAAATAAATGATTGTGACTTTGTACACCATACGATTTTGGAATATTTGCCAAAATGATTCTTGAGCACGATGACCGTCCGAAATTGTGGTTCCCAAGAAAAATGCATCACTGTTTTTATGTCTACGACTTCACGGATGTGTTCTGCACTATTTGGTATGGGACTATAAATTAGATTAGTTGTAAAACACACACACACACACACACACACACACAGTTTTATCCTCACAATTCAGTGTGTTTGGATTCTTTCTTCACAAAAAATTGTGAAAACAAGAAAAATAAATCTTTTTCCAAAAAAATCTCTCAATTTGCTGAAATAAACATTTACCATTAATCCCGGAGGCCCTTTTGGCCCCTGTATCCCAGTGAAGCCTTTATCGCCTTGATAGCCCTACACAAGAAGAAATCAAGATATAATAATGATACAACAAGGTCATTATTGGTTCTGGATGCTGATACCCTTCGCTACTGAGAAACATCAACAAAATAATCAGGTAACAAAGATTATCACAATATTCTCATAATCCCAGAAACGGCACTTTTGTTTCCCAGAAATGTGATGGTTCATGGACCCTAGGATTCTTAGCTGTTCAATCACTGTTGTTGCACTTTATTCTGTACACTATACACACACGCATTGCAGTTAATAGACGTTTTGCATCCGATAGACTCAAGAAAACAAAATATCTTTACTGATTTTTTTTGTCATGCAAGTAGGTTCAAGGATCAAAGCTGCCGTGGAACAAAAAAAGATTGAGAAGATTCTCAATGGGAGAATGTTTTCCTGTATTCCAGACTTTACAATAAAACGTTCAGCATCAGCTATGTTGCCACTTTTCCCTCGTCTTTTGGAGGTGCTGATCGTCGGTATACTATTGCGTTAGTATTATCAGCTCTGCTGGGGATTTATTGGTCAAACAAAAATAAAAAGTCAATTCTGTTTCTAGATTCGATACCTTGGGTCCAAATACTCCCATCAGCCCGGGAAAGCCAGATTCTCCAGTGTCTCCCTGAAATCAACAAGAATGGTTTAGTTGATAATCAGCCGCACATAAGTCAAGACTTTTTTTCTGCAGTAATGAAGAAGCGAGTCTGAAAACATACAAGTTTTGTGTGTTCCACAAACAGGTTTAGCCATTTCTTCCGAGGTTACTCGCAGTTGGGTTACCAGTATGCAGCAGGAAGAAATGGGAGAGTTATCATTTCTTCCTGGGATATTACATGTTTTGTATAATTACACGACAAAGTTGAAGGTGTAGCTAATTCTTGGAAATAAAGAAATCAGGTTTTCGAGAAAAACATGCTCCTTCATGATGATTTTGGATCTTTTTCCTGTTGACGTCGGATTGAAACATAGTGACTATGAAGAGTAGAATGTCTAAACTTAGAGAAAAACTCGAGAGATTGAATATTAAATAATCTCAGATCCCAATTAATATGAATTTTTAAACTTCTTCCTTCCGTACTTTCATCCAGCTTCATAAAATCATTGGCAGATGCACTTAAATGAATGGAAAAAGGAAACAAAAAAACAACATTTCTGGTCTGTATTTAATCTCTTAGTAACAAACTTCAATTTTTATTGCTTATTTTGTTTGCTAAAGAAAAGCCAGTAATCCATATTTGTTTTTCAACATTAAAAGGCTTCATTTTTTAATCAGAATAATTTACAGAAAACCATAGACAAGACCAAAATACTGCAATTATTCATAATAAGGGTTATCCGAATCCGCATGTCGGATTCTAATGAAGTCACTGAAATCGAATGGAGAATAAAGCAAAATCTTTATATTACAAAACTTTTATATAAGGTCTGTCAACAGGACCTAAATGACAAATTTACAAGCCACATTTCTCCACCATCATTTTGTTTGAAGATGGTCATTCTAGCTGTAACTAAAACACTGCTAAGATAGCAATAGTTATTCAGCTAATAAAGTGCACGATGGTTGATTTAAAAGGGCAGATTGATTAAAACGTGGCTTCCCACTTCTATTCACAAGATCACGAGATCAGTTTGGATGAAGTCCAAATGTCCTGACCTCAATCACCTTCCTAGTAAGGTGTTCCAGTTGTTAATTACCCTCTGTGGACATCATACGACACAAATGATGACAGGTCAGCCAGCAAAGTAAAGCCTTGATGGTGGTTTGAGCTGGACAAGCAGTGGGATATAACCTTGCTGTAGAGCGTTAATTTTTGCACTGGACTGAAAAAAATTGATGCTGATGACAACTCATTACTTACGTTCCTCTGAATTTTCTGCTGACAGTTAATATTACAGGATAATAGTGATTAACTAAAGGAAATTTGACTGACCGGTTGACCTTTAGATCCTGGATCTCCTCTGTTCCCAGGTAGACCTGCCCCTCCTTCCATTCCTTTTTTCCCTGATGGTCCTTCCTGACCTAACAAACCTCTCTCTCCCTGCAATTACAATGAGAAAAACATAGATTTATTAACTTTAGTTCCAGGCTGATAAGAGCAGAGCCATAAATCCAGGAGCAGAATCCGTCAGTCTCCAACTTAGCACTACCATATTATCAACTAAAGATCGATTGATTGGTAAAATTGACTTATATTCTCACACTGACTATCTGTGTTGACAGAAGGAATTAGTTCTGCATAAGGTCCCCAGTAACAGAAACTGAGTGGGATAGTAAGTTATAAATCAACAGAGACACAGAGAAGATCATAGAAAACGAAAAAACCAAAGAGGCTGAGAGAGAGAGAGTGAGAGCGAGGTGGAAAATTAAAGAGAGAAAGGCAGAGAGTGAAAGATTCAGGAAGCCAGTAAAAATTAGACCACGAGAGAGACAGAGAAGGGCTGCCACAGAGTAGCACCATAGTGACAATATAAATCCTAACAGTTCCTGAGTCAGTCCTGGGAGCTTCCTGCTTATGTTCGGCACGCACGGATGGGTTTGCATGAAGTTGGATCATTTGCTTGGTACATCGTTAACTGTTAATAATGTTATTTAAAGGGGGGGGAAAAAAAACCCCACATCTAAAATAGTGGGGATGTTTGTCAGGTTATTCTGAATGGAAAGAGCGTGCTTTTGAGTTGATAGTTTTCCCACTTTAATTGGCAGGTTAAGGTTCAATGTTCCTGAGGCAGTTTGGTTTCTGATCAGCATCGGTGAGGCCCAAATCCGGGGATAGAATTTCGTTCACAAATGTACGCAAAGGAGTAGGATTGCACGAACGCTTCCGGGACTGGAGGCAAGAGATACACAAAATTCTTTCACAGGGGCTAAACGGGCATTAATTAGGATAACATATCTGTCAGCTTTTGTGGATGGGCCTCAATTTGGAAGATTCAAGTTTGTTTTTTTTCCCCCAAAATTTGAGAGGGCGAGTTATCGCCTGATCCGGAATAATTTTGACACGTTTATTGGATTATATAGTAATAAATTGAACCAAGGATTTGAACTTGCTTTTAGTTAAACCCTGTCCATCAGTTACTGTGACTTAACATGAACTTAGCACATAACTGCGCGATTACCGACGGGAACTGAAGACAACTGCCATAAACATAAACCCGACTCATCCACAGGAGGCTCCAAACACCAAATCAGAAAACATTTCCAGCCTTTTAAGATACTTAAGATGCTGTAACTCCATTCTCTCATTCCTTTATCACATTTGTTTCATCTCTCTATCACGTGGGCCGGTCAGGAATGAACCGACGGCGGAGGAGGCAAAACAAGCTAATGGAATCAAGAATGGTTGCTAAAAGGGAACATTGTCTCATTTCTAGACGTCTTACTTCCTAAATGAAAACTGTAGACATCTAACGGAACTGAAATGGCGGTCAACAGGTTCGTTGGTCAGTTGCTGGAGAATCCACTTCGGGAAAGAGGACGAGACTGAGATGAACACATTTGGTGAATTGTCACTTAGCCTTTCTATTGAGATTCCAATTATAAAGTGTCACTTAAAGCAGTTTTGCCAAAGTAAACTGAATATATAGTGGCGGGACCGGCTTGAGGGGCCGAATGGCCTATGTCTTATGGTTTTGTTCTATATTGCCGACCACGCAAAGCAACACCGAGTTAACCTGTCATTCTGGAATTCTACTCTTCAAGATGAGCAATAGAATTTCAAGGAAATAACATTAATAACATTCTGCTTGTGGGAGCAAAGTGAAAATTCACCTTGAATGATGTCCCATTTCATCGATTGGTTGAGTCCATAGTTCATCCCATAGAATATAGTTTTTTTTAATGTTTGATTTTACATGTCATGGCTGCTTCTTGGACAATAAGGGTACAGAGGCTGCCATTGTTGCCCACAAAATATAATTCATAATAATAATTTCATATCTGGAGGACAAACCAAAGTACTTCAGAGGATATATACTGTAAAGTGCAGTGACTGTGTGTTTTGTAGGCAGCAACCAATTAGTGAACAGCAATGTCCCACAACCAGCCATGGACTGAATCGGGGAGTTTTGACTGGGACTCAGGAGAAACTCCCTTCTCTTTTGGAATAGTGGACAGGACCTTTGACGTCCACCTGAACAAGTGTACGGGGCCTCCGGTTAAGGTCTCATCCGAAGGACGGCAACACGACAGCACATCCCGGCATTTCACTGCAGATTCACCATAGGCTATCTAGATTAGTTCCAAGTCCCGACTTGGGGCTTGAACCACAACCTTGTGACTCAGAGCTGAGAGTCTTACCAACTCAGCCAGGCTGACGCACTAAAATAGTCACCGCCCTTGACAGAAATCACCTGCTAAGTGTTCTGACCCATTTTGAATTGATAAGATTCTATTAAAGTGAAAGCTGTGCAGATAATCTACCTTGTAACAGAATTACTTCCGTCGTTTCTCCTTCTCCCGCGACGGTGCACAATCGAGAGAGAGAATCGTGGCAGAGGAAGTGCTGAAGTGGCTCACCTTAAGCCCAGGGGATCCCTGAGATCCAGGCAATCCTGACAAACCAACACGGCCTCGGGCTCCAGGCATACCAGTCAGTCCTATGTTTCCATCATCTCCCTGCTCTCCCTATGTTATAAGAGGAAGGGAAACATTTACATGTCGTAAACGGTGGGGCTGTTGGGGACACACAGCTAATATGTCTAAGCCGCTCACTGTACAGTTCCTGTGGTATTCTTCCAGAGAGGTGATAGTTTCTTAAGGAGAAGCTAAACAAAAGCTGCGGTAATAGGCACATCTAAATGATTAGGTTGTGCTCCCAACTCCACGGCCATGAGTGTTAAAAACACTTTTAAAAAAATCACTGATGCAACGATCGTCAAATTACTGGAGGATATTTCACTGCTTATTATTGGGGTTTTGATTACGAATGTAAACAAAACATAATTCAGATGGGAGTTAAGGCACAAGTTATGTCGTACAAGTGAAGTGAACTAAACCCAGTCGGATAAATGTTACATTTACTGGTACAGAATGCAGTATTTGTTCACAAGACAGACACTTCCTCAAACGTGACGTAATAAAAGGTTGTTTGAGATAATCGAGATGATAATGGAGAGGAGATGAGGAGAGGCACTGCCTGAAAAGGTGGTGGAAACCGATTGAATAACAACTTTCAAAGGAGAATTAGATAGAAAAGGAGAAAATTGCAAGGATATGGGGAAAGAGCGGGGGAGTGGGACTGATTGTGTAGCTCTCCAAAGAGCTGGCACAGGCACGATGGGCCAAATGGCCTCCTTCTGTGCTGCAAGATTGTATGATTCTCCGAAACCCTCTCTTACCTGCACTCCCGGTTTGCCGTTCTGGCCAGGAATCCCATCCAAACCTGGTGCTCCCTCCTGTCCCTGTCGGCCAACGACACCCCTCGGTCCTGGAGGCCCAACAGCACCCTGGGGCGTTAAAAATAATAATAATTTACAAAAAATCATGACATTTATTAAGCTTTAAAACATCCTGATTTATTATGTAACGAGCATACAGCCTTTGTAGTAAAGAACTGCTTCTCTGGTGAACTTAACTGGTTGCGAATCACAATACTTTGCAGGAAAGTATTTAAGATTCAATTAAAAAATGATGTCGAGCGTATAGCGCTACATTCCATGGCCAAAGGAAATTTCCATGTGAAAGCGGCCGAGATAGGTACAACTCTCAAGTCTGGTTTGGATACAGTTGGCCAACAAATACATGGATGGCCGTAGTTATCGGAGGCTCGGTGGCTACTGGACCTTTGGCAAGGATTGGACTAGTGTGGGTGTTTGACGGGGCAACTTCTTGACCGGTTGGACACTACTATTCTTGAGCACGGAGCAGAATTTCCCCACGTCAGACAGTCACCCAGCTGAACCCCCCCCCCACCCCGCCCTCCCTAAAAATATATACACCGTATCTTACGTACCGGAGTACCATGATTTCCTGAATCTCCTCGTGATCCTGGTTTTCCTTTTTGTCCCTGAAAATCAAAGAAGAGCTTTACCATGCGCGGTCGAAGAGGAGGGCCTTGAGATGTGCTTTGAAGGAGGCAAGTGATACTATACCTTCATAAAACCCTACATCATCAAGTGTTATTAATCGCAGCTCATCCCACTCTAACAATGGGCATCACTCTCTGCTGTTATGATCTCCTATTCTATGTCTAGGCTCTGGACGTCCCTTTATATCTATCGACGAAAACTGTTTGTAAATGTGGCATGAGACGAGTACTGCATAGTTTAAGCATTAATTCAACTGATTTGGTAATATCACCGTCATTATGTTTCCTTGCCTATTGTTGCCTCACACGATTTGAAACGCGTTGAGAGACAAATCCATCTCACGCCACCCAGTTTGCTTTTATTATCGCCCTCGGAACACTCTATAAATGGAATTTGAATATGGAGTACATGTGCCTCCTGGTTTTATTTCCACCATGGGAAACGTTGGATTTATTCGGATCTTTGTTTTCACGTGCTCATGCTGTGCAAATGGAGGATGCAATTTTGACATTATCACTGCTGGAAACATCAAGAACTTGTGTACTTTGTTCCAGGGACTACAAAGGGCCCAATACAGCTGGCAGGGCATTGAGAGGCATTGAGAGGCCTTTAACAATGAGGTTAAAAAGCATTCAACAGGGTATCAATAAAGTGTCACACTGGTCTGTGACAAGCTGACTACATGAGCAGCTATTAAAACACTCTTTTGCCAATATATAACATGCCCCAAAACGGCAATCTGCGAATTAATAATGATATATTACAAAATCGAATACTAAATTGCGCCAGATTAAAAAAAAAACCTAGCCCGAGAGATTCAAATAGCAGTAGTCATTCTCGTTGGAATATCGAATAATGAGGGCGAAAGGTGTAAAAATGTGAGAAGGAGATAAAAAGAACATGAAGGTGAAACGGATTAAGCAGGCCGTTTGATTTGAAGAGTGCGATCAGAACTGGGAAAGCATAGCTTTAGGATTAAAAGAAAATATGGCGATCACACGTGACTGGAAGACATAATGATTAGCAGCAATGATAATGAAGCCACTATAACTACCAACAGCCTCACACATTTGGTAACTTCTGACTCAAAACATGTGTGGACATGTGCTGCATTGTTGGACGGGACATCTTTTGGATGAGACGTTAAACTGAGTTCCTGTCTGCCTGTCTAAGTGGACATTAATCGAAAACAAAAGGAAGTTTCTCCTGGCCAATAAATCCCCCAGATAATATTGGTCACTCATTCCATGGTTGTGTGCGCGGGATACTGCTGCGTGCATGACCGCGTGCCACATTCACCCACAATATACACACAAGCGCAGCAATTGCGCTTTGAGACTCCTCGACGATGTTCTAAGGCGCTTTACCAGCATCGTTACAGCGTCTGGGTTCAAGCTAGGACATTCTGCAAGCAAATTGGCAGCTGCGTTCGCCTCGACAATGCAGAAACACAATGACGACACTTTGCAGAAAATCTTGTGAAGTGCTTTGAGATGCTTTGACAGCATGATAAGGTGCTGCGTCAGATGAAAGGATTATTACACTTAACCCCCGGACCTCAAATGTGCGGAATTTGGACTTACTCAGACCGAGTCTGAAACAAAATCCAGAGGGGGTGGGGGTGGGGAAAAAAAATCCACCCTGCCAATTCCAAACTCCCGCCAACCCAACTCTCCTAACGCACACCCACAGCGCAGACCACTGATTAACACCGATTGGCTTTGCCAAGAGGATCAACACAGCTGTGTCACGTCAGTGTTGAACACAGAACCATATAATATTTTATCCGTTAAAAAAAAACTCATTTTTATTCATTAGAAATGTTCTGGAAGATTTATTTTGACTCGTTTGATTTATTTCGAATGTTAGGATTAGGATTAACACTTGAACCGGGAAAATCTGGTGTGCCAGGGGTTGACTGTTATTATTATTATTATAAAGGCAGTTACACTATTATTTTTATATAACATGTTGAGAAACACAACGGTCCAAAACAATTCTAACTTCTAATGTTAATTTCAATTAGCGAATGTGTTTTTCTTCTTGTTGAAAATTACAATGAAGCGATAAAATCAGAACAACAACAAATCACATTTGTGGAACGCCTTTCACGTCGGGAGGACGTCCTAAAGCACTGGTCCTACAGGATTTGGACCCGAGCTGGGGGTGGGGGGGGTGGGATCGAGAGGGCTGGAGGGTAAGGAAGGGTAGGTAAGGGTAGGAGGGTGACCAAAGGTGAGGTCAAAGAGGAGAGTCTTGAGACGGGCCTTTCAAGGAGGGAGCAAAGCAACAGTAGTAAGTGCATAAGTGGAACATCGCAAATGTCAATGGGAATATTGCATCGTTCTATAGCATTTAAACCTGTTAAGAGGGAGTTTTCTGACTCAATCCCAATGTAGGATCAACTCAACACAATTCTATAGATGCTGAAAAGTAGTGTGTCCACATTTGTGGGGAATATGGAGTCTTTAGAGAGTTTTGGCTTAAAACATGGTTAACAATACCCTAATAATACAGCACATGGAAGATATTATATATCTCAAACCTCTCACACAAGGCACGGTTATTAAACTTTGGGTTTCCTTTCAATGAAAAATGCTGGCTGGCAAGCTGAAATATTGCAATTTTCTCCACGTAATTTTTAAAAAAAAAATTGGGTTCAATGGCACATGGATCACATTATAAATTCCAAGTGCTGCTCATCAGCTCTGTGGTTTTCAAACCCTTGGCTGATAATAGCAGATTGAAGCTGGTAATTATAGTTGCTATGGTGAAATGTCAGTAATTATTTAGTGTGAAATATGAATTTTATTCTGGGATCTGGAGTTATTTAAATCCTTTTTTTTTAAGTATTGTTAAACTGCATAATCCAATATCAAGATTTGAATGCAATTGTTACCCACAGTACAGCGGTGTCTTGATGTCTGCCAAAGCGGAGGGAATCTCCTTGGTGGGAGGTTCACCCGCAAAATATACAGTCACTACACTTTAACGGTATGTTCTGTGAAGCCCTTTGAGACGTCCGACTGATATGTGCTTCTGACGTCTGAGTGATTGATGTAACAAATGACGAATCAGGCGAGGAAATATATCAGCATGTCACTTCTTGTCACTCCAAGAAGTCTGGGTGTGTTTTACCTACGATGCCCTGACATTAGTAGTCAAGGGACCGTGCATTATTAATAGCCACTTTCAACGTCGGCAAAGGAGTCAAACATACAGAAGATCCCCAAAAATTGAAGGTAGTTAATAACAGAAAAGAAAAAAAAAAATGGTTTTGCAAAGCACATTGCAATTTTAAAGGATCTTCTTAAACAAACTTCCACCAGAGTTCACAGACTACACTCAGTTGAGATCAATTTGATTTTCATTCAACATCTCGGTAATGATTTTCTTTCATATCTTCATTCCTTGTGATCTGGACAAGCAGTGGGAAACCTTGCCAAGCAGTGCTTTCAATGGCAAGCTGGAATAACCTCAGTTTTTGCTGGAATAATTGGTCTTCGGGCCATTAACTTAAAATCTAAGACTGCAGAAATGTTGAAAACACTTGACTTTTTGAAGGACTGCAGAAAACTAGGTACAAAATAATTTTTGCTAAAATTCTGCTCAATCTTAACCTTTAGAGAGTGAGGGTCAAAACTACGAGAAATTTCAGGGTTGATATTCCTTCTGGCCTGGAATCAATACGTAAAAAAAAAAACATATTACTCGATGGGAATTTTAATGACATTTTGGAACAATTATCAACAGATGTCCAAAATCAGGCGTTTCACTAAGAGCTTCTGTGGCGTCGCCATCAGCCAACAACAAAAAAAAAAGTTGAACGATCCTACGTTTACATGGTTAGACTTTTACGGTTTGAAACAATGCCCCTCACTATCTGAATGGATATTAACAGTTCATACCTCCTGACCTTTGGATCCTTTTATCCCTAGCTGTCCTGGCGATCCAGGGTTACCCTGCAAATGTGAAACAAAGAATTATCATCGACGCTGAAAGAATGTCCTGCATCTAGTGCAAGTCAGCGCTTTTTTTATTATTTTTTTTTTAACAACATAGACGTTTGTTCTCCATCTGGAATCGATCATTCAAATGCTTCTCATCCAGACAGATCTTTACCCACTGAACAATCACACGAGAAACACAATACCAGCAGTTTGCGAAGTCGAATTAAGAAATAACGGCATTCAGACAAAATGAAACTGGAAACTTAAAGGGAGGACTTATGCAAGTTATGCAATTCACCTATTTTATTAAGCGTTGTTTTTTTTTTAATCTGCACTTACTGGTGAACCTTGCTGGCCAGGTTTCCCTCTCTCACCATCTAAACCTTCCTGACCCTGTAAGGAGAATATAAGTCAATGGATGTTATCGATGCCAAAGCACACAAAGTGTATAATCATTTAGGTACTGGCGGATGAAACATCAAGTCATTCCACATCTCCGTTTGCTGTACACCGCGTCTATGTACCCACCACACTTCTAGTTGTTAACGCCTACAAATAACTGTGGCTTTTACTGAAATAATACAGCTCAGTTTCTCTAATCTAGCAGCATCTTGCAATAATCCCCTCTGCAGTAAATGGCTGCTTGATAAATCATGGGTATTGATACAGCTCCCAGTACAGTACAGTATGTTTTTTTGGCAAGTTTTTACCATGCAGTTTAACTGCAGGGCACATGTTTAAAGCCTACTGTGAAACCAGTGTAAAAACATATGTACGTGGAGCTGACTCAGGTGATCTTGATGAACGTTTTTACGGATACACTTCTCTTGTCGTGTGGGAATGTCCACAAAAAGCACAAACAATTTGTTGGCGTTAATCCGCCACAATCCTGTTCATTGAGAGGGGGGGGGCGTTAATCGGAAAATGGAGCTCATATTTACATGGCGTGTTAATATTTGTGAAAAAAGTGACTCTTAAATGACAAATGAGTCCCTCTCCACTTCAAGACCAAACCACATCGGCACATCATGATGGAAACGTTCAATGGTTTGTTGGGAGGACAAACCAATAGCTGATGTAACATCTTCCATCTTGAGCGGTCCCACTATAGCTGTGGCTATGACTGTACTCCACATAGACCGCAGCTGAATGTTAAAAAAAGAATATTAAACCAGCGTTTGTCAAGGTGTCAAACGACCCACTACTGACTATTCTCCTTGAAGGGAGGTAAGTTGGATTTCCTTGGGAGTTGAGTTGGCATACGCTTGGCAATGGAATGCCAGAATCGAGACAACCCTGTGTGGAATTGGAGGGGCAGATTCTTAGCTCCTGTACACCTACGAGCCAACGCCCTAACAGATTAGGAACAGAGTGCTTAATCCGTTCCATTCCAGAAAGCAACATTTCCATGTGTCGGCGGCAGATACCCGTGTGTGGATCTTTGTCTGGTTTGGTCACTCTTAAGCACTGCGATGGGTTTCTGTGTGCGTAGCCCGACAACCAGCTGACCAAAAAAATAAATATAACTTGTTCACGAGTAGTGTCACCAGAGTTTATATAAGATTTTCTCTGGAAGTTGGTGGCTTATGGTGAGATATAGGAAATTACGAATAGGATGCCATTCAATGCCTCACACCAACCATTCCATGGCCAATGTACCAGAACATCCCTAATCCTACTTCTCTACCATATCCTTTTATATCTTCAGTCCCGAAATACCCATCCATCTCACTCGGTTTTGTTCTCTGCTTAACCTGGGGATATTCAAGTCATCCTTAGTGTCTAACCTCCCCCTCCCCTGAAAAGAATCTGATGTTTCTATTTATTGCACCAAATATCCTTCCTAATTTAGTACCAACGAGTCCTGTCAAAGAAGGCTGAGATGGATCTTAAAATGCAGTTTGAATTCAGACTGTACAGCTGACATTACCTTTAGAAGCCTTCCATTCCGTCAGTCTCAGCTTAATTGAAATTTAGCTCACAGAAATGATGAGGCATTTGCTCGCGCACTCTGCCACCTAGGCCTTAGCTGCTCTGCTGAGGATAATATTACACTGTTTTTTTTTTCCCCCCCAGGCAGTGAAATTTAGCTTTCTACCCGTTTCTCTTCTGATTTCACCGACCGTTTCCCCTGTAAAACTTTAACAGACGCAACGTGGGCAAACGTACAGAAGTAACTCATAAATCAGTGCTGTAGAATCACACACTCCACCGTAGCCCGTACAGGAGGAGGGTGAACTACGAACACATTTCGCTTCCTGCGTGGAGGGTGGTATGTAAGCGCAAGTTGTTGTTGTGGTTCCTCAAACCCACGAGAGGTCGCACTGAAGCAGAAAGGCTTTTAATGGTAAAATGGAGGAGGCGGAAGCTGGGAGAAGAGAAATATCAATAGCGACAACATGCAATATATTATATAGCGTCCCAGAGCGCATAAAATATCAAAGGCTTACGGAATAACCGGGGTCCCCAGAATCGCCTCTGTCTCCTCGGACTCCAACAACGCCCTACAAAACAACACGCACTTTTTTGGTCGGTCATAATCTTCTAGTTCATAAAAAGATTTATTCACTGTTAGCCGCCCGCTTCATTTTGGTCTTTGTCCCGTTTTAGTTTTGACAACGTAAGCTTCTGCAGAAGATCGAGTGGCCAGCTTTTACAGTTAGAGACAGTTTATGTGTGTGTTTTTTTTTAAAAAAGTTATCTGTAATCAGCAAAAATATTTTCCAAAGACTCTTACTCTGTCTCCAGGTGGCCCAGAAGGACCTTCCACCATCCCGTCATCTCCATGTTCACCCTGGAAAGCAAAACATGCCGTGAGTAAAATCTTTAGCACATCGTGGAAATCAGCTCCGACAGAGAGGATCAAACACGGATGGCAGTAATTAGTAACCAGATCATAGGCATCATGATAGAAAAGCGAAGCAAATAGAAACCAACGCTCTTAAATGATTGATTTAATATGAACTGCACGACTACCATGGATTATTACCAGACACTAATGTGAGGAAAGGAACTTTGATCCAGTACATAAGAACTTAAGAAATGCTAGACGGATAAACACCAAGATCCATCTAGTTTGCCTTCCACCTTCCTGGTGGTCGTGTACACATATGTCCCGAACTCCCTATGCGCCATATCCCATTTTATTACCTCCTACTTAATGTTACCAGTACTTAACGTTCAATGCTGATGTTGGTGTCGATAAATTTCTCTGAAAGAAATGATGTGATAAAGAGCAGTAATTGTTTTGCAAGAATAAAACCAAAAAAGCAGTAACATTCGGATTTCAGCTTATACCGTTTAAGAGCCTGTTATTCTCGACCTGCAGCCCAAGTACCTGACTGCAGTCCTGGATATTTCAGCAAAAGAATTATATGAATTGTTATTTCAGGTCTCTTCGTGAGAAGTCAGTTAGCGTTGGCTGAGTCATCTCGAATCTTGGTAAGGATGGAGCAACCGGTGGGGTGGAAAGGGGTGGGGGTGGAATCCAGTGTATTTTACACACACCTTACGTTTAAACACGGAGGGTTTTCGTGTACCAGATTAATCTGTCCTGAATTGATGAGGAAGGGTGAAACGTGACAAAATACATCTGTTTGTTATCTGAGAGGCTATGATCACAGGGCTACTCTGACACTCCACAACCCAGTGAAGTTTGGTACCTGCAATACCTTTATTGGATCACTAGGATTGTTCGCTGGTGCACGAATAAGGAATAAAAAAAAATGAGTGTTTTATATATTTTTTCAGACGACGATAAAAACGTGTTGACAAATGTGCCTTAAAATTCTTTTGAAGTCAGAGTCGGAACAGCAGATAGAATCAAACAATATGTTTTTCCAGTGAAATAAGATCTTCTTTACTAGCGGTTGTGCAGACAGCAGTTTAGGTTTCCCTGTTGTATGATTTGGCAGCTATTACTCTCTTCAGAATTGTTAGAAAAATCAGGGGAAATTGTTTTGCTGTCCTGTGACTCCAGTTGGAACCGAACCTGCCTTTAATTGGAGACAATGCCGGGTTGAGACAGCACTGAGTCGTAGCACAAAGATCCGCTTTCAAAGTAAGATCTGGAAAATTAATTTGATTTTAAATCAACTCCCCAAAACCTCCTGAATAGCATAACAACTGGAAAATGGCTGTAAGTGAACGTGGGAGCGATTTAAGAAAACGAAATTTTCCACTTCCTGAAACGGCCAACACTCAGTCCTTAGCACAAGCCACAAAAGCTGAGGAAAAAAAAAACTTAAAAAGGCTATAGTAGCTTCAGCCACTCGGCCCCCGCTCTCCGGAACTCCATCCCGCAGACCCTCTGCCTCACTCCCTCTCTCGCCACCTTCAAGTCTCAAGACCCTCCTCTTGGACCGTGCCTTCGTTCACCCTCCATCTCCCACTGCCCTCCGCCCCTCCCTGATCCCGACTCCCAGCTCGAGTCCGAAACATACAACTGTAATGTTGTTGCTGCTGCTCTTTCAAAGAATCACAGAACATTTAGAAGACCAGAACCCTATCTACTCTAACGATAGTATCCTGTTCCTTACTCGCTCCCTTCAAAAGATATTTTTTATCGGATAATTGGGCTTCCACGAATACAGTGATTTACGGGAACTGACCCTGATACAGTTTATGCACAAAAGAACAAAATACTGCAGATGCTGAAATCCTAAAATGAAACAAAAACAGGAGTCGCTGGGAACACCCGGCAGGTCGGGCAGCATCTATGGAGAGAGGGAAGTGAGTTAACCTTTCAGGTCGATGGCCTTTCGTCAGAACGCTAGTTTATGCACACTTGCTCGCTCCGGTTGTTTGCCGAGGCCAGAGCTTGGGCAAGCTACCATACTATTTGTAGGCTGGATGTCAAAGTGGTTTGCACCAAGGGAGATTCTCCCACTCAGCTCACATGTGTGCAGCTCAGAAAATGCTCAACGAGAACAGTCTCTTTGGCGAATAAAGGGCAGAAGAATCCATAATCATGGGTAATAGTCACTGAAAAGTCTGCTTTGTAATCAGAACTTGCAATTCTGCCCATTAACTTTGTGAAAGATCTGTAGCAGTGGGTAGTAAAACAGGGAGCAAATAATAATAATAATAATCCTTGCATTTGATATAGCGCTTTTCACGTCGGGAGGACGTCCCAAAGCGCTTCACAGAACACACTGTAAAGTGAATTGACTGTATATTTGTGGGCGAACGCGGCAGCCAATTGCGCACAGCAATGTCCCACAAACAGTCGTAGATTGAAAATTACCAATTTTATTATTGTTTTTGGTTTTGGAGGGATTATTATCAGGCGTGTGGAGTAAGGAAACTTGCCCAAGGTTTCGCCCTCTGCCTGGAATTGAACTCAGGTCTCTCACTTGCAAAGCGAGTGCTCTAACCACTGAGCTACAGGACTCCACAAATGTTAATCCAATCAGACATATCGGGGAAATTCTTACATTAAAATGAACGGCTTCTTTTACATCTAAACAATAAGGAAATCCCTTTATAAAAACACATGGCAAACATCACTATTTTAGAGATTTGGGTATGGTTTCGATAATATCTGCCCGATAATCCCCCATATAAAATGGGTCATTCACTTCGTGGCTGTTTGTGGGTCATTGCTGTGCTTACATTGGCTGTCGCAGTCACGTACAAAATTCACGATTGCTACACTTCACGTTAATTCCCGTGAAGTGCTTTGAAACGCGTTCCCTGAGGTGAAAGGCGCTCTTCTAAATGCAAGGAATATTTTTTTATTATTATTATTATTATTATTATACGCAGCCTACAAAATCTCAGAAGGAAATTCAAAGAGAGAGTATGCTTTCCGGTGGTGTGGCTTAAGGTCGGTGCAGTAGCACCAGTGCATAAGCACCACAGAGTAAAGCGATACAATATAAAATCACATTGGTCTAGTGCTTTCCACATCGGGAAGACGTCCCATAGAGAAATGTGCTATCTCCATCTCTGTCACTGATCTCAGCCTTGCAGGAGAATGCTTAGTGCAGACCAAGTCTCCCCACGGGCCGAGGAAATCAGATAGAGAATCTTCCCACCAGGCTGCTATTTTTGGTGTGTTTGCCTGGTAGCAGACTGCGCAGCCTAACTTCTCAACTACAGGAAGCACGAACCAAATCACTGAACAGTTCTGAGACGCTGCATCCGCCCCATCATACTTTGCACATCTTGGCCAGCGTTCCTACTTGTCTCGAGCGCAAAACAGTAGAACTGCTATCCAGCGCAGATCGCGCAGGTTCGACCGTTAATTTAGTTCACTTCTTTGCGTTGTAACGAATGCATCCACTCACTTCCAGACGTAGGTAACTGCAGACCGGCTGACGAACGTGCACAGAATTAGGAGTTGGTAACGTAAGTGGAAGAGTTTGTGTCAGGACGACTTAATTGGGCATAACGAGCAAGAATACACTTTACACCCTCAGGCAAGTGTCAGCTTGAGGACCGATAGGTTCAGGTCACTTACTGCAACTCAATTATTTTTTTTAAAAAAGGTAGTTGGCTGGAGCACCAGGTTTAGCCTCAGGGAGTGTTCTGAAGCCTCTCCACATTCAGCTCCACCATTTTGGTTAGTTTAATTTCTGCCAAAATGGTGATTACTCTACAGTCTTAATTTAGTTAATAACTGTTTGTGGGACGCTGCTGTGCGCAATTGGCTGCCGCATTTCGTCCACAAATATACAGTCAATTCACTTCACAACATATTCTGTGAAGCGCTTTGAGACGTCTAGAAGACGTGATAAGATATCAAATACAAGGATTATTATATTATTATTATTTTTACTATGAATTACACCTAACTCAAATGTAATTCTTAAATCCAGAGCACTATACCTTTTCACCTTTGGGGCCAAGTGGTCCCTTTGGTCCTGGTGGGCCTTTATGTCCCTGTAAAAGAGAAACAAATAGTTTTAAGTTTTGAAATATCCACCAAACTGAAGGCAATGTTTAGTAAAGCAAAGCTGGCTGTACAGTATTCAAAGCACCACCTCGGTGTTAAATCCTGCTAAAGCCGGCACAAGGAAGCTACACAACGTTTACTCGAAAATACACATATTTCTGTTCTCCACAGCCACTGTGTTACGTCACTGTCTGTTGTTATAGAGTTGTTGTGCCATCAGTGTGCTTATTGAGTGGTATTAAATAATAATAATAATCATAATCCTTGCATTTGATATAGCGCCTCATCACGTCTTCGAGACGCCTCAAAGCACTTCACAGGATAGACTGTATACTATGTTAAAAGTATGCAACTGTAATAAAGTTGGGACATCACACCTCTATTCAAATGATGCATCTCATGGTTTTGCACCATCAGTCACCTCTCTCATGTTCAGCAGTGATACAACACACGTTTATTTTGTGACATAAAAGTGCATCGTCTCATTATTGCTGTGGGCAGTCGGCTGCCGCGTTTCGCCCACAAAATACACAGTCACCACACTTTACGGTATATCCTGTGAAGCGCTTTGGGACGTCTCAGTGACGTGATAAGGCGCCATATCAAATGCAAGGATTATTTCTCATTGTGAATCATTCTGATGCAGCTGTGCTATTTCACTGTGATGAAGCTATAAAGTCACGGTTGGAGATGACTGATAAGGTGAGATATGTTTATGTGATAAAAAGAGACTTAACAGGTACGATGCATTCTGTTGGGGTAATAAAGGCACCATGTCACTTGCATCACCCACCACAAAGATGCGACGATAATAAATACCTTTCGGGACTAAAACTGCATTGTGTTATTGCGCCGTAGAATGGGTTAAAAAGTTTACAGGTTGGATGACAGTTTTTGCTTTCAGTCTGTAAATACTTAACACCTATAAACCGGAAACGATTGCACAAGACATAACTACCCTTACTGTGACCTCGTTAATTCTGTTCTGCAGTTCAAAACAAATAATTCACAGACAGCTTCTGTCTTTCCGCCTCAATGAGCTTATCAAATTTTATGAAGAACACAAGTGGAGATCAATTCAATCTCCCTTTTCGCTGACAGCTGCTTTGTCCATTTCTCAGTACTCTATCCATCATAAATTAAAATGTCATTCAGCTACTAAGAGGGTAAAGAAAAACACGTGCTGGAAAGGCAAAATTTTGGCATCTCGAAGTGCACAAAGCAATAAACAGCTCCTGTATATTGAGTAACTGGCAAGCTCTTTGGGTTGAGGCATTTAATCAGCATTCAGGAGCTATGAATTATCTCGAGCAGTTGGGATCAGCAACACTCACTGCTATTGTTCCACTTAAAATCTGGGAATAAAAACCACGGGATTTTTTTTCCCCCCCAAAAAAGTATTTGTGGATGTAGTGGCAAGTTACAGCCACTGGAGGGTTCTGCAAGACCATTCCAATCACTTAACGGTTTAAAAAATAAGTAAAAACTCTGCCGTTTTGTTTATTCTGCCTCGTCTTACCGGACCGTACAGCTCGTTTTGATTATCTTTTAGCTTTGGTCACTGCGGAGTGCATTCACAGTTTTTTTTTTCTCTCTCATCAGGCTGACACCATACAATTGTAAACATAGTCAATTCACTTTACACTATAAAGTTCTGTGAAGCGCTTTTAGACGTTTTGACGGTATGACAATGCCCTGTATCAAATGCAAAGATTATTATATTACTATATTATTGTATTATAATTATATTACTATATTATTATATTACTATATTATTATTATCATCACTATATTGTTATTATATTATTACTATATTATATTATTATAATAGTATTATATTACTATATTAGAATATTATTATTATATTACAATATTAGAATATTATTATTATCCAATGAAATCATGACATGGGCATTTCCTGTCAGGGCAGACACGCACTTGGCACTCTGACTGGTGCAAAACAGAGGGTTTTGCACCATTCCTAAAATAATTCAGACACGAGCTCCAAATGATTAGCTGTTCTTCCCCCCCCCGAGCAAAGCCTGAGTCACATTCTTCGTTTGATATTCTGGTTCTCAAGGGAACAAAACGCAGAATATTCTCCGAACGCAATGGCAACTGGAAGGATGGCCAAACCTGCTTCCGAACCGTATTTAACCGGTTTATCGGAATTTTCTTTCAGATGTATCGAAGGGGAAATTTCAAGCGAAGATCGCATCAGACGCAGCAATAAGCTGTAGGTTCCAATCGCGGTCTCCATCAAATTAGGGGATTTAAATCTTAAACAATTTGGGCGCTTTAAGTGACTCTGGCGCAAGGAAAGGGGGGAAAAAAAACGGCTTCCTGTTTACAACGTGCTGTTGGAAGGTGTGCGTGTGTGCTGGATGTTCTGGGTGTGGTTTTAACGCTTCCTTACTGTTCAGACGCGCACACGAAGGATGGTTACACGGGTTCCAGCAAAATCGGCACAACTTCAGGCGAGAAGAGCGACTCACAGTAAGCGATCGTTTGCCGTAAAATGCCAAATTCACTCGCTGGGTTTAATCCCGGATTCGATAAACGCTTATCTTGGTTTACGTTACAATACGGTGCAGAAATCACTCCGCACAATTATTTTCAGACCTGGTCAGCAGCTCAGGTCTGAGATGCGATCTCAGAATGATATCTCCCAGACCTGCACGCTTGCCTGAGATAGCTGGTTGCCTGGTCACTGTGTGTGTTGACCTCTCCTCACTTACCTGATACCCTATTAGTCCCACTTCACCCTGAGCTCCCATTCGGCCAGGAGGACCCTGTCAAGGAGAAATCATCTTATTAGAGAAAATTGAACAAACAAATGCCTGATCGAAGCAGATGGCATCTTTACAAATTCAACATTCATTTATTCGGCGTGTGCTTTGTTGAGACGTTGTCTTGAAACATTTAATCATTCCTCTTTTGCCATCCAAGCCTGGGCTTGCGATATCCGAATGTTCAAGCTTTAAACGTGCTGCAAGTTGGGAAATACAACTCACTTGCATCAATCATGTTGCATAACATTTCGTGAACACTGGACATAGTAACCAAGAAAGTGATGCAGCGGAGCTGTGTAAAATGCTCTGTTCAGCGTAAGACACAGAGCTATGTATGTAATACGCACTGCTCAATACAGGGCTGTGTGTGCAATGCCCTGTTCAGTATATGGACACTGTATACAAACCAATTTATTACATGGCCACCATTGTTATGCACCTTTTAGATGACATCTAAAAGAGGAAGTAATATAGGCAAAGTACTTAACTGTGGAAATATTTTACCCAGTGCTTTTACGATTTAAACTTTTAAATTTTTTTTAAAAAAGAAATAACCAATTGATTGTGTTTTAACGTATTAAATCAGGTTATAATTAAATAGCTACACACCATCGGTCCTCGGGTTCCTCGAGATCCCTTGGGCCCCTGTGTTCCCTCGGGTCCTTGCTCTCCTGTGGGTCCTGTCTCCCCCAGATATCCCAAATGGCCTTTGGCACCCTGTAGTGCAAGAGACAGAAAAGTGTTATTTAGGATGTAGTTTGTTTCGCCCACAAAATGTATGGTCAATTCACTTAACAGCATATTCTGTGAAGCGCTTTGAGACGCCTCGAAGACGTGATAAGGCGCTATATCGAATGCGAGGATTATTACCAGTCACTAAAAGATGTTTTGTGACTTTTAACACATTACGAAAAACAACTGGACTGAATATAAAAGAGGTGCCTACCTCTAAAAATCTAAGTATTACAGTCCAGGCCTCTAAGAACGGCAAACTCCCCATGGAATTACTAATTCGTCCTCTTTCCCCTCTCAGCACAAAAAANTTGTTCCCTGTTCAGCATCACCACACGTACTATAGAAGCTACTTCTCCCACCGCCACCTAACTTTCCTTTCAACCTTCCCATTTTGCGGTTGCACTATTTGATAAATTCAGAGTATCTTTTGGCTCCTTGTCGTGATCGCCCATATTCATCTCAACGTATTCATACAATAAGTACTCATTTCTTTACCGTTGACACAACAATAGCACTTTCGGAAGTAATTCTGCTCCGTCACTGATGGTGCAATTCCTTTTGGGGCATGTGTGGATCAACCATGAGTTTCGTTCCCTTCGATATTCCTCGTGGGGAAGAACTGAATTGGTATCCAGATGTGGAGTTTTCCAGTTTGTTTGTGGATCCATTCCAAGGTCAATGGTGAAGTTACAGTCTAATAAGATTCAGTTTTGTAGGTGAGAGGTCTTAATGTGTTACCTTGTAACTGTTTATGAGGAAGACTATAATACTCGTGGAGTTTTGCCAAGAGTATCCAAACCAGACAGAGTTCCATATACGCCTACCTCCGACACAGCGATTTTCCTTTGGCTGGAAAGGAATGTGCATTTTCTCTCCAGAAAAATACAACCACTTTGCTTAATTCCAGGGACTACGAGGCGCAGGTTGGCAGGAGCCAAGGTTTGGGCAGCGCAGAATGTACATTCCGGTAGTGCTGGAGTTTAATCGGCTAAAACTGCATCGCTTGCCTTTGCGAATACTCTCGAGACAAGTTCCCTGCTTCTTGCCTGGATCGGACCACCCTACCTGTTAGGGCCCTGTCTCTAAAAGTCCTACTGATAATGGAGGTTGGCTAGTGTGTCATTAACGATGCCTTGGAGTAATGCAGACCTGCTCAGCTCAGGAACCGGATTATTGAAACTGCCACATGGGGTATGATCTGTTCGTCCCCAAGGAGATTACCCCCCACCCCACACGCACACAGGAGGATAATCACCAGTTGGTCATTCAACATCCAAGTGCAGGTCTGAGCCCTCATTACGTGCAGATCCCTGACTGTCCAGCACCTTGAGACATCCTCCTGATGTTGAAAGGCCCTATACAAATGTAATTTGTTGTCGTTGTCGTTGGATACCAGGTCCGAGAACGTCTTATGAGCTTCTTGGTAAGTAGTACAGTTCAACATGGAATGTATGAAATAATAGCCTCGATGCCTTTAGCCATACACATTGAGCTTGTGGTTCCACCAGCTGGAAGTACTAAACATCAGCAGCAGCTGTTGGCCTCTCGGCAAACCAACCGAAGCAGATACCAAGCCCTGGACATATGAGCATTTGTTTCCAAACACAGACTTGAGTTATTGCCTTCCAGTAGCCACAGTGTCGGGCCTTAAGAGTTTCCTCATCAGCTATTGAACACTATCTGCCTTCAGAGTGGTGGGAGGACTTATACAACTGCATTTCTATAGCACCTTTCATGTAGGAAAACCTCTGGACAGTCTTACAACAGTGCGGTGGATACTGAGCAGGAGAGGAGAGGGCTGAAGCAGGTGACAGTAGGCATGGCTGAAACAGTATGCTTTATGATGATATGAAGTGCTGTAGGGGCTGATGGGATTTGTAGGTAAGGACCTTGAAATCGATCTGCTGAGAGACAGGGAGACAGTGGAGTCTGCCAAGGAATGGGGTGCAGAGCAGAGTTTGGTGCAGAAAAGGATGTGGGCGGAGGTTTGGATGAGTTGAAGTCCTTGAATGATAAAACTGAAGCCGATTCCGCTTCCGGGAAAGTAAGTGACAGGTCATTGCAGACCGGAGCCCTTCCTCCCTGCAGCTGCTTCCCCCCACATTTAACTCCCAATCCGTCTCGTCGCTTGGATCTGCACTCCATAGATGGGCTGCAGGAAATCCTTTTGTTTCATGCCGATGAGCTTTCTGTATAAACCATGAGGGCGAATTGTTTGGACGTGTCTTGTATACCGCAAACTTAACCTGCATTGGGACTTTGCTGTCTTTGAAAAGAATTGGCATTGGGAATGATCGGAGTGGCCTTTGCCTCTTCTCCGTGTGGTTCGGAAGGCCCGGGTGCAAGCCGAGTTAGCTGAATGGCCCGTTTCCGTACGGTATCATTCATTGGAATTGTATGACAAAATGGCCTTATGGGCTAAAACAAGATGACATTTAGGGCCTGTTGCAAAATAGCCAGCGGAGAAGATCAATCTGATAAAACAGACAGAAGGAAAAATATACAGAAAGATTCTAGGAAGAATACTAAAGATCTAAATACAAGATAACTGAGGAGACAACCAGAGAGAGAGAGACCGATGCAAACACAATAGGCAATGGACAGATGCACTACTTTGGTTCTATTCAAACAAGAAGGCATTGACTAACCTTTCTGCCAGGATTTCCCCTTTCCCCAGGCTTCCCCGGTTTTCCTTCAGGTCCCTAGACAGGAATAGCAACAATGATGAAGAGACATTGGACACAGCTTGTATAACAATCACTGATCCACTTGAAAGTCTGGGTTGCAGGCTACCACTGCTTAATTCTTGTTGGTGGTCAAGCAGCAGTTAGAACAATGTAAAAAGTACATTCTTATACGGTTTGTATTCTGCCGGGTTTTCCCTCCTGCTGAGAAAGCAGCTTACAGTCTGTAGAACATCTTGGACTGTAGAAGAACTTGTGAAAGTTGTCCCCAATGAAGTACGTTTACTGAATGTGTACGTTGGCTTGGGTGTTGAACTCCCCAGCTATAAGATGGAAATCATCTTTTAACTTTCTTGAGACACCGGCTTTTCCCCAATTGATGTCAAAGCAGACCTGTTACATTTCTCAAAACTTAAATGTTTGAATTAAAACAAGTCCCTTTAAAATGAGTATCGTGATCATGCTGAAAATCAATTATTTTGATTCCTAGATTTTTACATATTTTTTATCCATCATTTGAAATCTTAATCCTCTCCAATCGAGCGGGATTTGTATTGTTTCCTGTTAAACAAAACACTCCTCTGTTATTATAGTCTCAAACCACCGTTTCCAAACTTCATGTCTCTTGTTAGTCATACAAAACCCTATTGGGTTTCGTTGAATTTAGATGGAATGGATATGGACTGTGGTGAGCAAATTCATCAGAAAAAGCAACGAGGGAGGAGAAAAAAAAAGAAATGTCCTCTTCCGAGGGTAGAAGGTAAAAATTGAATGGTGGGAATGAATTAATGTTCTGGCTACTTTTGCTTGTTTATTTGTTATAAAAGAATAACTGCAAAACCTTCCCAGAGATTGAGGGGTAGGGTGTAATCCATGATAGGATATGATTTGCATGGTCTATGAAAAGGAATGTGCTTATAATGGCCTGAACGACCGTTTTAGTTTCATAGTTTGTTCCGATTATAAAATAGAGGCAGATTAGAGAAAAACAATGGAAGGGTTTTACATATCAAATGTTGACAGTAACTGCATGAGGCAGACAGACAGACTAAATGGAACACACAGAGGAAAGCTTCAATATGGACTGGCAAAAATCCATCTTGCTCTTTCTCTCAACAAAAAAACATATTTTTTTTTATTCCATACTTGCAGGGTATTCCTAATCGCACTTTTCTTTGTTGTTGGAAAATTTGAAGGACTGAATTGACTTTTGTGTGAAATAAATGGATATTTCCTTTGCCTTGAGAACTATCGAGATGAATGCTGATTGATGGCAGCTCGGGACATCAACTGTAACACTGCAGAAATCTGCTGCCAGGTAATTACTCATTGGATTTAACGTGGATTGGAATGATATTATTGACCCAGATGGAATTTTATAACCATGTAATTATAGAAAAACAAAGTTGTGAACTTGTTTTTTTTTAAAAAAACTCTCAAACTAACCAAAAGTGCAGAAACTACGAATTTGAGCAATGGGGGTTCTCTGCAATGTAGTCTGGCAGGAGGTGGGGTGGGGGGGGGGGGGGGGAGTATAAATACTGGGTAACCCAAGGAGGTTGGATGACATTGTACACTGACTTCCTGCAGACTGGATACTGGAAATACTTCTCAGATACAGGAGCGAGGGCCAAGAAGAGATCTGTTGGGGCAAAACCTCTACGCAAAGGTTTTGCCGAGACTATATTTAGGTTACCATTAATATTTTCCTTTGTGTGCAATCAATAACATTTCACATCTGTCTGGGATTTTGTGAATAAAGAACATATGCAACTGAGGTTGTGCAGACTGAATAAAGTATAAAAATGTCATAAAATGTCAAATATAGCTCACAGAGTTTCATTGCGCTTAGTGCTACAGAGATTTTCCTTAAACACGAAGATGCGTTTGGTGAAATGGTTCTCAGGGGTCTGCAAAGAGTGTTACTTTTAAGAAAATATAGGGAACAGTAAATGAAACCAGTTACTCTTCAAACCACAGTTCTATTGGGTACTCGAGCCAGATTGAAAACAAGTTTCAGCAAAATCTGGGGACAAATAAATGCCTGGAGGCTGCTGCTGTACTTGTAAAAATACTTTTTTCATTTAAAAATAACCTTTGGTTCGGGAATTGTCCATGAGGCTTTAATAGATTGAAAACAAAGCAAGGAAACAAATTAGGAAAAGATGACATCACTTTGAGTTTATTTGTTGTTTTGGAAAGCATTAGTAAAGAGACAATCTGATTAAAGCCTGCTTTCTCGTAAAACTAACAAGCCCAGCGGATTTACGATAACGTGCTTCAAATAATGTTTTTGTAAAAAAAATCACAGCTTTCCTGTTTTATCTCGTCAGAAACGACAGGCCTCTTGCTCGTCTCCTTAAGACAACGGAGGTTAGACGCTGGTTGGTCTGGGCTACAGATTTCTCTACGGTTGGCATCAATATTGTTTGACTGCAGTCATTCTCAGCACAGGATAGGTTTGCCCCTCATACCTTACGGCTGCCTGGGGTCCAGCTGAAACCCAGGTAGTTAGCAGTCGTGGAGCCTGAATCTCGGTCAAGGCTGAAATCTGAAATTCCGTCACTGTGAATAGTCTAAGACACGACCTCCGGACCTAATAGGTTCTGAGCAATTTGCTTTTTTCAGTTAGTAATCCCTGTGAGACCTCTCAGATCTCAATAGATTCATGTTCTGAGCTTCTATAAAGCATTTGACAACAATTCCGAGATTAAACAAACTACCACTTTGTTTTTTGTTGACGGGTTATAATCCTTGCTTTGGGATCAAACGGTGAGTGATGGTTCTATTCCCTGCAAGAACACTTTGTGTAAGATTTTCCGCCAACTGGACTTGAAGTAAAACAATCTAATTTATACCGTTCGATCAATCAAAATTGGTGGTGCCTAATTTAATCAACTGGGAGATTTAGGGGTGACATTGCACTGATTTAGAATTTTTCCGTAACTTATTTGTTGTGGGAAATCCATTAGAAACAAGTAATCAAACGAATTTCTGCCGCCTTCTGCCTTTGAAGGAAACACATCTGTTTCATTTGGTTTGTTGACGGTTTAGGGGATTTGTTTTTAAAAATATAAAGTGTTTCTCTCACTTTTCTTTCACGAGCCAACGCCATTCACAGCCCACAGCACAGGTGAACAATCTGTTCTCTCGCCTCTGCCAACAATAATCTGATACTGGCCAATGGAAGATGGCTCGAGGAAATATTCACTACTGTATTACATCTCCTTCCTTGATTCTGGGAGATGTCTGTACACTGTAGATGAGAAGCCAACGTGTAAATGTTTAGCGACACAACTTGCTATCATTCCTAGTGCTTCTTGGCACGGTTTGTGAGAGAGTCAACACACACCACACCTGCTTCAATGACATACTTTGATCATTATTTTTCTTTTAAAATTGTTTCCAAAACACTCTTCTGATCTTTTATTATACAATTGCTTTCCTGTTTTTGGTTTGTTCTTTGCTGCTTTTGTCACCCGCTTCAATAATTTGATTTCTTTCTCATTTTATTTTTTAAAAAAAACGTGATATTTAATATTCTTTTACTTGAAATTCCACACTTGTTGCACACTTTAGAGTAACTTTAAGAGAGTAACTGTAATCTGAACCGCAGAGACTAAGTAAAGGTTGCTTGCCTGACAGCAGTGATTAAGAAGGCAGTGAGCAGTGATGTTAGATACAGTTGTTTTGCTTTCCATCTGCGTAACTTAAGCTGTAAATTCGACTTAATCACACGATTTAAAAATCACGGTTGAGGGAGATGTCAATAGCATTTCAATTGGTGTCGTAAACCATGACAAATCACAGAGAGTGATTTGCAATCCTCATTTCAATCCTGATATGAAATGACAGCCTTGAAATCGCTCCTGTGAAAAATATGATTTCAATGATCAGGCTTTGGATCTGGGGCTTGGCAGCAGGTGTCTTGTTGGACGCCAATAACTAATGTACTTTTTTAACAAGCGAGGATGTTGACAATAGAGGAATACTGGTTGATGGGACCGCTGCAAGTCGTTTACCCAGGCAATAACGCAAAGCGTAGAATATATTAAAAATTTAAAAATAACCCGATTTATGTTCTCTTCAGATCGTCGCTTTAGTTCATTAAGGTTCCGTTTTCGTGTTGTGCTGTTACATTTCCCTCAGCAAGCCTTCCATACTGCATCCTACGCACGGATTATTAGTGTCATAGAAACATGCAGAAAACAGGAACAGGAGGAGGCCATTCAGCCCATCGAGCCTGTACCACCAGTTTAGTAGATCTTGACAGTTCTGTTTAATCTCATTGTCTCACTTTTCACCTGTATCCCTCTATTACCTAAAAATAAGGAGCTATACAAGTGTAATTTGGTATTGGATTCTATCTGTCCATCTCGCTATTAAACATCCCTATCGAGTTTGCCTGCACAGGTTTCCAAGGAGAAGCGTTACAGACCTTCACAACTTTCTACACCACAGAAATGTTTCCTGACCTCGGGCTGTAACGGTTTGGACTTGAATGTTAACGCTGTGCCTCCTTCAAATGGGTGCTTGGCAAATGGGAAGTTCAGTCCACGACCTTACAATGGACCAAAGGCTTCAAATCAGGAAGATTTACGGGCCCAAGAGTCCATTACCTACGCTGCGTTCAGCTTATGACCGTTTGTCAAACGAACTGGACCCCAGCGCATTTACCACCTCTCGCGTTCTCACGTACTTACTTATAAAAAGGTGCAATGCTACATTTGAAGAGCTTTGCTTCCACTGAAACCAATTGTGAAACAAAGCTCGATTGTTTTCGGACTCCAGTGATTCATTGCTAGCACACTTCATCAAAGACCAGTGTTGCATGCGAAACAAGACATAAATATTGTATAATGCTGTGATAATATCACACAGAGACTGATGTGTATGTTACAGCAAGAGGCGGATTATTAAATAGACCTGGATGAGCCGCTAGGAGATTTCCTGCTTCTCAACATCTACAGGAAGTGGAGTTTGCCAAAACCTGGAGTGATTTATGCAAACTCAGGCCAACATGAACTCCCATTAAGAACAAACTAATTCCAGATTTCATTGGCCTGATTCCCAACTTGAAATTTGATGGAAACAGTTAAACGGACAGTCCAACACGACGGAACACTCAGCAGTGAAAACAAATAGAGCAATTAAAATCAAGACCCGTCTTGCTAGATAGACCGCAACGCAGTCGAATCACACCTAAGTTATTCCCATCCTGATGAGCCAAACCTGCATGAAGGCTTTCCTAACAAACGATTCCAGACTGAAGTACCTATCTGCAAGTCTCCCAAACTCTGCCTGACTGAGCATGAGGTTCATCAGGTTTGCTTCAATCTGCATGCTTTCCAGCACCTTGGGATGTCCTCCTGACGTGAAAGGTGCTGCACAAATATAATTTGTTGTTTCAAATTATTCGATCAGGATAAAAACGGCAAAAGGCTTTGAGGCAGTGTATTGATAGGCTCAGCCTTTGACCACTTTCTTACGTTCCCTCTGTATCTTTAACCACTTTAAATCTTAACACACAGATATTTTAGCATTCCAATTACATTGTCATCCTTCCAAGTGGTACATATGCTTTCCAATAATTTGCTCTTTATTCTCTTTCCCTTGCTAATATTCAGAATTATTTGGTAATGTTCATCCTTGTGATTTGATCCCCTTTAAAGGAGGAAATCCAGGCCCCAAATTCTAAATTATTCTGTGCCAGAGAGGATTTGTAAACTGAAACCCGTAATAAAAGAATTATTTTTTTTTCTTAATAAAACAAAGATGGATTTGTATCTTTTTATTAAAAATCGTGAAACCCCACATGTTTAGATTTTAGGTTTGCAGTTTTTGCAAATATTATAACATGGTCTCTTAATGTGACTGGCTTGAAGATGCTTTTTATTTGCCAATTCCCTCAGAGAAAATAAAGCTACATGCACTTCTGTTGTAGTATGCATGATTGTGCCATCAAGACAATTTAATTGTGTTCTACTATGCAAATTCATTGAAGTGAGCTAAGTATTCCGTTTGGTAAGTCTAAACAGATTTATAGGATTGTAATTCCTAATTTTAAAAGTATAATTAAATTTGCACATACTCAAATGCATACTCTGGGGTCCCCAAGCCTCGTCTCTCGCCAACTTGTGCCTAATACTTAGGTAAGCAGAGTGCGTCCCTTCGGGACGAAAGTACGCACACCACCCCAGACAAATAGAGGCTTGCAAGCGGAGATGATGTGAAATGTGCAACTCTATTAATGGATATTCTTGAGCATGCCAATGGTTTTCTACGTGTGTCAGTCTCCTGGCCCGTTTAAAAAAAAAACTGCATTACATATTCACAAGGGGACATTTATCTGAATTATCGAAACGAGCAGAGCAGCTCACATGAACAGGTTGGATCCGCGGACTAAAATAACCTCCAGAATGTTTGGAGCCCCAAAGGAGCGCAGGCTGCAGATTGTATAAAAATATTACATGTTTCCAAACAGTTACCGTACCGATATCAATATTTTTTACTACGGATTTCCAAACATTAGTGCCTGGTTTTGTAGTTTTGGGTACATTTTGGAAAAGGTTTGAGCTCCAGAAAACAAGCCTTGGCTCAGATTACCTGGCTGTCTGGGGCCTGCTCCCTTTCTATACCGACTGTACAACGTTATAAAATACTGGAGTCAAACCATCTCCAGATGTTGGGCACTTTGTTCCTGAATTTGTTACCCAACAACTTCCTAAACCTACAAGTATTACTGGAAAGACATTGGAAACGGAATGCAGCATTTAATCATAACTTCCAAATTATTATAGTATATTGTGGTATTGACTTTTAATGAAGGAATTCATCTAATCGTCTGTAGAATTCCTGAACTATTTTACATTTATATCCGAAAGCAGATAAAGATGGCAACAAGCCACACACGTGCCCTTTGAGAATATCAAACCAGACGTTTAGAAAACACTATTGAAACACTGTGACATGGTCCATTTCTGCTAAATAAATTGTGAGATTGCCTGAATGGAATTATCAGGAGTATTGCTGAACAGTGACTCAGATTCAAAAGACAGCATGAATAATCATTAGATGCGTTTCTGTGGCACGCTCTGAAACACAGAGAAATATGACTTAAAAGATCTAAGTGCTTTAACAGTGACATTTGTCTGTATTTATGGCCTTTCGGATTGCTGCTGGCTGATTTTGTAGACAAGGGAGTGGGTGACTCCACATAATTCTCCAATTGTCAGTACACCGACTAACCTTGTCACCATTTCCTTAAAATGGGATTGTTATACTATAAACTTTCACTTCCATTGGGGAACAGTACAAGTCAGACCTCCATACCTTAGACAGATGAAAGCAAATCACAGACCAAATTTCTAGGTTTCCCCAAAGATGTCAATATATCGACACATGTTAAGCCAATTCAGTTAAAGCTTATTCCGACCTCTTTCGATGGCTCTCATTATTCAATAATAACAATGATCGTCCTTGCATTGGATACAGCGCCGTATCAGGTCTTCGAGACGCCTCAAAGTGCTTCACAGGATATACTGTGAAGCGGAGAGTGACTGTGTGTATTGTGGGTGAAACTGCCACTGCAAGGGCTGACTTCCCCTTGCGGTTAGGCGCACAATCTCCTTTGGATATCGCAATGAATCCCAGAAACCCACCTCGTGTGAAATTAAGGAGGTTGTTCTGCTTTGCTCCACCACTGCCCTTGTCATTCCATGTCAGATTTCAAAAACCATGGGAGCAATTATCGGAGCAAAATCCCATTAAAAAATAGCAATGTGTTTCTGGGTGTTTAACTATAACTTTATAGTTATAGTTCCAAGCGTAATTTTAGAGGGATTTTTTCATTGCGTTTCTTTTCCGTTATTATATATCCTGTGAAGTGTTTTGAAATGGCTCTCAACGACGTGTTAAAGTGCTCTGCCAAATGCAAGGGCTATTATTATTTGTCCTCATCGAGTGAGAGATGGCATTTTCTCTTTATCTGCCTCATGTCAGTGTCAAATGCTCTCAGACCAGGTACAACATGCACCGGTACTGTTTTTGGTTGTTCAAAATAATTCCAGAATACCATCAATCTTGTCATAGCTGTTGCTTTCTCATCACAGTATCAACCTTATGACCTTAGCCAGCTTCCTGCTGGGAGAGATCAATTAGCAAGGTTACTGATAAGCCTTCGCGAGTCTGAGAAAAATAACTGGTACTTACTCGAACCCCTGAGATCCCTGGTCCTCCTGGTGGTCCTTCTTTTCCTTTCAATCCTTCAAGCCCCTTCTCTCCTTGATCTCCTTCTGGCCCTGCATCTCCCTTGTCTCCCTGATATGAACACAGGTAAGAGGATGGTTAGTGTGCAATCGTGGTTTCATCCACAAAATCCACAGTCACTGCACTTTACAGTATATTCTGTGAAGCTCTTTGAGACATCTTGACGACGTGATAAGGCGCTGTATCAAGGATACTATTATTACATCCCCCAGCATGAGGCTAATCAAGAGGATACAAAGTAATAATAATAATAATAATTCTTGCATTTCATATAGCGCTTTTCACCTTGGGAGGACGTCCCAAAGCGCTTCACAGAACACACTGTAAAGTGAATTGACTGTATATATTTGTGGGCGAACGCGGCAGCCAATTGCGCACAGCAATGTCCCACGAACAGTCGTAGATTGAAAATGACCAATTTATTATTGTTTTTGGTTTTGGAGTAATAGGATAAACGTGTTAAAGAGCAATAAATACGAAAATGAGAGGGACCTCAACTGCATGAAATCGTGAGAAGTGCAATGATGAAAGACGGTATGGATTTATAAACAGCAGGTCCTAAAAGTATTCAGTCACTTTTAAGCCGTTATCAACAAGAACAGCACTGGAATGTATCTCAAGCATGTTTGATTAACTGTGGGAACAAGTTATTTTAACCCTCTATAAATTACTGATAAGGCCATATTTGGACAACTGTGCAGTTTTTGGCAGAGTAGAGAAGGGCAACAGAGTTAAAATGCTATGCAGAGCTCACGTAATTACACTTGGCTTTACTGGAGAAAGGAAGATTGAATGTGGGACACGATACATGTCTTTGAAACACAGCGAAGGCATGGAAAAGGCAAATGTAAGTACAGCAGGTTATTTGACTTCAGCTATAATTATGAAACACAAGGACTTAAGTACAAACAGTGTCAAACCAGACCGGATACCAGAACAATATTTCCACCCAGTAGTTAGCAAGAAAAAGTCAATGTTATGCTGATTAACTCTTTTAAGTGGATGTGGTTAAGAATGAGACTGAAGAAGATATTAATGGTCACATATGGAATCTGATCTGTCTGTTCTCCAGGAGCCTTTAGAAATGGCAACTGTGCTTAAAACTGGCAAGTAGTCAGTTTTAAACCATGTGGATGTAATGTCAGAAAGATATCCTTGAATTTCACTGGAATTATTTCAGACGACCATTAAGAAATTTCGCTTTGATTTTACATTTGTGACTATTTTATCTGCGGCTATTCAAGAATAATCCTTGCATTTGCTTTATCACGTCGTTGTGATGTCTCAATGCGCTTCACAGTAAAGTGAATTGACTGCATATTTTGTGGGAGACTACTCTGAAGCAATCACTAAAATAGAACCTTGACGCTAGTGATTTATGATTGCATTTTTAGCTGTCACTGTATGAAAAATCCGATTGTCTATCAATCAAAAGCAGTTGTGTATCCTTTACTCCTCTGTAGTAAACGCAGCCATGTACTTTTTTCTTCCTATCTCAATGTGCCAAATCCAGTTGGTTGATGTGTTCAGGATGTAATGCAGGCATCCCTTCCATGACAATCATACTAAAGTTGGAGCTTAAATCAGATAATATCTGTTAGTATTCCAGCCAAAAGGGTATCACAAAAGACTATGGAATTGGGATTGGAGTAGTTAGCTCCAGTGGAGGAGTTGGCATCAACACAGGCTCGATGGGATAAAGTGCCTCCTTCTGTGCTGTGTTTTCTTTGATTCTATAACTCCAGCCATGGAAAGTGGAAAATTTCTCTCATGCTTTTTTCCAGGGCTCTATGATTTAATTCATACAGTGATGGGTTTCTTCAAATCCAGTTTGTCGGCTGTTACGCACTGAATAACTCTCAGTTGAACAGTATTGTAATTTTACGCAAAACTGGTCTATTGGGATATTACAGAATATCCTGCAAGTTTCAGCAATAATTACCATTGTAGCCCTTTAACTGTTTATTGGTGCTATCCTGTGAGCAAGAATACCCTCTAACTAGTAGAGGCACAAACACTCATTTTCTGTAACCATAATTTATACTCATTATTATACATATCTAATCCGGGGCAGTAAACAGTAGTTTTAAAAAGAAAACAGTGAATCATTCTGAAAGTTCTTATGGAGAAATATCTGGGTGAAAATCCTCTGAGTGTTAAAACCTGCATAAAGGACATTTAGTTAGTTGCTATGTGGCAGTATTTTAATAATATTGCATTAATACTGAGCAAGCCCATCGTGATAGCATTGAATCGAAAGCTCAAGCAGCAGACGTTGAAGACAACATCAGCGAAGTCTAGTAAAGGGAGAGATTAAGACGACATTCGAGGAAGCAATCTTGTTGTAAAGGGCTGACTTTGGTCCTAAACAGATCTTGTATATGGATCAGTTGGTACATGTTTCTTCTGTTCTGTCCATTTTAGTGTATATTTTTCCTGGATATGAGGACTGTGCAGCAGTGCCATGAGGCAGAGCACATGGTCTCTGCATGGTCCACGTTACCTGAGAAGTCATGTTTAAATGCTTCCTTTGCAAACGGCCTGAGAACTGTAGAAGTCCTGAATATGAATAATTCCCTATTTTCTGAGGATACAGTCTGTCTAGATGTATCGAGTGGAATCCTTTTTCGATTCAGATCTGATACGGGATTATATGCGGGCGCTGGAATCATTATATCAATAATCACAAATAATACATTATAATCTTAAATTTTCTGCCCGAAATTTCGAAGGGGAGGAATGCGAAATCTTTTACAGCGTCTTGGGACATCCTCCCGACATGAAAGGCACGATGTACATGTAATTTGTTGTTGTTGTTTTGTTACCGTCAACGCTGTGTGTCATCGTTGAATACGATCCCTGCAGCATAGCGGTCTAACACTGATCGCTTTGGTTACCATCAATCTTCACACAAGTTGTGGCGTTACGGTGTCTTCCCTGATTGTATTCAATTCAGATATGCCAGATAGTATCTCCAGTTTAATATCTGTTTCAGCTTAAAAAAGGTGGGCGTGTGTTCGAATCAAAGCAGCTCCATCTTTTAAGTTCTTACCTTGAGTCCATCAATTCCAGAAGGTCCGTCATCACCCACCAGCCCAGTCTCTCCCTATGAGAAAAGAAATTCATTGTGTTGTTTTTCATGCAGCATCAGCCACATCTCGAGTTTGTTGTTAAATGCCTGTGTACTTGTGTGTGGTTCTGATCATTTAAAGTATAGAATACAGGAGGAATTATATATATATGTATATATATGTGTGTGTTACAGATGTGGGCAGAGGTGGTAAATCAAATTCAACATAGATACGTGTTGAATACATTTTGGAAAAGAAACACAAGCGTAACCCCCAAATGGTAAAATATTCTTAAAGAAATGGAGAAACAGAGGGATCTCGGGTGTCGCTTCGCGGATCTTTGAAACAAAAAATGCATTTACAGTGGAGATACAAAAATAAAGAGGCGATATTGAATTTGGTGAGCGAGAGCATTTTGTGTGTGTTGGAGACACCCATTCTAGAAAGGACATCAGAGCCATTGAGAGGGATTGCAGCAGAGATTCACTGGATAATACCGGCAATGAAGAAAAGTTTCGACAAATGGGATTGCAGAGATAATACTTTCAAAACCTCCTGGCGTCCTATGTCTTCCAACATCTTATTATTTATCTAATCGATGACGGCGATAGTTCAAGCTAATGGGTTGTTTTAACAGCCCCGCCTTTCTAGAGAGGTAAGGCCTGAGCTCACGTGACTGTAGGGCTGTTACTGTCTCTATAAACCTCATTGTGGAATTTGCATTTGACAAGATGAGCAATATCGAGATCTTTCGCAGGTCGGACGTTAACTCCAGGACCACAAATGGCTTACCTGTGTTGCGCTCTTTTTTTTTTCCGTTCCATTTTCCTTCATCAACAACAGCCCAGTGGTTGCAAATAGGAAATTCAACCCGGTCCCTATTCAGACTAATATTATCTGAATATCACATAATCACTTACTCTTTGGCCCATGAGACCTTGTTCACCGGCAGCACCAGTTGGTCCAATTTCACCCTGTGGACCAGATAATGAATACAATTCAACAGGACAGAGCACGGCAATAAACAATGGGTTGAAGTAAATGCTTTCATTTTAATATATTTTGAGCTGAACTAAGCTAAGCCTTACAAGAGGGAAAGAGGAATAGAAGGGTACGGTGGGGGGGGGGGGTTAAGGAATGGGTAAAGACGAGTGTGGAGTATATGCTGCTCTTTCTTGCTATATGCTGTACTTTCTTTGTGAACTTCTTTATAAAATAAGACTAATTTACTGAGGGAGGGAAACCTGCTGTTGCTGTTTCATTAGTACTTTGATAGACATAAAATGAACAGCCGACACTTCGATTTTTATAAAGAGGAGGACGTCAGGTCCCAGTACTTTAAATAGTTCTTGCGTGGCTTTGCAAAGCGCAACACCTTGGACCCAGTTCAGCCCACAGGATACCCCTGTTTACTATTCCCTCCCCTAAGAGGTTTTATAGACCTCAAATCCAAGTCAACTGACTGACACCCTTTTCCATGGATGTGACATTACTATTTGCATCCCTTATGACTGCTCTGGTGATTTCCACCCCCCAAGAGTACTGTATCTAATAATCGAAACCCACGTTACAGAATTTGTACTTTCCAGAATCCCTCAAACGTCTGAGAGTGACAGGTTTTCAAACTTACTAATAAACATTCTCTGGTACTCCACAGTTCTTTGATTTTGCGTTATGATATCCATAAATGAAAAAGGTCCAGAAAATAAATTAATGAAGACTGTTATCTGACAGAAAACAGGTGGATATTTTTGTAAGCTAGAAAGGGAATTTTGTACACAGAGGGTTACTGTGTTCACCCCTCCCCTCCCTCTCTTTCCACTGAAGGAGTTTTACTGGAATAATGGAGCCTGCTGTAGAAAACCTGGCTTATTCTGTCTGATTGCCCAGTTGGACTGGTTTGTAATAAGAGAGCCAGCCTTCAAAACAAAAGTCTCCATTATCCATAGAAAATCAGGCTGGAATGATTAGAAAATTGTACCTTCTCGCCTGTTTCACCTGGGAGCCCAGGTTCACCTAAAGGACCAGGAAGTCCCTGAAAAATAGAAAACAGTCTTAGGTAAAAATTTAATTATGTAACATTGGGTGCACGGAATCTATGGCAATCTGAATGTGTTGTCTAAGGGTATGATTGCGGAAAGGAAACGGGCATGTCAAAACCAAAGCCAAACATTTCTAATCAAATCACTTGCTCTCATGGGTTATAGAAATTTATAACTTTAATTTTATAAGTGGGATTTTATGGATCGCGAAAAACTGTTTTATAAGGAGTCTGCAGCGCTGTTGCTTTGTGCAACTCGTACGTAGACGAGTGTGTCATTGTGGGAATTTAAATAGCGGAAGGAATACAATTTAAAATTTGGCGAAAGCACAAGATTCATCATTTACCTGTGGTCCAAGCTCCCCCAAAGGCCCAATCATTCCCTGTGGTCCAATTGGTCCCTGAAGAAATAAGCACAGCGATAAAGTTGCAGTACAAATTTTTCCAATGTGAATGACTTAAACTTTGATATACGAAGAAATAGCACAGTCTTATGATAAGTCTGATTAACATACAGGCCATTAGTAGTAAAATATTATTATTATTATCAGATGATATCATTTATTCAATCATAAGAATTGCATTTGATATAGCAAGTTATCACATTCAAATATCTCAAATCTTGACTTGCGGTTCAAAAACTCAACCTTCTGATTCAGAGGCAAGAAAGAGCGTCATCGACTAAATCAAGCTGACAAAAACAATTTAAGTATCCTTGTCTATTGCTGGGATAAAAGAATACCTAAATAGCATGGGCAAAATATATATTTTAGCATATTCCGGAATATTTTGAATATTCCAATTTCTAGTGCTGGATTACTTGCAGGACTCACTTTATTCCCTTCTACTTCTAAAGACCTTTAACAATAGTTTTGCTGAAACATTCCGAGTTCACGCAAAGACAGAGCAAATCCAAAATAGATGGGTAAACCCTTTAGACACATTTTACACAAACAGCAACAGTAGCATAACGTTTGAGAAGTATACCATTACCTAATCCTAGGAAGCACCTCACACACCCTGCCAATAAACTCGGTAAAGACACCTTAAGGAGAACATATCTCGCAGATTGCCACTGTAATATCTGAAATCATTGCCAAAGAAAACCTTTCCACTAAGCCCAGGTCGCTGAAATAGTTAACAATTAATTTGTAGTTCTAAAGTGCAAGCTGAATTTCCAATTATTAATGATATAATTATTAATTATATGCCTGAGCTATTAAGCAAGGCAACATCACACCTACAAAACATTAAAGCAGTCTGGAAAATAAATAATAGTGATGTGCACTTGTAAATGGCATTATGTTTATTCACATAAAGTAAACTTTTCAAAGCCCTTTTCACGTTATGATTGATTAAAAATGGAAGCGAATAAGGTTGCACAAGAAAAATGGTTTCAACGTTAAGATCACAGGTATGAAGTATTTCTAAAGTACTCAAAAATAATACAAACGGAGGGAATTGAAACCGTGGCTGAGGTTGTTGGTGACTGCAATTAAATGAAGTCTAATTTGTGAACCCGATGATTTATCTGAAAACAAAACCAACTGAGCCAAAAAGAACATATCAGATATTAGCAACGTGTAAGTGATACACAAGGTAATTCACTTTATCTAGCTAGAAAAATACACTGAGCGACATTGTTGCCAACAGTACTGACACTGACGACAAGGGAGAACATCCAAGTACCATTAATGTGCATATCTCGGGAACGGAGGTCCTATGAATCAATATCAAGGTCTCTTAAAGTGTCGGAGTCCTTACGATCCCTCCCCTTAGTCGCCCGGGATTAAATTCTGGTTTTATGGAGAGTTACAAATGGAAAAACTTCCATGAAACTGCAAGACGTCCAAGGTGCACAGACTCTTAAGAGGCTCTTTTCGATTCCACCTCAGCACAGCAGTTGAAGCATGCGCAAATCGGACGGTTCAAATAAAGTCCCTGTACCGCAGATGTGCTGAGTTTGATTGTTCTTGGCAAGGTTATTTGGTGCTGCTTACTGCAGAAATAAAGCGTTTGTTTCATGGCATGTTCCAGCACATATTGGTGGAAAGGACATGGTGGTACGCACCAATCTTTAACTAAAGGAGGCTTTACAGACTGGAGAACCCACTAAAATGTGTCTGGAGGACAACTCAGAATTGTTAAGTGCCAAGTTAACACTTAGCACTTGCCTGGCAGGGGCACAAGGTCAATATCAGCTCTGAATAGTATGATTCTCAGACAGGATCCAAGGACTGTTTGAGATTATTAGATACGTTTCTAGCACTGGATCCAATCTCTCCGTTACTAATGTGGATATAAGGCAGAACTGTTCAACACCACATTTGGCGAAAGTGTCACCTGAAATCAAAGATGGATATCAAAGGGTTTATTGAAGTATGGCAACTGAAACAAATCAGGGAAGAGAAAATAAACCGCTTCGGCTAAGCTCAATATCAGAAAGGTTACTGTCTCAATAGTGTTGGTACTCAGGTTCTCAAAGACCTAACACAACCTAGTTCCAAAGGAACGAGCTGGTTTCCTTTGTTGATCTATTTCAACCGTTCCCATTATAAGCTGTTGTCTCTTTTGACACTGTTTCCAGCCAGAAGGGGTCAAACTCAAACAGAGACCAGCGCCAAAAGTCACCAACGTATGTAAGGAAACCAACAACAACTCGCATTTCTATAGCGTCCTTCACGTGGGGTAGTGCACCGGTGCGCTTGAGAAAGGAGAGATCGGAAGAGTTAAGATAGGACTGGAAAGGCACTCAAACGGAAAAGAATGCTAAAAAAAAACTATTTCAATATTTAACACTAAAGAGGGCAGTCAGGAAAGAATTTTAAACACTAAGGGACCCCAAAGGCGTTTGGAAAAGAGAATGAACAGAGAGGAGGACACTTAAAAGATGCAGCCCGGCACCCAACAAACATTGTTTGAGCTCCAGGGCTTGCCATTAGTGAGGCTGAGTTTCTTGATAGACTGAAGAAGGAATTGTACCCTTTGGGGGCTTAGAGAGTCAGGCTGGAGCTTTGTGAGACATTATCGCACATTATGATACTCAACTTTCATCACTGATCTGTTGGACAACAGCAACAACGGCTTTTTGTTTTTTTATCTGGTGACAACTCTACAGAATTGGAGTTTTGAATTAACATCTCCCTGTTTTCTAAGGTGTCCATTTTGCTATTCCTTCTGGGTCGAGTTTTGTTTAATGGAAAAGTCGGCATATTTACCACTATTGAAAGGGTTTTGTCGCCGAAACCCAGGATGGGTAATAAACATTTCAAAAGACAAAAAAAACTGTATTTTTACTTATTATGAATCTAGTTGCCTCATACACCAATTATAGTCACTGCCTCATACACCAATTCTAGTGGGTAGAACATTCTATTATGGCTGGAATCATGAGACGCACGTCCTGTCTATTTAATGAAAATCATTGGTGGTTTTCTCCTTCCTTCAAGAATGTTTTACCTACAAATGCACAGTCCCTACACTTTACAGTAAAATCCCATGAAGCACTTTGAGACGTCTCGATGACGTGATAACCACTGTATCAAATGCAAGGACTTATATTATTATATTGGCTAAAAGGTTTCACAGAGCTGGAAAGTGAAGGACTCTTGCAAATTAATTCTATATTTAAAAAAAAGTGAACGTACTGGTTCCCCTGGGACCCCTTTTATTCCCGGAGGGCCAGAAGGTCCTGGAATACCCTGCAACAAGAAAGTCAACAAGTTAATTCATAATAGTCTGAGATTTGGTAACGGAAGAGAATAAGGTCCAGTTGCTGCTGAGGTTTTTGTAAAAGTGTTCTCATTTCCTCAACTTTACTGCTTCTCAGTGTCGCAAGGTCCAAAAGTTATTGAGTTTTCTATAGCTGTTATTTTAAGCATTGTTATACTCTTTTTATGGCATCTGCAAACTTTGCTAATGTCAGTTGAGACCTAATGATGGGAATATTGTTAATGCAGGTACGTTTGATGTTTACATGGTGACGAAACTGAATGGCAAGTTGTATCAATTACAACTCTTAATATAAAAACATTTACTGACACACTACTAAGATTGAAGGTAAACAGTGATATTTATTTATTTATTATTGAAAGCAAATGTATTAGAACATTTGTTGGGACTTCAAGCAGCCAAACATATGAAATGACCTACAAGGCCTATTTTTCTGTTAAATACGAAAGAAAGCCCATGACGTCCAAGTCCCGTGGCTTCACAGTGCATTACGTAAGATCAAAATGAGTGGAAATGTGGGAAACAAACAACAGGCAACTAAAAATAAATTGGAGATCTATTTGTTCTCAGATTTGTACCAAATGATGGGTAAATGAGTGTATCCAGGCTGTGGGTAGGATGATGGTGGCAACCCTCTTATGCATATCATACTGAGTTGTGTTCCTGCTACCTCCTATTGACCTAACGAGGGCTCAAATCTAGTCTCGGTACTTCAGTTCCTGAGCCAAGCAGGTCCACAGTCCGGGGTATTGTCAATGACAAACCAGCCAGCCTCGCTAGTTATATCAGGACAGAGGAGCAGATGGGGATGAAACGCCTCAAGCTCTGTTCCTTTTAAGCCAGTTAGTCAAAGCCCTAATTGTGGTCCTAGATGTTCAAGCTGTGGGAAGTTTGCCAGTCAGCGTTCGTAAGCTGGTGATTGTAATCAAAGCTTCGAGGCTTTCCAGGGTTAGGCAAGAATGGTGCGTTCTTCTGAGAGGACGGAGTTTGCACTCTATTCCAGACAACTAAAGATGTAATGTATACGTGGATCTCTCAGTAGTTTGGCTTAGATACTCTAATCCTTTTGTCTATGTGCCTGGTTACCCCAAAAAATATCCAATTTTATTATTGCATATCATCATTTAAATCTCTGGAGCAAATGGAGAATTCAGACACACAAAGGTAACAATAATAAACATATAGAATAAGATACAATGGGAAGTGATCAAAGTATATCAGTGTAAATGACTTCAAGGAACAGATATGGATTTGGTGAATGAGAAAATAGATGGATATGATGACGCCTAACGTGATTCAAAAACATTCAATATACATACTGGAAATCCTCGTGATCCTTTTGCTCCCGACTCCCCTCTTTTGCCCTGACAAAGCAAGCACGAGTTTTAAATTCTGATTCAAGGAAACAAAATGACAGTCTTAATACGGACGTGTATGGTTTTAAAATATCTTGTATCTCCGGATCCCGAATTTCACCTACCCGTTGTCCATCTTGTCCAGCCTGACCTGGATTCCCAAGAAATCCCTGGAAAGAAAAGTAACATAAACCAAAAACAAAACAGAAAACTGAACACTTTGGTAAGTCGGGCACGGTTTGCTAAGTGTGGAACTGAGAGAGAGCCTGACTGCTGAGCTCAGATCAACTCCCACTTTCTGCATCACAACTTTTGGATGACACCAAATTGCCTGCTCACGTTTTCTGTTACCCGTTCAACTAAATGTTACGTGCAAAGCTCACATCCATTTCAATAACATTTTAGCAAAATTATTACTTAACTTAACTTGTTGATTGAACTCAGTCCCCCCTTACATCCGCACAGCGAAGGCTGAGGCTAACCTATCTGGCGCCATAATGCGTTCTCCGACAGTTACTTTTGAAGTTAATTTGCTAATTATGTTTCAAAAAACATTATTTTTACTTGCTTCTCAACTTGGTTTGAGGGTAGAATATCAAACCCATTTTTGAAGCTATTTCCAAACAAAACCGTGATGTATTAGTTTGTGGACAAGGTCTCCTGCCCCTCGTACCTTGACACCTACTGACCCTGGCTCTCCTGAAGGACCATCAGAGCCTCTTGCACCCTGGAAGACAGAAGGAGATGGTTTGAACAGCAGGTGTCTCTCTCGCACTTCTTCTAACTTTAGGCTTAGCACAGAGTTGGTTCTGCATGTCTTTCACATTTATGCCTTTTACTTGATACTCGTGTTTCTTCCTGACGTCCTATTTGTAGAATTTTCTGGTTCACTCGCTTTCCTTTCTGATTTTTACTTTGTTCCCTTCTTTGTCGCTTCTTTCTTTACTGCATTGAAAAGAAAAACTTAGCAAAGCTGTTTGCAATCTGTGACTGGCTGGTATGATCTTTAAAAGCAGCAGCTAATAACTTTGCACCAACCCCAGAAAACTGACAAAATAACACACTCGACATGAATAAAAGTTTTGGGTGGTGCACAACATTCAGCATCCAAAATTTATAGGAAGTATTTTGTGCCGACAGCAGATGTATGTTTACGTGCATTTTAAATTCAGTACAGAGTTCAACTTGTTGCAGTTACTTCCACTAAAACTACCACTAGTTTTCTTATCTCCACCTCCTGAGTCCCCTTCCTTTCTGATATGTGCTTTGAATTTCTTCTGCTGTTTAGAAATGAATGGCATATTTTTACTCCCACATCTTTCAGACAATCACATATTTTCAGGTACCAAAAATCTGCTTATCTTATGAAGGCTCCGAAACAGCTGTTCTTAAAAACACATTTCAGAACAGCAAGTAAAGAGCTTTCGCAGTTACAATCTGAGGGGATTGTCATCATGCAGTCTTTGCTTTTCATTCAGTTTGATCTTCCTTACTACTCTGACCCGGGTTTAAATTCCACCTGACCTTCTCTTTCTGAGGAGAACAATTCTTTAACAGAAGCGATAGACAAAGACGATGCACAGTCAAGAATAATGGATTATAACTGCATAGTGACCTGAAATCAAAAACCGAAAGCACTTTCTATCTACACACTGTATTCATTCATTGCTAACCAAAAAATTTGGTATAAATACCGAGTGCAATAATGCCAGCCATCCAAATACTTACTGCAGATTTACACTGGCAATCAAACAGATATGTTAAACTTGTTAAGAACGTACTCAATATCCAACCAACAGCAAATCTTCAATTTTAGAATCTAACATTGATTTCAGTGTCAAAATGTCTTATGCAAAACATGAAATTCAGCTCAATGTTTCTTTCAATGAATATCATCGGCTAAATTATGAAATATTATGAGTTACTTGTCCTTGTCGTTATACTTCCTTGTGCTGTGAGCAGCAAAATCAGCCCAATTTAGGAATACTTGTGAACAGCCACATAATACAGCAACAACAACTTGCACCCCATACAAGGGTAGCGTCTCAGAGCGCTTAACAGTGGCGGAGCCTGACTCCGACCCGGGGAGGTGGGGGAAATCACCTTTAAGGACCTATACCTGTGAGTCAGCAATTGCTTGCTCTCTCCCTCAGGCCAAAGCAGACAAAAAACACATGAGAGTCGAAGGCATGAGCTCCTAGTCTATGATGTGAAGCTTTTTAATTCAGTTCGACAGGAGCAGCAGGAGGTGGCCAATTAGTTAAGATAATTCTAATAAAAAAAATTGACTAAAGCTGACATGTTTCATTAAAGATTAGCAAAGGAACGAGAGCACATTCCTGAACTACTTCCAGTGGCTAACGCAGCAGCACCCCATTGCCTGAGCTTTTCTACTTGAAGTTTAGCAATATAAGTAGAATTTTAAAAAAAAAAAGCTTTAAATGTCTATGTCAGTAGCTGGCCAGTCTGCATCCTACGAGATTGCTCAGTGATTGAAAGAAAGTGTTCAGCTGTTTCGGTTGGAAATTTTAAGTTGTTTTATGTCGCTAATAATTGCTGCAAAATTGGTTGAAACTTCTCAATGTGGTTGTGAAGTTCAACTAATGCGTATGATTCTGTGGAAATGGGAGACCGACTGGCTGCAGGGTAATACAAGAGGAGCAATGAATGAAAGTATCCACCACAGATCATGGGTAAAATCAGACTTCTCTCACAGGTAGCTCTGATTTTCACTGCCTATAAAGTATGTGGGGAAGAAATCCTAACAACCAAACATTATTGCAGACCAAATACATTATCAAATGGCTCTCCTAAAGGCATTCAAATCCTCCTTTGGGGGGAGGAGGAGGAAGAGCAGGAATTTCTTGGGGCTGAGCTGGTTTCCTGGTAACATGCTTGGCAATATAGGGTTGTAACCAAAATGCTCCATGGCACTGCCAATGACAGACTACCCAGTACAAGCTTGGATCCCCAAACCTTGGCACTTTCCAACCTGTGCCTGATACTTTTCACGGTTTAGGTAAGCAGGGTGTGTCCCTGAGATGTAGGGCCTGTACACGTTTAAACCACTTACATTGAGAACAATTTAACAGCCTTTAGCACGGCTGGTGTATGTTCATACGCACACCAGCATATGTACAGTCAGTAGACATAGTGGACTGCCTAACATTTGCAAGTTAAATAAAAGATGCAGCTGGCATGAAGGAAATCCAATATTTTTGCTATAATGACCAAAGTTGAGGTTGAGCCAGCGCTGAAAAGGCTATTTTGCACTATTGGAGCCAGCATCAGAACATCTTGCCATCAGACCGATTTGCTCATGAATAGTTTTGCATGAATTACTATAAATAACAATAATAATTCTCGCATTTGATGTAGCACTTTTCATGTCTTCTAGAGGTCTCAAAGCGCTTCACAGAATATGCTGTAAAGTGAATTGACTGTATTTGTGGGCGAAACGCGGCAGCCAATTGCGTACAGCAGCGTCTCCACAAACAGTCTTGGATTGAAAATGACCAATTTATTATTGTTTTTGGTTTTGGAGGGATTATTAGGCTCTGTGGGGAGTCAGGAAACTTGCCCAAGGTTTCGCCCTCTGCCTGGGATTGAACCCAGGTGCCTCACTTGCAAGGCGAGTGCTCTTTATAAAGGTGGCAGCAGCCACTGATGCCAGTGCCCTAAAATAATATTAGTGCAACTCAACTAACCAACACAAAGTTTGTCTGCTACTCCTAAAAAAAAATCAGAAAGCTGTCATCGGCCCATTATTTCGTCCAATTACCAGGAAATCCTGGAAAAATGACAAATGGAAGTTTTCCAGATTTACTAATAGATTCAGCTGAGTAACATGGATCATTTGTAAAATTGCCTCATGGAGACTTTTTTTGGCTGGGTGTCTGACACACACTGAACCCATCCCATCTCCAGCTTTCAGAGTATCCAAACTAGATAGAGTTCAACATCTAAATGCCACCCAGCTACACACGGACAATTCCACATGTCTGAAATAAGATATGCACTCTCTCCTTGGAAGAATGAACCCTGCTATCCCTTACGACTGTCAGTATTAGGCACAGGTTATTGAGGGCCAAGGCTTGGGGGCCTCACTGCTGAAGTACAACCGGCTGAAAGGCGCTATACAAATGTAACTTTGTTGTTGTTGTTGTTAACAGGAGCGGGAAGAGTCCCTGCCACCTGCGATCCTCCAAGTTCTGCCGATGAGCCAGGTTGGCTGGTCTGTCATTAACTGTGCCTTGGGAGCACTGATCACATGCCCAGATCTGGAAGCAGACAACTAGGTTGACTTGATTCTGACGTGTTATTGCCAGGCATGTAATCGTGGGAGGCAGTGCAGCTCCAAGGAGCCTCTGCTTCCCTCCCCTCACCGCCCCCCGCCCAGGAGGAATGCTAATGGAGAACATTGAGGGAATGCCAGGCCAGATTGAGACAATAATTGAGGTGTATGTAATGTGCGCCCCACCAGGCTTGACGTGCTTGCTTTTTGACAGAAAACAAACGAACTCTGGCATCCTATTGTGCAGTACACTTTAGCAATAGCAGTCCATTAGAGACTTGAATTACTACATGAAACAGATCCACTTAATGTTATTTTTCCCACTTTAGATTTTGTGGCAGTCAATGGTGTACAAATCCAAGGCATCGGGCAAAAGACTTTGGCTATTGGTGCGCATCTGTTGCCATAGTGATGAACTGGAAAGGACATACGAACACTAAGCTCTCTTGCACATCAGAATAAGTAAATTATGAATATTGCAAATATGGAAGCAATTTTCTTCTAATAGACCAGGCAAAGCTGCTTGTATAAGATTTCAGCTGCAGTTACAATATATATTTGGCATGGCTTGTGTGCTCTGTGCAGCAGTGCTGAACTGAACCATAGAGTCACATGTGGATCGTGGAGGGTCTCAGTGTGATTCACAGTCACCTCCGCTTCAGCAGAAAGCACGCGTCTCAGATAATTCCTGCTGATAACTTGTTATCAGAGCCACCACGCACACGGCTATTTAAACTCGTACGTACGCGGTAAAAAAAAAAAGAAAAAAAAAAATTCTCTGGTCAGGTTTTTCGAATGTTCAATCGAAGCAGTCGTCTAAAATAATACTCGTCTGAAATAACTGAACAAAACAAGTATAATCAATTGATGGCATGTTTGTTGAGTGACAATATAATCACATGTATTTGTATACAATTCCCACAAACTGCTTTCCACGACAATTTACATCTCGTGATGTCTCTACTCTCGTTGTTTGTAAATGAACGTCAGTTAAAATACTAGCAATCTAAGTGAGGTGCTCTTTGGGGTCTTCGAGCCTTGGCTCTTGCCAACCTGCGCCTAATGCTTTCCGGCATTAGGTAATAATAATAATAATAATAATCCTTGCATTTGATATAGCGCTTTTCACGTCGGGAGGACGTCCCAAAGCGCTTCACAGAATAGACTGTAAAGTGAATTGACTGTATATTTGTGGGCGAACGCGGCAGCCAATTGCGCACAGCAATGTCCCACAAACAGTCGTAGATTGAAAATGACCAATTTATTATTGTTTTTTTTTGTTTTGGAGGGATTATTATTAGGCTCTGTGTGGAGTAAGGAAACTTGCCCAAGGTTTCGCCCTCTGCCTGGAATTGAACTCAGGTCTCTCACTTGCAAAGCGAGTGCTCTAACCACTGAGCTACAGGACTCCAGGTAAGCTTACTACAGGTAGTAAGGTAAACTTACTACAGGTAAGCAGGATATGTCCCTCCACACAGAGAGAGAGAGAGAGAGAGAGAGAGAGCGCATTCCATTCCAATAAATATCTTTGGAATTTCCATGTATAGATGGGATGCATAGAGATGGTTTGGTTAAGCACGGCAATGGGTTTCTGCTGTCCAGCCAGGACACGCAAAAAGATTTGGGCCTTTTTTTCTTTTTTTTTAAAAAAAGAAATAACAGGATTTACCTGAAAGCTAACTTATTAAATACTTTTTTGTGTTTTCTAACAGATGAATCAAGAATTAATTTTAAGATCTTGTTTTTTTAAAAAAAATTGGAATGGAAATAAAGATAAAACCCCAACAAAATCGTGTTCTGTTGAGATCAGTGTTTTCTGCTACGGTTAATTCTATTAATGATCTACTGTGGTGATCTGTCTTGGAATATTCGGTTAGTTTTACTTGGAAAATAAATCTTTCTCACATCAAGAGGCACCAAACAAGAGTGTTAATGATGCAGTTTGTGTGAATCTGTACCGTAGGCCAAATCAAATGTTTGTTTCTTTTAAAAGTTGCAGTAAGTCAATGTTAGAAGGGAAATATTTTATGAAACTTGACAATCTGCCTTGCTGCACCACAGTAAAAGTTATTTAACGCGTTCTGCTTGAAGGATTAGTGTGGAGGCAGTGGTTGTGTGTGTCCATGTGTCTGCGTAATTTACAATCAAAGTGAGGTCTGTTATTCCCCAAGCTACTGAAAGCGGCTTTGTTTAAGTGCTGAGAAGTGATACCTTTGTACCAATGGAGATTTACAGATAATTTTACTGAATAACTCAATCTCACAAGGAAAGGACTTTCTACGCTACACAGCTGTGTTGGTGTTGGCCGATCATTTGGATAAATAGCCAAATAATGTTTGATATCTCCCATGTTTTGTACAATAATCAGTTACTTTGATTAAATTATTTATGTCCGACATTCAACCATTACATTGAATTGTCTCTGTACTCGAGTCTTTCTTGCTCCTTAATACAACATTTGCAAATAAAATCGGTCATTCACTTCATGGCTATTTCGTCAGTTGTCACATTTCCCTTAGAAAATCTGCAGTCACTACACTTAACAGTAAATCCTGTGAAGCACTTTGAGATGCCTCAAGAACGTACTAAAGCACAATATTAAATGCAAGAATGATTACACGTTGTGGGATTATGTGGTTGTGGGATTTTTGACAAACGGCACACTCTCCTTTTTGACAGAATTTCACTGAAAGGTAGTAATTGATAACAGCAGTTCAACCAGAATTTTACCAGTGCAGTGATCCGTGACTAAGACTTTTCGAAGAGATACACGAACATCCCAGTTACAGAAACAGAAAGACTGGCACAAGCTGCTGGTAACTTCAATTTAAAAGTCTATAAATGAACAACAATTTCCTCTCAAACAGCACTTTGTTCCATGGACCAGTTTTTCAATGCAATGCCAATTTTATTTGTTCATTGTGGGAGCAATTCAAGTCTTAATACTAATAACTGAATGTAAACCTTACTAACCATGAAATGTTACACACGACAAGGATACCTCAATGCTAGCTGGATCTTACAGCATATCAATAACTTACCCGACGTCCTTTAATTCCTCTCATCCCTTGGGATCCTGGAACACCTTGGGCACCCTAGAACATAAACAACGTACAACTCACTTAGATGTCACCACTTTGTATTCAACATCAACATTGCCGCTTCGCCATTGAGCTCCATGTCAAGATGCGAGGATTATTTATTTATACGTCATCAAAGCTTTGTAACAAGGCAATAAAAAGCGCATGTTTTCCTGAACAAGGTTTTTCTCACACCTCCAGGTTGACCCCATTATATCATAGTGGTTTGGGTCCATAAGCTCAGATTCCACATTATACTGAGGAGAGTTTAAAAAAAAATCACTGATCTGCTTCTAGTTCCTTAGTGGCAAACTCAGTCAATCCTACTCAAAAGGCTTTATTCTCTGCTGGTCGGTAAATGTACTGGTGGTGTGAATTTGGAAGGGCAAAGACAAACAGTTTTGGGGGAAAAGGTTAAATGAATGTTAGAACTAGTTTTTAAAGCAGGCTTTACTGATGCACATTAAAATTTAAAGCACCAGAATCACAGATTATGACATCCACTCTGGGATATTTTGCGATCTGTAGCCTTGAATCAACACAGCGGTTCTAGATTCCCTAAGGCCCAGCTTTAAGGTTTTGTTGATTGTGTTGGAGAATGCCCACGTGGCAAATTGAACTCTAAGAGTTAAATAGTCACATGAGATCTTCAAACGCAGAGGTTAATCAGATCACTGTTCACAGGGCATCCCCCCGTTTAAAGCACCAGTCCGCTTAATGGTAAACTGAATTATTAGACACAACACATTATTTTAAAAGTCTAACTTGATTTCTCTGATTGCTGGAGCAGAGACGTATTACATAATTAAAGTGCACACCTACTGTTTAAGAAAACATTTCCCCTTGAATTAGAGTAAATGAAGGTGAAATGTTACAGATTACACCTTCCCAACAGCCACATTATTCCCATTCTTCGATCTTAACAAGCTGGAGTTCGATTCCATTTCTAAACACACGGCCAGCTCCTGCTCTAGGTTTTCATTGCCTTGGCAATGTGGTCATCAGTTTAGACTGCATGGAGTATCACAGTTAGGTCAGGATAACCTCATAACGTCTCCTTCAGCACGACAAGAAGTTTTGGATGAACAAGTTTTATATAAAAAAATAATATAACAGAGCTTGACGTTCTAAAAGCAGTGTGACACTTCAGATTGAGGTTGTCTTTGAGAATGATGCTCTACTCTGGGCTTCCTCACCCCAGGGGCTATTCATTTTGAGTGATCCTTGGCATTGAGTGTTGGCAGAATATTCCACTGGAATCGCAATGCTTGCCTGACATCCAAACAAGTGCACCTTCCAACTGCAGTGTCAGGATAAGAAACAAGTGCAGAGGGTCAACAGTTGTTTTTTTCTCCTGGCTACTCCAGGTGCTGAAGCCAACTGTTGTGGCTAAATTGCTTCCCTGGCTGAGCTTAAGTTTATTCAGCAGAAGATCCCATCTAGTGATTCTCCGCTCTTTATTGCTTTTGCTGCATTGCCTCAGGCCTCGCAGGCTTCTTAATTCCCAATTCTTAAGACGCACAAGCTTTCCTTTAATCCAAACTTTAATTTAGAAAGTCTTGGTTCCAAAGTATGCCTTTTAAATAAACTTGCACTGAATGATATTATCTCCTACCGTGGAGATTTTCTGCAAACAACGATGTTTGCTGCAATCTACTTTTCTTGTACACATAATACGTTCTTATACCCTAACCCAAATCCTCAGGTCATTCTTGATTTCCCAACAAGATTCTTCTCCCTGAACAAATACATTTAAATCTCAAGACAATTGAAGGAATAATAATAATCCTTGCATTGGATATAGCGCTTTTCATGTCTTCTAGACATCTCAAAGTGCTTCACGGAATATACTGTAAAGTAAATTGACCGTATATTTATGGGCAAAACGCGGCAGCCAATTGTGCACAGAAGCGTCCCACAAACAGCTGTGGATTGAAGTGACCAATTTTACCATTCTTTTTATCTTAGGGATTATTATCAGGCTTGTGAAGTAAGGAAACTTGCCCAAGGTTTTGGCCTGGCCGGGAATCAAACCCAGGTCACTCGCTTGTGAGGCAAGTGCTCTAACCACGGAGCTCCACGAATCCTAACAGCATAACAGCTGAGAATATTTTGGGGCTTGATTTTGTTTTGTTACATTTTTACACTAAAGAGATCGGTCAGCTTGCCAGCGAGTGGAAGAGAATGTAATCATTGAGTTCTTACTGGTGGTCCGATTGGTCCTGGAGGTCCTGATTGTCCTGGAACTCCTGGGTGTCCCTGAAGAAGAAATAACAATGTTGAACTAATTGAAAAGGTAACGTCTAATAAGGAAAGAGGCATGAATTTAAGGTGTGCGTGTGTGTGTGTGTTGTACAAATCGACAAGAACCAAGAGGGGATCCCAGAGCGTGTGTTGGGATATTGCTGGAGCTTAACCGGCTAAAATGTCATTTGCTGCCATTGAAAGCGTTGTCTGGAAAAGCTTGTCCAGTTGGGACCATTAGGATTTGACTTGCAGGGTTAACAGCAGATGAGTGGGAGCAATCCATGCCCCCAGTTTGCCCATCCAAGTCGTGCCAGTGAGCCAGCCTGGCTGGTCTGCCACCAGCAATCAGCCGGCAACAGGCAATATCATTGGTACATTCCTTGAGGTAGGTTTTGGCCTTTTTAATTCGGAAAATGTTCGAGAATTAATCCATCAGAATCTCAATTTGTGGGAAATAAGAAGCAAGGTCTATGTGAAATGTATTTCTTTTGACATCTGCGATTGGTTGTGAGTAGGACGTTTCATTTTGCAGTTCTCTCCTGGCTGCTTCCTGAGTGGAGGAAACACCGCTTTCAATGAATATTGCTGCTTTTAAAATTCCTCCACCACGCCAAATCCTCCCTGACAACCAGAGACTATATTCTCCCTCCTTTTGTCGCTTTACATGGGCCAATACTCAGTAAGTACACAGAATATGAATTTGGTTGCAGTTGGGGAATTTGGACTCACACATCAAAAAAAAAGCCCTTGTAAATAGATTCAAGATATCTATATATAGCTACCAATTTAAGAAACTCTCCGATTTTTCTGGGTAGGAATCCAACATGAAATATAAGTTTGCGTTCGGGACTGTCAGCTAGGAAATGGAAACGTGCACAAAAGGAAATCCACACTGGTATCCCACCTTGGCAGTGTGCCAGTGATGGAAATGACATCCCGACAACACAACACACACATACACCTCGTGATGTCAGCCGAGCCCCTGAAGAAGTCTGCGAGTTAACAAATGTATTAACTGCAAGTGCGACTTCTGTGAACTGGATCTCGAATGCGAGGGTTACTGCCTTGTGCTCCTTTTACCTTCAGTGGCACAAATTATTTCCTGGAGTGGCTGATTCGGATCGGATCTCATCCTCGATAATGGTTGAGATGGCAATCTGAATGCAGCTGTGTTGAACAGTTGACCTCTATCAGGTCTCCTCTCAGCCTCCGAGATGCCGTCTGGCGAGAAGGGCGCTATATGAATGCAAGTTGTTGTTGTTGTTGTTGTAGCCTTCTCTGTTATAGTCAAAGTAGCCCAATTTCTCTAATCTCTTCTCATATATAAAGCCTCCTTTTCCTGGTAATATCCAAGGGAATACAATAATAGCGATATAATCCTTGCGTTTGGTACAGCACCTCATCACATCTTCGAGACGTCTCAAAGCGCTTCACAGAATATACCGTAAAGTGAATTGACTGTATATTTTGTGGGCGAATCTTCTCTGTGCTCTCACGCCTTGACCAACCTTCTGAAAGGGGAGCAGCCCCAACTGGACACAAAACTCAAACTGCGGCCAAACTAATGCCTTGTACAGTTTTACCATTTCAGCGAAACGTCATGAATCCAAAACGACAACTTTCCACAGGTCCATTCATCCGCGTCAAGCTGTGATGCAGGAGTGGACACTGTCCACATTTGCATTGTCCTGGCCTCAACCGTCCTTCCTGGCAACCTGTTTCTTTAAACTCTGCACCAAGAAAAGCTTTGCAACTCGAAACCTATTGCCTTGGTGAATCTAATCCATTTAAAGTCAATCCATTTAAAACATTATACACTTCTGTAAAGTCGCCACTGAGACGTGTTCGCTCAGGACTGAAGTGCTCTTCAGTCTAAATCGTTATCTAAATTGTTACTTGTAGTTTGCTCCTCTAACACCTGGGATTATCCTCGAGCCTCGGCAGTCCATCTATGTAGAAGAACCATAAAGTTCCGTAGGCACAGCCTGATCACAGCATTGGATGGCTGGAGTATGATGTCTGAGGATCTGAACACAACTTATTTGGCGATATAGCCCAGCATCAGTTTTGCCTTGTTACACATATAGGGGCAATATATTAAAACAATCCTTGCATTTGTTACAGTGCCTTTCACGTCAGGTGGACATCTCAACATGTGTCACAGGATGTACCGTCAAGTGTAGCAACTGTATTTTGGGGAAAATTTGTGCAGAGCAATGACTCAGGAGGATTGTTGGCTAAAATATATAAAATATCGTCCCATCACTGAACCGCTCAATTCCACTGTTTACATCTCTGTGGAGTCCGGTATTGGGACACTTTAAAGTGTACGCGATCCATAGTACAACAAGGAAGCTGATCACTTTGTCACTTTCAAAAGCAATGGGATCCTTCCATCGAAGTCTAATTGGGTGTGGTTAGTCTAAGAATCAACACCAAAAGGTACAACACAGAGAGGTAGAGAGGGAGAGCTCAGATGTAATCCTCACCGTTGCTCCTTTTACTCCTGGAGATCCCGGAGGACCAGTCTCACCACGATCACCCTGCAGAAATGAGAGTAAACAGTCAGGCAGAATTACGGCAATGGAGTAACAACAGACTCTCCCGTTATCAGACTCAATGAGATACGCTCCAAGTTTGTTGGAGTGAAAAATCTACCTGAAAGCTCCCTGATTGTCTCAAGGGAAAGAAGCGCTGGCTGGGTGCAGCATTAGGCGCACAGGTTAGAAGGTGTCAGGTCTGAATCGAAATTAAGTTAGACCACAGTTACCATTAATGCCCCCAAGTAAGGGGCATCATAATGATACTAGTAAGGGGAAAAGAGGTCAACGTTCCTTTTCCTGATGCCATTCAGAGGCCCTGGGCTAGAAGGAGGTCCATTTGCGTGGACATACAGGATTTGGCTTGGCTTCTAGGCCGCCTCCCCGGCAGAGAAAATAAAAATATTAATAATAATCCTTGCATTTGATATCGTGCCTTATCACCTCTTTGAGGCATCTAAAGTGCTTCACAGGATGCACTGTAAAGTGTAGTGACTGTGTACCTTGTGGGCAAAACCTTCAGGAACAGAAGGGAGAATATTGGCGGAAATAATTGCACCAAGCGAGAAGGCTGTCTCCTTCAAGTTCAGTGAAAATACCCATCGTCAGACAACAACTTTACACAAAACAAAGGAAGTTCAATACTAAACGAGCGGTCAGAAAAACTACCAGAAGCCCTTCCCAAACCATTATTGGAAGACTGGAGCTGAGGAGAACGACGAAAGCTCAATAGGGGCAAGGATTCTGGCACCCCACATTACGTCTGTATACTCGTGACCTCATAGTCTGTTCATTATGAGGCCGTTTAGTACATAATGGTGCTTTAACGTAATTGTTAACATTACTGAACCGCAGGCTGCTCAGAGGAAAATCACATCTTATCTAATGTTTGTTTAACAGGCTGATTTACCGCCATAGCATCTGTCAAGGGGAACATTCCTTTTATTATGTTCGAAAGAAGATCTTAGGTCAGATGAGTTTGTGCTGTTGCCCATCTCACGTGGCAAACATCCAGTGGGAATTGATATATTTTTTTAAATCACTGGATTTAAAGTTGCCTTCTCACCACAAGCATCAAACTACACACTTCATTGGAGCGAAAACTAGATGACTGGTGCACGTTATAAATTCAGTTTATTTGGAAAAAATTACTCTTTTACTGCCTTCTTCCCTTTGCACTTTCATCTCGGGGAGAAAATGATCTCTGAACTTCTGCTCCAAGGTGTGACATTATTACCTCCTTGACAACCAGACGAGATTCTGGCACTCATGTGAGAATGGCAATAGGAAGATTACCCAATTTATAGTGGTTTTTCACTCTTTAAACAGGAGGCACCCTCCCACACTTGCGAGCTCATTTTCCAGCGGTGTGCAGAGGATGCCTGGAATTAGGTAGAAATACTGTACGTGTAAATGTGAGGCTGAATTTCCTCGTGGAGGATAAAATGTGCTTGAGATTCTAAATAAAGGATCAGAATAGGACCCAAAAGCACAGTGCCATTGCATATCCCACAATAACAACAGTCCAGTTATTATACAGCTGTTGTGAGGAGCTGTTTATTGAGCATATTCAGATGTTTTTAAGAGGCCATAAAAATGGACAATAAATTCTTATTCCCTTAAGCGCTCCGAGATGCAGTCTGGGGTGGAGGGAGTTATATAAATGCAAGTTGTTGTTGTTGTGATTGGATTCATTATGAACCATGTGATAAATCGTTTCAAATGCAGTAAAATCCGCAATATACTCGAACTGCCAAACGTTAATTCTGTTTTTTTTAAAAAGCAAAACAGATTCTGCCCATTGCCGGGCAATCAACAGTAATGCTAGACTTAACAAGTTGACATCATTTGCTTTTTGTAATAACAGCGATCAGTTTTATAGGGACAAACAAATCTGGGCCTTATGTATTCTGTGTAATTTGTGTCTTATGCCAAATCCATGGAAACGCCACTTAATTATTATTGAGTTTGCAATGGCTCAAAGTAGATTAATGAGGGAAATTGTTTATATATCAAACACATGCAGAAACGCATTACCCCCCCCACATATCTGCCTCCTGCACATGGGAATGCGCACTCCCTCCCTGGTGGGACACACCCTGCTTACTTAATTCCAGAGAGTATTAGGTACAAGCCAAGGCTTGGGGATCTAGCAAAATGTGTGGAGAGGATTGTTATAGTTTAACTAGCTACAAAAACTGCAGAGCTTGCCAGTGCTTGAGAGCACTCTGGCAAACTTCCTACTGCTTGTACATTTAGGGCTTTACCCTATCCAGTAGGGCTTTGGCTTGCAGAGCGAACAGGAGCTGAATGGTAAGAAACTCTGCTTCCAGTTACTGGTCTGCCTCTCAATTTTCTGCTGACGAACAAGGCTGGCTGCTCTATCATCGGCAGAACCCTGCATTACTGCAGATCCACCTGGCTCCAGACAGCCGCTGGAAAGCGTTACCTGGAGGGTATTCTACCATTCATCAGGAAGAACTTCTTCACTCAAAGGGTGGTGAATGTATGGAACTCGCTTCCCCAAAGGGCTGTTGACGCTCAGTCCTTGAACATATTCAAGACTGAGATAGATAGATTTCTTATTGCAAAAGGGATTAAGGGATATGGGCATAAGGCAGGGTCAGGTTATTAGCTGGCGTTGGAACGTCCTCCCGACGTGAAAGGCGCTCTATAAATGGAATCTTGTTGTTGTTGTTGTGGAGTTAGATTAGAAGATCAGCCATGATTGAATGGCGGCGCAGGCTCGAAGGGCCGAATGGCCTACTCCTGCTCCTCCACGTTACGTTATGTTATGTTTAACACAAATTGATTTTTCTTAAATGCAAATACCTTCTCCCCAACTTTTCCAACATCTCCGCTCAGGCCGATGAATCCAAGTGCCCCCTGGTAAAAGACAAGGCCAGAAAAACAGGTACATTTATTTCAGAAGTAAAAACAAATAATTGAAACATATTTTAATGATCCAGTGTTTTTATGAAATACATCAATCATCTGTTTTTCCAAGTTGCCGTTTCACCCGGATTCATTATTTCCGGTTTCCTGCCTGTTTTAGCTCTTGCCGTGTTATAAGTATTTATTTGTGTCCAGGCTGTCCCGTTTCTTCCCCTCACAAGTTGCAGACCAACCAGAAATCTGAGCTTGTGTTCTTTCCCAAACTAGCCCATCACCCTCGTCCTTGACCAGCTCCACTGGCTCCGCATCCCCCAGCGGATGATGTTTAAAATCATTCACAGAATATAATGTCAAACGAATCGTCCGTATATTTTGTGGCGCGAAAGGCGGCAGCCAATTGTGCCCGGCGGTGTCCCAGATTCTGTTGTTATTGGACATTTTCCTGATATGAATAAACATTAGTTATGAAAGAGCTTTTCCGCAGCGCTCAAATCCGGATACGACAAAGGCGCGTTAGCGAGTCCCTCGCTGGAGCATTTAAAACATTTAATGCGGGCACACTGTGACCCCATAGTTACCGGAAGTGTGGCTTATGGTCATCATGACATGATATCAGTGGTATTTCTTACACACTGCAAGCGTACACATTGCTTCGCCCCCAAAATATGCAATCAGTTAATTCACTTTACAATACATTCTGTGAAGTGCTTTGAGACGTCTCGAAGACGTGATAAGGCGCCGTATCAAAAATGCAAGGATTATTATGCTTGGCATCAGTGATTTTTCCTGCGCAAGGCGTTCAGGAGAGGACGTCCACAGTAATCTATCGACTTGGAAGTTGGCCATATTTTCACGCTCCCTCTTAATGTGGCCTCTGACTATATTGGACTCGGATAACCCTGGGTTTCCCAAAGTTGCAGAGCAGTTATCTGCTGTTAAAGACATCACTGAATCAACTGATTCATAGAATTCCAATGTAGAAAATTACCCCCGATCCCATTTTCATTAAAAAAGATTTGTGATCCAAGCATAATGTTTACATGCCCAAACTTTATCTCTTGATGAAATGCTCCCTGATTATTCTGGGGTCTGGAAGTCTTGGCTTTTGCCAGCCTGGGCCTAATACTCTGTGGAATTGGGTAAGCAGAATTCACCCCTCTAGGAAGAGTGTGTGCATTCCATTCGAATGCACAGGAATTTCCATGTTAGGTGGGGATGCAAGAAACTCTTTAGTTTATTTTGGATGCTCTTAAGCACAGAGATGGGTTTCTGCATGTTTCAGACACCCGGCTAGCCAAAAAACACAGCACAAAAACAGGAATAAAGACCTCCCTCTATGTTGTAAAATTTCTACAAGAACATACATTCAGCCCAATCCAAATGCACAAGTTGCACAATGAGAAGACAATTACCTGCTCTCCGATGCTTCCCACAGTTCCAACATCACCAGGTTCACCCTGAATAGACCAAAAAAATGGGAAATTATTTTAGCAGTGTCCGAAGTACCTTGACAGCCTGTATTAAGGCCGTCTGCGAAGTGTCACGGGTTTCAGAGTTCATGCGATGTAACATTTCTTTGCCCAGACATACTGATCCTTCAGTTTTTTTTGTTTCTCAAAGTTTTCGTATACTGCGCCCAAGATTCTTTCTGAATATATTTGAATCAGAAAAACGTATCACGTGAAATGAAACCTAAAATTTCCTGTTGTACATTTTATTTCGTTTTAATTCCAAGATAATCAAACGCAAGTGGTATTGCGCTGGCTCGGCTTGATGCATTCTGCTCCAACGGAACGTAAAGCAAGCCCAAAAAAGGGAAAGACAGCTCGTGTTCATCTCAGCAACACATTCTTCTCTCATTTTCAGACGATGGAAATGTCAGGTTGACATTTACGAAGCATATATTGCACTCAGTGCTGGGTGCATTGCCAATTCTGAGTTTGTATCAATGGAATTAACTACACAATGTATCATTAAACTTTAAATTAAGTTGAGCTTTTAATGGAATACAATGATATTCTTCAAGGGACAATCTCTTTCCCTCTGACCTATCTCTAAACGTTACGTTTTCCAATTTAACACTGATGAACTGTATATAATACGTCTTACAGATTTCCCATTCCATCATTTCCTTTTCCATATTGGTTTCCAAACTCGAATGCAAAACTGAATGAAATAAGTCTTGCCACTCTGCTGCCAGTTTGCTGTAATTTTATTGCAAATGCAGTCAAATTGTGATGTTTACTGTTACAAGCTCATCAGTCTTGAAGAGAAATGACTGAAAAGGTGCACCTGGCAAAGGTATATACAACTTTAAATGGAATTGACACAAAAACGCATCACTTTCAGATGCGCCAAGACAGTACAAGAGGACAAAGGACGATACGGGAAAGACACAAATAGGGATTTATTTAACCAAGGAGATAATTAGCAACTGGAACAGGCTAGCAGGAAGGGTGGTTGAAGTCCTCTTGTGACCAACCCAAAGGTTTACCTTAGGGCCTTCAGGCCCTGGCCTGCCCGAAAATCCTCTCCTCCCAGAACGTCCCTGTGATAAACAAATCACAGAGAGAGACGTGCATTCAATTGGTGCAAAGTATAAACGATTCAAACTAATTGTTAATTCATTTTAAGATTCTAAATAATAAATGGTTTTATCCCGAAATTTCTTGAGAAACAACCTATTGCCTTCTTTTTAAACATACAATAATAATAATCCTTGCATTGTATGGTACGTAACCTTTGTTTTACAGTGTCACAAACATCTACACAACAAGTGTATAACATGACACCAAACTCCAGAAAGCTGCCGACTTTCTGCACTCATGCGGTATTACTGACATAATAATAATAATACTAATCCTTGCATTTGACATAGCACCTAATCACGTCTTCAAGACGTCTCAAAGCGCTTCACAGAATATACCGTGACTGTGTTTTGCGTGGGCGGAACACGGCAGCCAATTGCGCGTAGCAGCGTCCCACAAATTAAGTGACCAATTTTTTTTTTTTGACCTGAACAATAAATGTGAAAATTGAATAATGGTTAAAAAACAAAACTACCTCAGGACCTGGATTTCCTGGCGATCCCATTCGGCCTTCGTCCCCCTGTAAAAAAATCAAATCACATTGATTAGTTGGAAGATACCGCAGATGACACGTTTTTGCTTCAGTTCACTGCGCCCGTGATCGTGTAGGCCGTCTGGGAATCTTGACACAACCCGGGCAGGACAGCCTGCCATCTTCAAAAGCATCTTCAATAGCAAGTGTTTCACCGCGATGTCGTACATAATGCAGTCACTACTGTCTGACAAAGTTACTATCTCATGGTGATCCATCACAATTATTGTTAGCTCAAGTTGCTTTTCTTTTATTATTTGCTTTCCAACAATAACGTGTTAAGTTGAAACGATTTCAAAGGGGTACGTCATGGCTTCTGACTTCAATATGCTGTTGTTTTCACTTAGATGAAAAGAAAATGCCTTGAACATCTTTTGCAACTTCTTTCGTTTTCTTTCCTTTTTTTTAAAAAAAAACGAAACGACATCCCGTGTCCTGTTCCATCTCTCGACGCGTGTAATGTTCCGTGACTGCGAGGTGTTCGAATGCATCGAGGGCAAAAATTCCTGGTTTCAAACAAAATGTTCTGGTAAATAATGAATTGCTTTGGTTTCATTGTTGGCAGCTTTCTGTTACTTGGCAACTTCTACCGGTCAAGTGGTAAAGGTCCCTTTGAATTGTTCATAAGGAGCTTATTAAATGGAAAAAAAAGTTAAGAAATACTTAGCAGAGAGGAATTTTAATAAATAGAAATTATTTGGTGTCCAGCGTTTCACTATGAAAATAGTTTGGGATGTCGAAAAAAAGGATGATTGTGACTCTGCTTGTGTAAAATAAGATAGATCTTAGCAGTTGTGCTTGACATTACATTTCAGATCTACTGGAATAAATCCAAATCATTTGTTTCTAAATAAAATGCTGATCCTCTATTGAATAAAATCCAATACGTATTTAAAGATTTAAATATCTAAAGATTATATCTAAACATTTTGCCGTGTATTCTCTCACTGTTCCTTTGGAATCGCTCTCGATTCCAGTTCCAAACTCACATTGGTCCAGATACAACTATTGGCCATGAATCTGAAGGTATTCCTGAGTTGCTGTAAGCTATTACGTGTGCTCTTTCTACCTTATGCTGTTTTGGACTGCAAAGAGATTTTAACAGCCAGTTTAGTGCATCCTGCGTCAGCCTGACTCAGTTTGTAGCACTCTCGCCTCTGAGTCAGAAGATTGTGAGTTCAAGCCATAAGTCAGGACTTGGAATTCATATACCCTAAGCTGACAATCCAATGCAGTGCTGGGTTTCCGCTGCATTATTAGGAGATGCCGTCCTTCAGATTATCATTCATTGTTAAACTGAGGTCCCACCTGCTGATAAACATCCCACGGCACTATTCGAACAGAGAATAAAGTTTCTTCTGATGTCCTGGCCAACAATTTCACAAATAAAATTGGTCATTCACTCCTTGACTCTTTATTGGGACATTGCCGTCCCACAAACTGCTGTTCCTATGTTCCAATACAAGTATTGCGGCTTAGGTCTACCCAATGAGCCATCAACACAGACTGTGTTTATTCTTTTTTAATGAAAACACATGTTGATTTGTCGCAGATGTCATTCATAGGCAATTCGCAAGTCAAACGTGACGCGATGATGAAGAGTAAAAATGTATGAATTTTTTTAAAAAAAAATTCTTAAATACTGGAATTGTTTTATTTGTTTTAAGACTTATTCCACCTAAATCCTCTTATTGCTGCTGTCAACCTCCATGCAGGTTAGTTGGCAGGCGTTTGCTACTCTTTGTGCTGCCTCATTAATGCAGTATGTTCAAAGTAAGTTTCACATATTTCTATGAAATAGTCTGACTGAAGCACACTGTTGTTCAAAGCAGTAAAAGTAGGACTGCACACTGAAGACGCTGAATCTCTAGAGACTCCCTGTGCTTAAACGTTCTACATATACTGAAGTATTTTATAAAATATTTTAAAATATTATTTTTAAACTAAATTACCTCTGAATTCACTGACGATAATATTAATACTGTAAATATACATGTAAGCACGATTTGGGTTGTAGTCACTATGCACAGTAATTGTTTTTGCATACGTAAAGAATAATTATTTTCACAATGCAGTAAATCATGCATTCCATATATTGCAGAGTGCAAAACTGATGGCAAATCTCCCATCAAGGAAATCAAGAGTTCCAGGAATTGTTCTTTGGGAGATTTATTTAACTCGACTTAAATCAGTCCTTAATACTGGTATTACGCATTTGCTTCTGGTGATTGTTCCAAAGATACCTGTGCCAACAACTCCCATCAGGACACGAGAGCCAAGTTGAGTCCGTGCTATTTTCCCAATTGTAGTCCTAGATGTGGGTTTTTTTCCTGCAAAAACTTCTTCTACGTTAAAAACTGAAGCGTGTATGAGCTTTTCTGCAGTTGTCGCAATTGTTGTGGGTTTCCATTGATAACATACACGAACTGGAATTGTATTCGGATAATTACAATTGGAAAATAAGTTATTTTTGTGTGATATTTTGGTGGCGCTTACCGTTTGCCCAGGTAGACCCCGGGGCCCAGGAAGACCTCGGGCACCTGGTTTTCCCTGTGGAAGATTTAAAAAAAACATTCAGAAATGTCAAGAAACTTTTCCTTCTTAAAACTACTGCTGTCTTTCCAGGATTCAGGCTTCGATGTAAGGCAATTGGAGTCATATCAATAAAAATACCGGCATCATCAGTCAGCCAAGGGAACCTTTTGGGAAAATATTCTAGTAATGAAGTCAGCGCGCTGCTTGCATTGCCTAACTGGCTGTCTGAACAGAAAATCTTAATGCAATCGTACTCACTTTGGGACCCTCTGGACCATTTTTCCCTGGTGGTCCAATGTCTCCTGGAAAACCCTACATGGAATTTATAAAACAAAATATGATGCACAGTTTATTAAGTCGGATAACCTTTTGTATTATACAATATCCTAATAGTTCAATGTTCTCCTAAATAACATACCTTTCTTTTGCCAAACGAATGTTTTAAAGTTTTGCTTCGAACACATAAAATACAGAACTATTACAATAATAATCCTTGCGTTTGATACGGAGCCTTATCACATCTTCTCTCGTTGCACCATTCTTAAAAGGTTGCAACTCTGAAAGAGTTTGGGAACGGTTTTGGTCACAAACACCCGGAGATGACGTTCAGATTTAATAACAATAATAATCCTTGCATTTGATATAACGCTTTTCACGTCTTCTAGACGTCTCAAAGCGCTTCACAATACTCCTTGCATTTGACATAATGCCTTATCACATTGTCGAGATGTCCCGAAGCCCTTCACAGGATATACCCTGAAGTGGATTCACGGTGTATTTTTGTGGGCGCCAAATTGCACGCCGAGACTTCACTGCTGATTCACTGATGTTTTGAATTAGCTTAACTGGGATTTAATTTCATCAAAATTGAGAATATCAAGAGCAACAAAGAACTCTCAAGCTTGGGACGCCCGATGTGAAAGGCGCTATATTAATGTAACTTTGTTGTTGTTGTACATCGTTTGCTTTGCTGATGCAGGGGCTGTTGCCCTTTGAGGCGCAATGCCTGCCTAATTCTGGTTGTAGTCCTTCAGGAAGTAAAAGCAGTTGTTCTAGTACCTTATTCTGTACTTTAGTCATTCCCATAATGACAACCAATTTCCTGTTCAGCACTGTAAAGTTTATATTGAGTGGTACAAAAAATGCAGGGCTTCTATGGGCACCAGCACTGCAATGTACACGCCAACATCGAAGACATTAAACTGAATTGAAACTGGAGCGATTTCAATATGTCCAGTGGATCAAGAGGGTCTCCTGCTGGCCAGCATAAAGTTTGCAATTGGAGGGATTATAAGCATAATAATAAATAATAATAATCCTTGCATTTTGATATGGGGCTTTTCACGTCTTCGAGACGTCCCAAAGCGCTTCACGGAATATACCGCAAAGTGAATTGACTGTATATTTGTGGGCGAAACGCAGCAGCCAATTGCGCACAGCAGCGTCCCACAAACAGTTGCGGACTGAAGTGAACTATCCTATTATTGTTTTTTTTTCTTAAGGGATTATTATTAGGCATGCGGAGTAAGGAAACTCGCCCAATGTTTCGCCCTGCCGGGAATCAAACCCAGGTCTCTCGCTTGCGAGACGAGCGCTCTAACCACTGAGCTACAGGACTCCTAAGTAGAATTATGTCGATATAATAAACATACATGGAAACAACTTCAGAAGCAAATCATCTGTTCATCTAATCTCCCCATTCAAATTCCCTCCAGATTAGAGTAGAAGAGAATCATTTTGGCATTAATGCCTCAAGTTAAAGAATCTACCACACTCAGGAGCGAGTTAAACGTAAAAATAGGAGGAAAAAAAATGAAGTAGCATTTTTAATGTTTGTACTAATTATTATTATTTATACCTTACATTCAGAAACAAATGATTCAGTGTGTCTAGAATGCAGCTTTGTACAATATAGCAAGTACTCGATTTGTTGACAGAGTGAAAATAAAGTCTGATTTACAAAGTGTGAATAAACCGTGAAGCCAAAATCAGAGTCCAATCCTACAGCACTCCACGGAGCCAAGGCCATCCGAATCCGATTCAGTCTGGGAAAATGATCTGCGGGTGCAGTATGTGCTTTTCAGTCGGTTAATTGATCCATAATTGTTAACACCTGTCCGAAAAATAGTTAAATATGACTGCAAGATCTAAAAGTTGCCTAATAAGTCATGGTATAAGCCAGCAAAATATTCCTGTAAGTCTTGGCCTTAGTCTGTACTTTAGTCATTCTCATAATGATGACCGATTTCCTGCTCAGCATTATAAAGTTGTTGGTGCTGTCCACGAGGGAAGCTCTACAATTGCTGATAGCATTGTCATGTGATGTTAAATTTAGTGAAATGATGGGTTAACTTAATGCGTAAATTGAACTTCCCTCCCGCAACAGTCAAATAAATGAGCCAGTTTTATTTGCAAAAAGAATTGGCTGTCACACGACTAATTTGAGGCAACAGAGGCAAGCCAAACTCTCTGAGCCCTCCAATAACATGACACACAACCAGTGAAGCAACGAAAGACGGAAAGTAGGACTGCCAAACATGACTGGGAACACCACCCCACAATTAAAACGTACCATTAGCAGCTGAAGCATCAGTTAAGATCTTTCAGCTGCTGTGTAAAGAAATAAAAACGCTGGAAATCCCAACCAGTTCTATCAGCATCTGAAACAGGTATGAAGATTTTGGGCAAGACCGAGGATTTAGTTTAATTTTTAAAATAACTTTGGAGAAAAGCTAAAGATAGCTCTTCAATGTGAGATAGAAAATAACTGCAGCAAACTGGAAATGCAGTATCGAAAAGGTATTTTCCTGTTGGTCATTGGAAGTCAACGAGGGAGTCAATTAATAATGCTTAAAAAAACGCTGAATAATCACTCCAATCTGTAGTCAGGGATGATATAGTTGGGATAAAGCCATGATTTCTGCTGTATCATAAGTTTATGATGTCTGCTTGAGGCTGGTCAAGTACCACATTAGCACAAAAGTTACATAAAGAAAGGAATTTTGAGAAGTGCCTTCAATTCACATTGTGTTTTCCATATGTTATTATAAACACTAAATGTTTCCAAACTATATTAGCGACAATCATTACTCTGAAAAGCAGGCACTCCATCAAAGGAGCTTTCCATCGTGTACTCGCTAATTGAATCCACAGGTACTGTTGGTAGAAAGTGGTTGGAAAAGAAGGCGTGAATAAATGTTAGTCGTTTTTTTTTCCCAAACTTTGCTCAAATAACGTACGATGCATATTGTGAAAGGCTCAACTCCACACTTTCCATTAACTTATACATTCCACTTGCACAGCCAAAAGCATCAGGGATCGCTGTGCATTATTTCAAACAATCTCTTCCGTTGTTAGTCAGAGCGCTATATTTGTTTAAAGAGCCATTTAATAAATTCCCTGGCTGTGCTGAGTAACTCAGAATAGCTGTGAACTTCAGAGTGACTTTTCACCAAAATAAAGAGACCCACTAAAGTTTAATTATGCATCTCGAGTATTGGCTAGCAGTAGGTATTAAAGATTTAATACAATATTCCCATGCACAGAACAGCCAGTCCATATTAATCAACTGAATTCTCTGAAATAGAAATTAATTTTAACTGATGCCACACTTATGAAATGGTTTCCCAAGTCAAATTGAATGTTCTTGAGCTACAGCACTTCAGTTAGTGGATCAATTCCTTCTCCTCCCTGAATAATGTCTGGGACACTAACTCGACCCAAGTCAAGCAAAGAACTGCCTCTTGTGGGATCCCTAATACACTCTCTGTCAGGAAGCGGACATGGACTACAGTGATAAGCTCAAGAGTTCTTTCCACTTGGGCATTACCAGCGTATGTTGGGTTGGTTGAAGTCGCCCATAAATATATAAACTTAAAGTAACAGATCATTCTCAATTTCACCCAGCGGTCTGTAGCAAACCCCAAATATTAATCCAGAGAAGGAGTTTCTCTCGGTGCTCTGGCCAAAAATCTTCCAAATAAAATTGGTGATTCACTCCATGGGACATTGCTGTGTGCAAACTGGCTGCCAGATTCTCCCACAAAATACACACAGTCCCACCACTGTACAATATATCATGTGCTAAGTCATGCAACATGAGGCACAGTATCAAATGCAAGGCTCATATATTATTATTTACAATCTACTAGTGACCCGTTTCAAAACATCTGCACAAATGGGGTTTCTTCAGAAGTATAATGTTAATAAAGTAAATCTACATTCAATCCGACATCTAGAGATATACATTCTGAAAATATAAGAAACTAAAAGACTCTTTATTTCATAAATAAGTAGAATTTAGCAAAACCAAAATTCTCAAGAGAATAAATTCTCAGATTTAAGATTGGTTTAAGAGTGGTTACGCACATCTTTTTTTGAAAGTGGGATAATCAAGCTTTGGAGGCGTACATTTATGAACACGAGAAGATGGAGAAACAGACAGTTAAAACTGTAAACTAAAGAATGAAAATAAAATACTGATATGCACATTAATTGGATTAAATTGACACAGATACAACTACAATTAGGAACACATTCAAGAAAGAGGATTCCCAAAAAGCAAATATAATTTGCATACAATTTAGTACAAAACAGAAAAGAGTAAAAATGCAATAAAGGGGATTTGACATTGTATAATCCCCAGTAGGGAGTAATGAGGGGCCCTAAAATTGGCAAACCTTAATATTGTGGAAAATCGACAAAATAAAACTGATATAAGAATCCTCCAAAATCTTGCACTTACATTTTAAGACGAGGATCTTAAAGTGAAGATTGTGAGTATTTTTGGTCTCTGATGTTCAACCGTGACTATTAAGATGGTAAAGCTTGAGAAAAAATTGCCGCAATATATATATAATACACATATATATATATATATAATTACCTTATAAATGACTCTTATTTGCCAAAACTTTAAACCAAAATGTTCAAAAAAAAATCAGGATATCTAAAGGTAATTTAAGAAAACATCGAATGTCATCAGATGTCAGTTTAACTCTAGCTTTTATTTAGAAATACGATTTTCTTGATGAATTGCTTATATGCGCCTGAAAACATTGAGCGGGCATGTGTGTTATAACAATCAAAAATCTGTATATGTGCAAAAAGGGATGATTAATCTGGTTTTGAACCAGTGTGTTCAGCTGGGAGCACAATGTCTGGTTGCTGAATAGTTTCCACATCCTGCAGTTTGCTAATGTGTCTGCATTACATGCCTGTGCTGGTTCTCGCGGAAATACTTTTCCTTTTAACCTTTTGCAAAAATCCTATCTGTGGGCAGAAGCAATAGGAAAATGAAGCAGCGCTGAACG